GTGGAAGGTTACGAAGGTCCACAAGGCCCATTGAAACTCTTGGATAATAGAGGCTTTAGGCTAGCTACTTGGAAGCACCAAAGTCCAAGCCCATTACTTGGAGTTCTCCAATGTGGGTGAGCAAATGAGATATTTTTCAAGTACTTCTTTTTACCCATAGGAAATAGTCATTTTCCAATGCCTAACTCTACCCAATGGAAATAAGAATGTCCCAATGCTCCCTTTTACCTGCTGGAAACAAGCCACTTCCAACACTTCCTTTTACCCATAGAAAATAGTCATTTTCCAATGCCTAGCTTTACATGCTAAAAATAAGAATGTCTCAATGCCCCCTTTTATCTATTGGAAATAGACTAGCTCCAACACTTCCTTTTACCTATTCGAAAACAAAGAGAGCCTCCACCTTCTATAAATTTGGAGGTATTGCTTAGACAAAACCAAGCCCTCTTGGTTGCTACAAGTTTCTCAGCAACCATGAGAACTCACCTTTCCTTAGCTGCTGCAAGCATTTCAGTAGCCTTCATAGTCATTCCTAAGCCATAAACCTCCATCGTTGGGCTGCTGGAAGCATCCCAGCAACCATCGACCAACATCTCTTGGTTACTCAAGCATACTAGCAACTATCAGACATTTTCCTTCCTCTCTTTGGCTACTGCAAGCATTCCAGCGGCTATCCCAGCCATTTCTTAGCTATCACAACCATGTCTTCTACTTTCTCACCCTTGAAATCCATCATCTTCTCCATAAAGCCTCACCAAGCATAACTCCAAGCTTTTCCTTCATTCCAAGCTATAAACACCATAGCCTTCAAACCTCAAACTTTTCCTCCCATCCTTCTTTTCCTGAAACTCTTAAATCCCCATAGCCATAGCCACAAACAACAGATTATCAACACCCAAACTCAAGCATATCTAACTCCAAGCCAAGCACATGCATTCTCTTTTACTAAACTTGTGGGTCTTTAGTGCCCACACTTCAAGCTCTCATGCCAAGCTTAGTAGTATCTTGATTCACCAAAGCAAACTCTCATGTCAAACCTATGCAACATCAATCCACCATCTTCAATTCTTCGTCAAGCTGCCTGAAACATCAGCACAAAACACACAGCCGCGAACAAAGTACTCCACTGGGACTTGCTTCTCCCTCGGGATAATTTAGGCCTAGTTCTCGCTAACTCAGAAAAAGGGGCAACGAAGGCTTGATTCATCACTCTATGGCGGTCCAAGAATCAATAAGCCTGGATGAGTCTTCTGACGGAAAAAGACCCCAACAAATAGCAAAATAACAGGAACACAACAGCAATACAACACTAACACAGGAATGAACAAGGATTCATCACAATCACACTATACAACATCAAATGGAAAATCCCAAGTTTCAAGATTCACATATCCAGAGCAATCTAAATGCAATTGGTAAAAACCCAGATGGATGAGCATGAAGATTCAAAAAACCTAACCAAAGGCAACTAAAGCCAATACCAATTTAATAGAAACCTAAGCAATCAAAATAAAACCAATTTCACAGAATCCCACATATATTAAGAAAATAACCATCAACACTACCTATTTGAGGTCAGCGATCCAGTAGAGCTTCAAGGTTGCAAGCAGCTATTCAGAAGACATACCTAAAAGATGGGGTCGATGGAGGGTTTTGCAATTCAGAAGAGAGAGCGAGAGAGCGAATAAGGAGATAGAGAGATAAAGAGAGAGAGAGAGCAAGCGAACACAGAGAGAGTGAATAGGGAGCTAAGCGAGTTGAGAGAGAACCAAATTTCAGCAAATGTGACATGTGGGTAATAAGTGGACAATAAATATATATTTATAGGTGATAGTTGCAAAAAAAAATTGGGGAGGGGTGGTATTTTCAGTTAAAATTATAAAAAAGGGTGGCATTTAGAGCTATTTCCCTATTTAAAAACCAATTTTAAATTATTTACGATTTTGCCACAACTACAATTTTGCCCACTACGTATGTACGGATTCATCTCAGCATGATCTACACAATAGTCCCATTCATTTTCCCAATATCCATCCGGATTAAAAAGTGACCAAATTACCCCTATCCCGGGGGGCAAAATTAAAGTATTATTAAATTAACGTAATATTAAATTTTGGGTTGGGATGCTACAACATGGTTCCAAAATAAATAATAATTATTATTATTATCAAAAGCAAATAACGTAAACATTTAAGGGCTAATTAAAGCAAAATAAGATAAATTCCAATAAAAGAGATATCAAAACTTATACAATAAATGTACAAAATAACTTCAGTTTTAAAGAGGTAATCAAACCACACAAAATCTGGAAAATTAAATTCAACATAAAATAAGTATTGAAATTAATTTTGTGTTTTGAAATACCCACAAAAACTCCAACAATTACCCACATAGTTAAGAAAAAACTCAGCCTCCACAAATTAAGGAATTCTCTTTAGATACTGTTTATGCGGGGTCTCTCGAAAGGAGAGTAGGTGGCTAGGGTTCCAAAGGCGGCTAGTGTTTTCTGAGACGGCTAGGGGGTTTCCGTGTGTTGCATGGTTTTGTAGTTTGCTAAAATGGAGTCTGGACGAGCCTTCTTCCTCATCGGTTTGCCAATTTCGTGCAGGATCCCTGTGTCTGTAACGGGCTTTCTGTTGTCCTGCGGGGAGAGCTTGGTTGCGGCCTTTGTGTCTAGAGTACGCGGTAACCACGTTAGAGACCAAGTGCGGCCTGAGTGGATCTTTGATATTTTAGCTAGTGATGTAAACCTTGGCTATTCATCTTTAATAAAACTCTCTTCGTTTGGAAAATAAGTTAATAGCAATTAACCAATTTTTTGGAACCAAAAAAGCTAATGTCAAAAACCAATAATGGCAAATTTAAGATTTCAAATATAAGACATTAAATACTATCCGCGTCCATGCGAAACAATGACGAAATTGTTAAATATAATATGGTATGATTTTTTACTTTTTATTTTTTATAAAAATGTGATACATATTAGGTTAACAATAATTCCCGCATGTTTAAGAGCATATAGTTATTGTGTGACAAATTATTATAATATGTTTACAAGTTATAATAATTTCCATATAATAAATTTTAATAGTTTAATGATGAACCTGCGGTAAATTATTATAATATGTTATAAACCTACGGGGAAAATATGATAAATCAATATTTTAAGAGAAACCTACAGGTTTATAATTTCTGGAAATGAAAATATGATTTTGCAATAAGTTTCTGAATTTGAATTATAATATGCTATGATTTTATGCTATTTACTCTTAAAATTATTCCTAATTGAATTTGAATTTTATCCGTAAGTTTATGATTTAGGTTCAAAAACTGTTGTCTCAATCAGCCCACAACCGGTTTTTATAGTTGTTTGTCGCTCCAAACTTAATTTTAAACTATTACAATAGCAATAAAATCTTATAAAATTTCATGCTCGTTATTTTTTTTCAATTTTATGTTTATAAATTCAAACTAAAATTTTATTTTTTGGGTTTAAAAATTCACAAATGACCCAATTTCATGCACAGAGAGATGATTGGGCCTAAAAAAGAAAGGTAGTTAAGCTTGAGGAAATATTAGTGATTGGATTAGAAATTTAGCATTAGACTTAAATAATTTTTAAAATATATATAAAAAATACGCAGCTAGTTCGATTCGATTCGGTTTTGTAAGGTGTGAAACTGGCACTGAAATTGGTTTGAATTGTTCATGTTCGGTTTGGTGCCGATTTGTTGACTTTTTAGTCAACACAATTTTTTCAGGTTTTTTTCCATCCGGTGCAGCTTGGTGTTCCAGTTTTCTTGTCTCGATGTCCACCAGTATAATAAGACTGACCAAACTCTAAATAGAACTAAGCATAACTTCTCTTTTTTAAATTAATTTTTTTCTTACATCCATCCCCACCTTATTTTTCTATAAATAAAACCCAATTTTTTTTTAGTTAAAAGCCCATAATAGAATACAACTCATCAACTTACCTAATTAAGCTCAAATTTTGATTTATTGCACCTTTTGGGTTCGAAAAGTACCCCTAATTATGTTGAATTTAGAAAGATTTTATACATTTCTCCCCATGAAATCTGGTTGTAATTGATGTAGGTACTAATTTGGAAAGTTTTTTTTATTTCAACATTAAATTTCATATTTCAAGTGTCTATAGGTAGATTTAATGAAAACAATATGTTTATTATTTAAGAAATAAACTACTTGCCTTTAATGAATAATAATAGTGAATATACTAATGGTTTTCATTTTTTATTTTTATGAACATACTAATACCATGGTGTTCTTTGATTGTTTGAGAATATCTTGTTATCGTGAAAATATAATATACCTATTATTTAAATTTTTATGAACAAAAAATTACTTATTATCTTATGTGTAAAAGATATAGGGAAAAGCGATGGGTTGCATTCCATTCAACTATAAAATTGTGTACAAAAGGGCATGTTAAGGTGGCCTCGTTAAAACCTTCCCGAGGAAAACCACACGGGATAAAACCCCGGGATAGGAAAGAGTACCACCCATGCCAGCCGTACAATAAAATTTCTAGAACAAGGGAATTAAGAGCATGTTTACGTATCAGTAATGGAGAAACTAAGGAATCAGAGAATTTAGGAATCGGAGAACTACTAAATCAGTATAGGAAGAATCATTCCCATTAAGCTGTTTACTAAACATATGGAATTAGCAATGGAATGAGATTGATTCCCATTGTTATTGTTTACTAATTTGTATGAATCAGAATCCAAATTAATTTTAGAATTATGGTAAAGTGATAAGGGTATTTTTGGAAGTTATTAAGAGAAAATAGGAATGGGAATCTCATCGACTACTCCCTCCTAGTTGATATGATTCCTAGTTTTGAGGGAATGTGATTACGGATTTTGAGGTGGGACCCACTTATTTTTTCATTCCTGATTGCAAGTAAACGCAGGAGAAGTCAGGAATGGAAATCATTCCATTTTCTCTCATTCCCATTACTGATACGTAAACATGCCCTAAAAAGAATCTGCCACTAAGGCATCAAGCAAAACTACTGGGGGGTCCCCGAACCACTCAGCCGCTCCGTGGGAGTGTAAAGCGATCCTAGCAAGTCTTGCAGCCGCCTCATTAGCCTCCTTCATCACATGTTGTACTAATATACTGCCCTGCTGCACTAGTAACAGTTTACAGTCGTCAACTAAGCAACCAAAGTGGGACAAATCCTGTGATACTTGGCTTAGAACAATACCAACTCCTTGACCAACACCTTCAATGAGCCGCTGCACATAAGGCCATCTTTGGGCAAACAAAAGCCCCTCCTTCAAGGCTAGCAATTTTGCATGCAAAAGGTTGGAAACCCCCTGAACAACCACTAGTTTACATGCAAGAAAAGTACCAACATGGTCACGAACCACAACTCCAATCCCCCCAGTCCCTGTTGCACCCCGACAAGCCTCCCCCAGGTTGATTTTGATAGACCCCAAGGGCGGACGCTGCCACTTGGCCTTGACTCTAGATGGAGGGATCAAAGGAGGTTGAAGCTCATAAGAATCATGCAACAGCCGGATGGCTCCCCTGAATATACCTATTATTTTTAATATACCATATACCTATTAATTTTATCTATAAAATAATAAAATTATATCAATAAAATAATAGGTATACTTTTTTTTTAAAATAATAATGTACCTATTAATTATTTCAAAGTACCTATTATGTGCGTACTTATTATTATTTTTAAATAATAGGTATACTTTTTTTAAATAGAAAATTTAGTTATTTTCTTTTTCTTTTATAAATGATAATATACCTATTAATTATTTCAAAGTACCTATTATGTGCGTACTTATTATTATTTTTTTTCTATGTACATTATACCTCTTATTAATTTATATATATATATATGTATGTATATACATATTTGATAGCGACTCCCAGTCACATTGTACCTAGCGACCTTCGGAATCGGAAACCTGTGGAATAAAAAATAGAAAGTAAAGAAACCATTATTGTTTTGACCCCAATAAAAAACCTTAGATAATCTTTCCAAGATTCCTATTCCATGTAGGACTAGGAGATTAGAGATACTGATTCTCTATAAATAGGACTTTAATGAGATGGGAAAAAATACACTCTCAAATCTCTCAAATATTTCTTCCAAAGTGATATTAATAATTAAATGGAAGAAGCTGCTAAGCACCTCCTCTCTAAAAAGAGAGAGGAGAAGGTTTGGCCCATCCTCTTAATAATGGGCATTTTCTCATGTATGTTTATACTTTGGTACTTAATGGCGTTGCAGCACCGCTTGCTAGACATCAGGTCCCCCGAGTTCCGGCTTGACTCGGTAGTTGTGTCCCCGTGCCCACTCACCCCGAGTCTTGCTGTTGCTGCTTCTGCTGGTGGCTCCTCCAACAACAGCAACTGGTACTTAACCGCCACATGGGACCTGAGCCTGGTGTTTATTAACCCCAACCACATACTAGGCGTCTCTTACAACAACTTCCGGGCGGGACTCTTGTACGGGGACGAGGAGAAGAAGGACAAACTCATTCTCGCAATGACGCCATTGCCTCTTCCACCTTTAAACAAGATGAGCCAGACCACCATCAACTTCAGCCTGGCAATGGTGAGGTCATATGTGGGTGAGGACATGGCAAATGAATTATTAATGGGAGGTGGCAGCGGTGGTTGTTATGGGGCGGCGAGATTGGGGGTGAAGCTGTTTGGTGAGCTTACTTTTATGGTGCCGCCGCAAGGCAGTTTAGTAGAGATCTTTGGAGCCAACAATCTATCATAACTACGGGAATCTTCTGCGGCCTTTTCCCCCCCCATTATAACGGCACAGGTCAGGGAGGGGAATGCGAAGGTTTCTATTCACAAACTCCGTGTAGATGTTGACGTTAAACACTTAATTAATTAATTGTTAGTTGTTCATGTTTTTGGAGTTAGTTAATTTGAGGCACTCTGTTTATGGGTTTTTTTTAAAGTTAATCTGATGATTTATTTTGATCTATCTTGATGATTTATTTTGATCAATCTTGATTATTTATTTTGATATATCTTGTTGCTACTGTGACTGACTATTGACAAGTTGATTATTTGCTCTTAATTTTGTCTATTGTTGTTTTTTCTCTTCATACCACCATTAAATTGCTCATTAGTAGTATACAATTTGGTCCAGGATTCCACTACAACATACTCTTCCATGACCCACAAGTGAAGTTGACTATCGATCCTGAACATATTGCTACACTCGAGCAAGGCAACGGACCCCTTTGAAATCCATACGTTGAGGCATCATTATCTCCCCAAATAATTCAGTGCTTATATCAAAGGACATAATGACAAGGTCCTTCCCTCTTTGTTCAAGGAGTTGAACCCAATGCAGCGCCATTGACAACAGCCCACTAAGAGGAAGGCCATGTAGCAGCGATGCCAAACCCAAAATATGCAGGAGCTGACGCGGTAAGGGTTTTCCAGGAGCCCCTTGCTAAGGAGTAAATCTCAATTGAAAATTATAATGGTTCGTTTGGTCTCTAGCATTGGATATCTTACTACATTTGAAGTTTTTTTTTTTCATGAAAAATTTGAGGCACACGATTAAAAAAAAAAAGAAGGTACATATTTTTTATATAAAAAATATGTAAATTATTTTAATAACAGTAAATTATAGGTAAGTTATTTACCTATATTTGATAGCGACTCCCATTCACATTGTAGGCCAAAAAAATAGAAAGTAAATCCCCCTTCTCTATGCGACCTTCGGAATAGGAAATCTGTGGAATAAAAAATAGAAAGTAAAGAAACCATTATTGTTTTGACTCCAAAAAAAAACCTTAGATAATCTCTCCAAGATTCCTATTCCATGTATGACTAGGAGATTAGAGAAACTGATTCTCTATCAGTAGGAGTTTAATCAGATGGGAAAAAATCACTCTCAAATCTCTCAAATATTTCTTCCTAGTGATATTAATAATCAAATGGAAGAAGCTGCTAAGCGCCTTCTCTCCAAAAAGAGAGAGGAGAAGGTCTGGCCAATCCTCTTAATAGTGGGCATTTTCGCATGTATGTTTATACTTTGGTACTTAATGGCGTTGCAGCAACGCTTGCTAGACATCAGGTTCCCCGGGTTCCGGCTTGACTCGGTATTTGTGTCCCCGTGCCCACTCACCTCGAGTCTTGCTGTTGCTGCTTCTGCTGGTGGCTCCTCCAACAACAGCAACTGGTACTTAACCGCCACATGGGACCTGAGCCTGGTGTTTATTAACCCCAACCGCATACTGGGCGTCTCTTACAATAACTTCTAGGCGGGACTCTAGTACGAGGATGAGGAGAAGAAGGACAAACTCATTCTCGCAATGACGCCATTGCCTCTTCCACCTTTAAACAATATGAGCCAGACCACCATCAACTTCAGCCTGGCAATGGTGAGGTCATATGTGGGCGAGGACATAGCAAATGAATTACTAATGGGGAGGTGGCAGTGGCGGTTGTTATGGGGCAGCAAGATTGGGGTTGAAGCTGTTTGGTGAGCTTACTTTTATGGTGCCACCGCAAGGCAGTTTTAGTAGAGATCTTTGGAGCCAACAATCTGTCAGAACTACGGGAATCTTCTGCGGCCTTTTCCCCCTGCATTATAACAGCATAGATCAGGGAGGGGAATGTGAAGGTTTCTATTCACAAACTCCGTGTAGATGTTGACGTTAAACACTTAATTAATTAATTGTTTAGTTGTTCATGTTTTTGGAGTTAGTTAATTTGAGGCACTCTGTTTATGGATTTTTCTAAATTAATCTGATGATTTATTTTGATCTATCTTGTAGATACTCTGACTGACTATTGACAAGTTGATTATTTGCTCTTAATTTTGTCTATTGTTGTTTTTTCTCTCCATACCACCATTAAATTACTCATTAGTGTTAAGAATAAGAATATGATTTGAATATTTGCATTTGAGAGGATATTATTTGAGGATTTGATTTAGGGTTTGTGTTTGAATTGAAGATATGATTTTAGGGCTTAGGAGTCGACCTAGGATCAAAGAGTTTTATACAAAGGACATCGATGTTATTAGGAGTGGAACCATTTATTATATGGTAATTTCTATTTTGTTGAGTTTCCAATGTGGAACTTTTTGTATTCTTCAACACTCCCCTTCACGTGGGACCACTCAATTCACATTGGTCACCTTTTTTGTTATATTTAAATTTTATAATTTACATTTGGGGTTTGTATGATTTTGATTCAATTTGGGTTTAATCGGGCCCAGGTAACTGGCCCTCTCTGATATCACGTTAAATTTCAGAAAAACGAGTTAATTAGGAGTGTAGCCATTCATAATGAGTACATAATATGCAGACTTAACAGAAGATAAAACTGTCTTTTGTGTGCACGCGTGCATCAGTTTCAACATTATAGTACCTTAAAATGCTAAGTAGATTTCAACTCGTATCATCTTATTCTTAGGTGCAAATGTGTTGTGGGGAATGATGCAAGTAAAGAAAGAGAAAAATGAAAACTACATACTGAATTCTTGGGACTAAAAGGGTCACCCTCTCTCCCCCATAGCTTGCTATTTGAATATCAAGCAAAGCTTTGGTATATACTGAATAAGCCCTCCACTAGCTAAACCGGGAAGTCTAATAATATAGAAAGCTTTTCAAGTCTTGGTTTCATATTAGTTGAAATTGAAAAGAGCTCACCGCATCAAATTAATTTTTCCATCGAATCCATCATCTTATTTTTCAATAAATAAAATCCAATTTTAATAGTTAAAAATTCATGACTAGAATCCAAATCATGTAACCTAATTAAGCTCAAAATCTGATTTATTGTACTTTTTAGATTCCAAATTACAATTTACTTTGAATTTGGAAAGATTATGTACATTTCTCTCCTCAAAATATGGTTGTAAGAGCATTCACAATCATGTCTCTATTTTTTAGTTAAAATTTAGCTAAAAACACTATAAAGCTATTTTAGGAGCTCTCTATAAAATTTCAACTCCAACCATACTTCCTAGTTTTAAAGAGTCATAAATATTTTTAATGTTTTAATATTTTTTAATTCAATTTTTGAATAAAGAGTAGCCACAAAAGCAACAATAAAAAATTGTTGGCATTAAATAAAGGGTGGTGATTTTCCCACTCCCCTTTTATCCACCTACACTCCTTTTTGTTTTTTTAATACTTTTTACTATAAGATAAAAAGGGGTGTAAGTGAACAAAAGAGGAGTGAGAACATACAATTTTAAAAAATGTAGTGTAAGTGGATAAAAATGGAGTGGGAAAATTAGTACCCTAAATAAATGCTTAAAAGAATATTAAATATAGAAGCATTTAATTATAAGAAGTCACTATGAGTTCTTTCTCTGTCATCAGATTTAGTTCATAGAGGTCTCTCTATTTTAAGAGCTGGATAGGGAGTATGGTTGGAGGTGGGTTTTTTCAGTTCCTCTCTAAATTTTAGCTAAGAATGTGGGTTAAAAAGCCCATTATAGATGTTCTAATTGATGAAGTTATTAATTTGCGAAGTTTTTTACTTTCAACATTAAATTTCATATTTATACCTACATCAATTACACATAATTTAAGAACCAAATAGCTAATTCTTTAATGAAACAATGTCAACTTTTTCTTTTTGTGAATATACGTGATTGTAAGAAAATTTTCTATTTAATTTTTCTGAATAAAGATACTAATGGTTTCCAAAATATAATATACCTAATCATTTAATTTTCATGAACGAAATATTTCTTATTATTTACTATTTTGATGGACAGTGATATACCAAATTTTTTAATGTGCCAAGGATGATTTTGTAAATAACAATACCGACTACAAACTAACGTACCTATTATGATGGTACGTTGTATATTAGGTGCATAATTATATGGGAGTTTTAGTTTTAACACACAATATAGTTTACTAATTTGGTAAATAGGAATTCAATTTCAGCTAATTAGGATAAAGCCAAAAGCCAAAATATAGTACCTACTTTTACCATAATATAATTAAAGAACATCAAAATTACAAAATATGCCATTATGCCATTATTTTTAAATTTCAATATTTAATTTTAAACCAAAACTTATAGCTGTATAAAGATCAGCAAACGACATCACAACACCAAAAACTTAACGCGAAACAACATCTCCTCAAATGAACGCTAACCCATTCGCACGACCATTGGCTTTCACCTCAAGAAACGCCTTTTCACAGTTTCCTTCACACTATTCCAAAATACTAGAGATGATCGTTCAACGCTAAACCATTCGCATCACCGACGACCACCAACGACGATGACCACCAACGATCGAAGCCAGTTCTCACTCTCTCTCAACAAAAAAAAGGGTAAGAAACTCAACGCTCTAACACACATTGCCTTCGTTTTAGGGATTAAGGATTCTAGAGATTTTAGCTCATGTTCATTCTGCATTTGGAAAATGGATGACTCTTTGGATTAACAACTACTCTTGGTTTAGGTTTTGCCTCGTTATAGGGATTAAGGATTTTAGAGATTTTACCTACTGTTCATTCTTCATTCTGCAATGTAGTTTAGGTTTTGGGTTCAATTTTGGTTTCAAAACCTCTAAAAACCAAAAAATTACCAGAGATAGAGAAAGAGCATCAAATATTTCCGTTTTCTACATGCAGTTTCCGTTAATGCACTATATTTTCCGTTAATGCAATGTAGTTTCTGTTAATGCAATCTAGTTTCCCTTTTGTCTAGTGCAGTTTTCTTTATATTTGAATTGTGGTTTTGAATTTCATTATGATATCTTTGTATTACAGCTTGCTCATTTTGAAATCGAATTATGAAACAAGAAACTGCAGTATTGTCAAAAACTACAACAAACGGAAACTGCAATGCAGTTTATGAAACAAAATATGTTGAAATGTTAAAACAAGCATTGAATGGTAGTTAAAAATGAATATCCATTAATGAAACAATTGCATAATTTTCATTAACTTTATTAAAAAAAATCATAATATTCAATTAGAAGCTGTGTAGCCAATTATAAGCAACTAAAAATTGTAATGCAATGTTCGCAAAAACTGCAATGCAGAAACTACCTATACATTCACTAAACCATATCTAATGTAAGCAATCATCAACTGAGAAGGAATGTTCATATCACCGCCTTGCAAGTCTTCTTGTTGTGCCCAGCAACACTGCATTGACTGCATTGACTACACTTCAATGGCCTTGTACCTTCACCAAAAGCTTTGATCCTCTTCATTGGTGGTCTTTCGGTGGGCCTCTTTGTAATTGGCGGAAGCACATCTGCATCAGCAGAACCGTTGGTTCCCAAGCCTTTCCCAATATCTGGAATAGGAAGAATAAGACTCTCATAGGCTTTCTGAAAGAAGTCAAACATGTAGTAACACTAAACGTAATCATAAACTGAATCTTCTTTGCTAGAATTGCAGCCACAACATGCGTACAAGGAAAACCATCAATTTTCCAAAGACATCAGGAACAGGTCCTAATGCCCAAGATCAAACCATCATAGAAAAATCGGCAAATACTTCAAAAACAATACAACTAGAACGACGAACAGCCAAGTCCTACCAACCTCCTATTTTCCCACAATCTAGTTTCCATCTCCGGACACAAAATTGTTGTCCACTTCTCAGCTTCAATTTCTCGTTGAGAATTCAATACCATCAATTTCTTTTGATTCCCTACACACAAATTTTTTGGTGTTAAAATTTACCAATAAATAAACAATCTAAGACTATAATGAACTTCACATATGAAAATAATCACAAAGTTTTATAAGTCTATAAAAATGGGTACAATGAGAAGTTAGAATCGAAAAATGAAAACAAAGTGAAGTTACATTTTGATGAGTTTGCTGTAGAGATCATGGTGAATTTAATTAGCTTTAGTTTCCTCCAATAGCTTATTAAAAATCATAGTTTTTCATAGAAGAAAAAAATATATGTTTACATCTGTCATTTTTAGGCTTGTTTTTCAAATCACATACTTAAGATAAAGCTTCACGAACGAGCAAGGAGTCAGTAACTCAGACACTTCTTGCATGTAAATTGTAATAAGCCAGTCACAGAAATGAGAATGAGACATGCAGACATGTATTTTTTTATGAGAAAACTCATGTATTCCCTTGGGGCATGGTTGGACCACTAGGTAGTCTTCTGACAGAGGCTCCTCATCAACACTTGCTGGACTGGTTCTTGAATCATATCGAGTGAATTTGCACATTTTCATGTTGTCCCTTTCCTCACATCAACTCTGTACCGTCATCACTTACATTTAAATTTGTTAATGCTTCCAGTTTTCAGCATCTGAAATTTTGTAGGGGTAGGAGATGCCCCCTTTTATAGTGCCTATCTTATCAACTGATTTGTTTATATAGTGGTTGCCTGTAACCAATATAGACATGCATGCACGTAGTAAATAGTAAATACTAGTTGTTTGGAGCAAAAGTTTGAAATTTATCATTGCATTGTTTATAGTATATGGATTTTATTACCCAGCTGATGGACAAAAGCAAATTAAGCAATCAATAATTCCTTTCGTTCATATTGGTTCATGAAATTGTCAAATCAACAGCATTAAATGCGTATTGTTGAATATCTTGAATAGTCCTTTTTCTTTTAAGATGCCTAAATGCTCTTGAAATGCTTCTATGGATTATTTACAACTTGTAAATGATACTGGTTTCTTATTATGCTATTTGTACTTCTAATGTTTTTCTTGAATAATACTTTCTTCTAGTGATTTATTAATTCTTTTAGATTCCTAGTTTCTACTTGGTATTCAACTTATTGTCTTTTAATTCCTGTAACCTTTCTTTTATTCTAATAGGTGTCACCAAGGGCCAAACATGCAAAGGGTTCATTGGTGATTCTGGTTTTTAACAAATTTATTTAATTAGGTGGGTTGGTTTAAAAAAAACACAACGTTTTTTTTTTTTTTTTTTTTTTTTTTTTTTTTTTTTTTTTTTTTTTTATATATTATCAATGTGTTGATTGTCTTCTGTCAAGGTACTTTATATTATAATCATATTATTAAGGTGCTAAATTAAAGCTATGATACCATATATATTTTCTTTTATTCTCGGTCAGGTTTCCAAATGCCAAAATAACAAACCAGACATCATGCCTAGAACATGGAACTGCAAAAAAGGCCAACTTAAAGGGCTATGGAGCAGAACTCAGAGGTTCCCTAACAAACATCCAGTTATGTTATGACAAATATCAAACATGATGTGCTCAAACAAGTATTGATCATCAGTTTAGCAAGATAATAACATAATATAGAAGCATTTCCCTGTTTTCGACAAGAAGTCTATAGAAAACCAAAAATAAAATAGAAAGGGACTTACTTAATGCTTTGTTGCGGAATTGCTATCATCGAGTATTAATAGTGGTCAGAGGTATTAACAGTAGTCGGAGTAAGATATGTAATAAGAGAAAGTATATGAACAAAGAGAGCTTAATTGACTGAAAGCTAAAAAAGAGTACTGAGATTTTTCTTTTCTGGTATAGTACTTCTCTCTTCATGAGTTCTACATTATATACAGCAATCGACTGTACTAAGGATGAGAAGAGGAGCCTCTCTTCTTTCTATCTCTCTAAACTTACATACACACTTCACATGCAAATTGATGCAAAACAACGTATTCACATGCATTTTAAGACAAAAATGCATTTAAAAATATGTACAAACAAACAAAACATTATTACTGACACTGTCATTGCCCAGTAACAATTGTTGGACAGAAACAGAATCTTCACATGTTGGTCTGGTCTCTTCAAGACAAAATCTTCACATGTTGGTCTTCGGTGGAGAAAAGAGCCCTAGGACTTGCATGTCTTTGGTGCTAAAGAGAAAGGGTTTTTTTTTTCGTCTGTTTGAAAATATTTTGGATTTGTTTGACAGCTGGCTGTTTGTTTTGGGTTTTCACTAGATTCCCCTAAAGAATATTGGGAGCTTTCATTTTAAAACACTAATATAATTATTAATATAGAAGAGCGGAATACAATTTCACCTAATTAGCATAAGGCCAATGTTTAAAAATTAGGATCTAAATGTTTAAAAATTAGGATCTAATTTTACAATCATGCACTGAAAAGATGTCAAATTTACGAAAGATACCATTATTAAATGCTGCCAAACTTTACTATTTCATTTAAACATACCCAAGCCCAAAACAAACACCCACACGCCACACTGAATTCACACCACAACATCTAACCATTCCACCCATCTTCTCCACAACGTCCGACTCCATTCTTCCCACTTCACTCTGAAAAATATCTCGCAAAAACGCTCACCATTTTGCTATGAAAGTCACTCTCTGAAATAAAAAAAAATCATAAAGAACAAGCACCAACATCCACGAAAAGACGTTGCAATGCAATTGTAACTCTAAAAAGGAAAAAAAAATATGTATTTCAACAATACTAGAAGTTGTAGTGTAACAAGATGACTCACCCTTTTCACACGCTATCACTTCCTTATTCCACAAAATTGACCATTATACTCACTGCTCACACATAAATCCTTAACAAAAATATCCAGTCTTTGCATTAGCTATCGTCAAATATGCCACCATCATGTCTAAATCACTCTATATTTCTATTACACAACTAGAATAACCAAGAAGTGAACACCTCAACATGAAACTACCTAACTTCAAACCACTAAACCGAGACACACGGGTCTTTGAAACATCAACAATAGATGACTCCCTTGAAAGTAGAAACATAATTGTTTCCGACTTATATGCGTCTTCTTTTTGGCCAAATCCAAAACAAAAGTTGATTTCTATGCACTAAAATCCAAACATAAATACTCTAGATATTAAATCCTCAATTGACCACCAAACAACATCATATTGATCACCTTGCTGATTGAGTCTAGGTTGAGATGCTTGGCGAAACACATATTCAATGCAAGTTTGAGTTGAAATGCTTTGTTGAATCCCTCGCTGATACACTATTCAATGCAAGAGTTGGTTCGCTCTATATGTCTAGCCCTTCTTTTGCTGACCTCTTTTATATTACATGGAGAACGTAAGCTAGCGGAAACGGCAATTCAAGTTTCTTTTGATACCCTACACACAAAATTTTTGGTATTAAAATTTTACCAATAAATAATCTAAAACTATAATGAACTTCACATATGAAAATAATCACGAGTTTAGAAAACACTGGCACATATGCATATTTAGTACCAGTTGTATAAATCTATAAAAATGAGTACAATGTGAATTTAGAATCGAAAAATGGGAAACAAAGTGAAGTTACATTTTGACGAGTTTGCTGTAGAGATCATAGTAAATTTAACCAGATTAGTTTCCTCCAATAGCTTATTAGAACTCATAGTTTTTCATTGAAAAAAATATATAAGCTTACATCTGTCATTTTGAGGTTTGTTTTTCAAATCACATACTTAAGATAAGGCTTCACGAACGAGCAATGAGTCAGTAACTCAGACACTTCTTGCATGTAAATTGTAATAATCCAATCACAAAAATGAGAATGAGAAATGCAGACATGTATTTTTTATGAGAAACTCATGTATTCCCTTGGGCATGGTTGGACCACTGGGTAATATGCTGAAGACAAAGCATCCACTAATTAGTCTTCTGACAGAGGCTCCTCATCAACACTTGCTGGACTGGTTCTTGAATCATGTCGAGTGAATTTGCACATTTCATGTTGTCCCTTTCCTCTATCAACTCTGTACCATCATCACGTATTAAATTTGTTAATGCTTCCAGTTTTCAGCATCTGAAATTTTCTAGGGGTAGGAGATGCCCCTTTTATAGTGCCTGTCTTATCAACTGATTGTTTATAGAGTGTTGCCTGTAACAATATATATATATATATTATATATATATATATGCATGCACGTAAATGCTAGTGTTTGGAGCAAAAAGTTTGAAATTATCATTGCATTGTTTTAGTTATATGGATTTATTACCCGATGATGGACAAAAGCAAATGAAGCAATCAATAATTCCTTTCGTTCATATTGGTTCATGAAAATTGTCAAATCGCATTAAATGCGTATGGTGATATCTTCAATAGTCCTTATCACACAGGAAAAAAGAAAAGGAGGAAAAAAAGGGAAGAAAAAAAATAAACCACCAGAACAAAGCTTTGAAAAGAAATAGAAAAATGTCTTTTAAAAAAGGGTGGTGATTTTTCAAGTCATTTTTCTCACTTACACTCCCTTTTGTTTTTAATATTTTTTTTTTTTTTTTTTTAATATAATTTCAATCAATTTTTTGTGTTTTTTTTTTTCTTTCTTTTTTTCTATCCTTCACCCTACGTTAAAGTTTTATATGGGTACTCAATCAATGAAGTGAACAAAACTTAGGGCTTTTTGATTTCTCCATCATCACTGTAACACAACAATAAAACCAGGTTTTGGATTCCCTTCAGACTTGGAATGCCCAATTCTTTTCCTTTTTTTTTTTTTTTCTTTAATTCCTGGTGTTGTACTTTCTGAGAAGGTACCAAACAAATGAAGGTATGAAATGATCTCATATGAAACAAAGAGAACTCCATTAATGTGAATTTGAAACTCATAGTAACAAACTCAATTTATTTTTCGAAATTCTAAGAACTCAATTCATGTCCACAAGGTCATCAATTTTTTTTTCATTCAATATATATTTTCCAAATGATTATGAAGGAGAAGAGAGGGAGAGAACATGGAAAAAGAAAAGGGCTTCTTAGATTTAGGTCCAAAACGATTAGCTGTCATTAGGTTTCTCCTTGAGTTTTTTGTTTTAGATGTAGGTCTTTGACATTTATTATTATTTTGTTTGTTTTTGTCGATTTTACCCTTGAGGTAAATAAGGAAAACACATTAAAAATCTAAATTTAATGCATTATTTCTTATATTGATTTCATAATTTAAATTTTGAATTCCTTGATAATATTCCTAATATGGATAAAATACAATTTAATCAATAAGAAGTAAAGACCACATATTATACCAATCGATCAGACAAGCACTCACACTAAATTATGTATCTGACATACAAGTAAATAGTGTTATTATTAGCAACGAAAAATACTTAGTGATAAATCGTGTACCTATAAGTTAGAACATAAATTAGAAGACTACCGATAAGTCAAAATACAAAGATAAAAAAAATAAAAATATTAAAAAAAAAGTAAAAAAATAACTATACACATTTGCCGAAAATATGAAAAAACATATGCAATAGGCAATAGGAAAATATGACATAAATGACTATTACCCGATTCAAGTCATAAGGGGCAACATTGGAACGAAAAATGATTTTAAAAATAAAATAATAAAAAGATTACATCATAAATTATAAAAAAGGAATATAATTTTATGTGGCACCAAATCCGAGGATTAAGGCCCCGTTTGGGATTACTTTTTTTTGGCCAAAAACCTACTAACTTTAAAGTCAAGCAGTTTAAGGTGTTGGTAAAATTAAAATATCCCCGATATTTTAAAAGCAGTGGCCTTTTGACAGCAGCTTTTAAAAGCTGACTCTGGGGTTGCTTTTCAAAGCGCTTTCAAAAGAAACAGAGATGAACATGTAATAAATTTTTTAATTCTCAAAATATCATCATTCATTATAAAAGGCCACCCCCCTCCCCCCCTACATTCCAATCAACAACTACACCACCACATTCTACTATCGCCACAAACCACCGCCCACCACCACCACCACAACCCCACCACATCCTCCTCCTCTCAATCCTCCGCCACCACCACTCCAAACATCACCGCCTCCTCATTTGCACAACCACCATCACCACTCCTCCAAACCTCCACATCCACCAACCACACCATGTTGCCACCACCACCACCACCACCACCACACACACACCTCCACCACTGCCATCCCATCACCACAACCAGCAACTTCGCCTTCATCTCCACCACAAACTCCACCATCATTATCACTACCACTACCACCCATGATTAGTGCATAACACTTGTAAATCAATCTATTTTAGTCAGTATCACGTTGTTACAAAAATTTTATATTAAAATGTTACAAACGTGTTTTAACACTGCTTTTGGACTAACGCACTTGAAAAAGTGGTTTACCCAAACAGGGGCTGCTTTACTTTACAGCCTAATTATTTTGAAAGCACAGAAGTACGAAACTTTTTTCACCGTGAGCAGGCATTCCCCAAACAGGCATTATCCACTCATCAATAGGAATTTAGATCTATATCAACTCTCTAAAAATGGAATGTAAAAAAGGTGTTAGATTGCATTTTCTGTTTCTGGTGGCCACCTCAAATTTGTTGCCTTTAATAAAATAGTAAATATTAACTAAACTATGGCTTCCAGATTATCTTGGGGCATGAGTTTTTGCAGATGGGCCGTGTAATTTTGCCTAGCCAAATTATACAATGTTATTTATTCTTACTCAATTAAGAATAAAAAACTCACACTAGAGTGAAGTTGAAAATAAGTATAAGAAAAAGAACAATATAAAGTGAAGTAAAAAATAAATTATGTAGGGTAAGGGTAGATTAAGAAAGAAAAAAAAACAAAAACAAAAACAAATTATTATAAAAAATATTAAAAAAAATAAAGGGAGTGCAAATGAAAAAAAAAAGGAGTGGAAAGATCAGCTCCCTTCAAAACAACAACAACAACACAACAACAACAACAAAAAAGTTTGCACGACATTTGATGAACCATAATGCATCATCAGCACCATTTAAAAAAAAGTTGCACGCCACTTTGATTAACCATAGCATCAGCAGCACCATTATACCAAATAGGTGATAAGATAGACCAAAGTTTAACCAAGTATAATAAGGTGGAGGGGCACTGATGGGCACCATAGATCCAAAAAAAAGAGGAGAAAATTTATGATAAATACTAAATTTGTGCAGGCCTAGAGGACAGTTGCACCTGCCCAGGAAAATGGCCGCCCGCAAAGTAACATTCCACGAGCTCCAAAACTAAATGCGTTCGTAGACCAAGCTAAATCGACAAGTGTTTCAATAAATATGTGTAAAAAAATTGTGGTGTGTGGGGGAAAAAAAAAAAAAAACAAAAAAAAAACTCTGCTTTCATTCATATCTTGCTTCAGTCATAAAAAGTGTTTAAGTCCGCGGGGCCGGGGAAGCAGCGTTTTTGTGGGCTGTTGGAACGGTGAGCACAGGACAAAAGAAAATATGGCAGGACATCAGGGCTGCTCACACCCACCATTACCTCAAAAAATACGTGGACTTACGGTTCCATGCTTGAGAAGTTTGGGTGGTCTTCGACTAATATGTCACGGGCTCCCCTCACGCAGCTTGCCTTTTTTTCTCTTGACAGTCGCAGTGACTTTCACTTCATTAAATTATTTTCTTGTTCCGGTTAGTTTTATGAAGTAGTGGGTCATGTTATTCATTCGGGATATATGGGTTATTGGACCTCTTGTGTATTGCGTGGAGATCATGCGGGATGTCAAAGCTCCAGAATAGGGTATGACGATACTCCCAGTTTTTCTACGCTAATTACATGTCAAAGGAGCATTATGGAAGAGCAGAAGAGAGACATCACTACTTTTTGCTTTATATCACTCGGTAGCCATTCATTGATTTGTTGTGATCGAAGGAAGTTTGCAGACACAAGGGGCAGCTGTGGGTACTTGTTGTGGCCCTGAATGCTTTATGGAGATCCTTTGTCCGGGCCGATGATGGCTCTTTGACCGTCACCTGTGTTGGTTAAAAGATCATAGTCCGGTGGGTTATTTTTATTAATTATGTTGTTGTTTGGAACCTCTATATGGTGTTCAACTGCGAGGGGTACACAATGTTAAAACAATTATTCTCAGTTGTTTTTCGCCATGCATAGGGAGAAGGGCATTTGAAGATGCAAGCGAGTAAATGAAGCTTTTAAGAGTAAGCGTCCTGAATTGGTTTGTGCGGGTTCTGCGGGAGGGAGATTGTTCTTTTTTCTGCAAACTTCTTTACCTTTGTCCCTTTTTCCTGTAGTAAAATTTAAGCATTGTTGAAATACTCAGCGGTTCCAAATAGTCTAAGTTTGCCCCTACACATTTCAAATGACCAAATCTAACCCCATTGATATGTGCCAAGGTTGCCTTTCAGTTAGTTTCATATAAACACCATTAAAAGCTGAAAGAGTGGCATGGGTATTTTGGTAAGTTAATATTAAAAATTAAAAGATTTAATTTAATATTATAAAAAATGCTTTGAAATTATTTAAAATAGATAAAAAATAAAATATAAAAATGTCTCTATTTTTTATCCCTAATGTAAGCTACCACACGCTCCCTCATCTCACCCCCCTTCTCTCTCCTCCCTCAGAAGAAGGGGGAGGGGGGAGGTACGTGGTTAGGGGGGTGGGGCTGGTTGCGATTAGGGAGGATGTGTAGGGGGCGACGATTGAGGGAGGAAAAAAAAAAAAGTAGGTATTTTTATCTTAATCTAGTTAAAATAATTTTAGCCAATGTTATATTTATTTTGGAACTTGGAATCGTTAAATTTATCAAAATACTTTTGCCACCGTCAGGCTGATTTAACGGTTTTTTAGAAAGAAACGGAATGGGGTAACCTTGGTCCGGGATAGAAGTGCAGGGAGAAATAGAAATGAATCATTGAAACATCAAGGGGCAAACTACGACTATTGGAAACAATGGGGGGTTTTCAACAAATACGTCTTCAATATATGCATTCGTTTTTTAGAGAACGTTTTAATAACAAGAAGTTATATACTTGCGGTACAACAGATTCTCACCTCAGTACGTTTTTTGATTTCAGCCAAGGGTTGAGGTTGAATGGAAAGCATGCCCCACGACTTTCATCCATGCTGAGTGTTCTATTAATCTCCGTTTACCACTGTGGTGATATCAAAGTAAGATTTCGTATATAATATTCGTGTAGGGAATATTTGAGGAATCGAATGTACAGAAAAAGTCCGGTCTCTAGTTAATGATCATGCTGGAAAAACTTCAGAGGTCGGTTCCCAGTGCCGTACTTGGAGGGAGTTGACCACATTACTCAATTCCTGAAGTCGGACGCAGTGGGAAGAGTTTTAATGCAAAAACTGGGTAGAGGAATTAATCATTCATCACATGTGCCATATGATGTTAAAATTAAAGTTTTGAGTTTTTTTTTTTTTCAAGAAAGGATAGGAACAGAAGACAAACACAATCAAAATAGTCCTATGATGTTAAAATACGGCAGAGATTAAAAGTGAAGTGATTTTGGAATGGGGTGTTGGTCTTGTGGAATTAACAGATACAAGCTACGTGAAAATATTCCAAGAAGCGTGGACAGGATGGACACGAGGTACAATGTGGAAGACGAAAAACTTTGTTAAGTCTGCTGAGGAGGCTCATCAAAGACTTGTGGAGTGGTTCTACAAACCCATGTCATGTGAATCACTCAAGAGAGAAGAACGTCTGGAGCTTTTGATCAACTGCTTATTTGGATCAATAATTGTTAAAATGCCTGCTTTTTTTTTTTTATGTAAACCAAGATAGGTGTTGTTAGTATCAGCTGCTTGGGATATTAAGGTTGAAATGCGTCATTGCATTGTTTAAAGTGGGGGTTCTATACCAGCTTTTATTCATATAGTCTGAATGATATTATTTATGGAAAAAGGTTTGATCTTGGAGATTTTGTGGCTCATATCCACAGAATGCAGGTAAGCAAAACAAAAACAGAAACAAAAGAAAAGGGTAAATGAGTCACAAGGTGTGACTTGGTTTATACATTGTCAAGGAGGGGCAAAGGAATATAATTACAAGGTTTATCATGTTTTTGCTCTTTGTTTGAAACCAATAGTAAATACGTTTGTTAAAACAGAGAAAAGCTTGAAAACGATGTTCTCCATGTTGGGAGAATGATCACAAAACTGAAGAATAGGATAGAAAATAAAGTAAGGCAAAGAGAGTTTGTTGTAAAACAGAGAATTAGACAAACTGATTTTATTAACTTCTTCGATACAACAACAGCCTATTAACAGGCTATTTATAATTACATTTACACCCTTTTACATAATACGACACAAAACTCTTGAATTAATTCCAGAAGAACAGTGAAACTCTTGATATCAATATACTACTTCTTCATAGCTAAGAGATACAACTCTGCAAGAAATTGTAGGAAAGATTACAACTAATAAGTTTATTTTTTTAAATTAATTTGAGGACGAGCATTATTTTTACAACTCCTTAATGCATTGTGTCTTGCACACTAATTTCTCTCGGAATAAAATAAAACTTCTCTTAGGAAGGGCTTTGGTGAAAACATCTGAAATCTATTATCAGGGCACACAAAAAAACTCAATTCAATCTTGTCTGCAAGTATTATGATAAAGTGATGCGAGCCCATGTGTTTGACCTACCATGAAAAACGAGATTCTTTGTCATCTGCAATTATTGTGGTGATTTTGAATTGATGAAGATCTACCATAAAAATTTCTTTGCTAAACTTGCATCCCACACTGGATTGTGGCGGGGAACACTACTACAAAAAAGGAAAAAAAACACGACGGGAATTCACCGTCGTGTATTCTGTTTTCAAATGGTCGTGGAATCCACCGACATCTTTTCCATAAACCAAACCACGACGGTGAATAACCGTCGTTGTTAAAACAAAAAAACGTCATCAAAAAATAAAAACCGACGTCTTTGTGCTGCAAAAAGACATAAAAAAACAGTCGAGGATGAGAATAGCCGACCAACTCCAACAAAAAAAACGTCGTTAAAAGGAAACAGATGACATATATACAGAAACATGGCCGCAAGATAACATACAACGACGAAACTTAAACTTTAACGCCGGTTAATAATATTTAACGACAATATAAATACGACGTCTTACAACATAATAGACGACGTTATTGAACACTACTACGTCACAACCTTTCCACAACCGTCGTAAAATAAATTTCCACCTCGATTTTCTATGAATTATGACGTGGCACTAGATGTTTTCTCAGGTCATTACTACGAGCATGTATTTACAGAGACGACGTTGAATTGATAAATAACGCGGTGTCAAATAAGGAGAGCCGTATACAGATTTCTACGTCATAAATTGGAAAATAACGACGTGGAACAAAAATGATGGGGCTCTATAATTACGACACAGTAATCTTTATAAGGACGACGTTGTCCCTTAGTAACAACGTCTTCCCCCCCCTCGCATCCTTCGATTTCGCCTTCGCGTTTATGCGTTCGACGAGTGGTCGCAAAAAGCTCCTGCTCACAATGTCTGCCCTGTGTAACTCACTACACGCCATCTTAGTTTCGTGCGGATAGCGTGTCAGTCTTCATTTAAAAAATTGACGTCGTCTAATGCATATATCTAAAAGTCGGAAAGTTTACTGGAGAGTGAGAAGTAACCGCATCACGACCAGAGACAGCCGTCGCGACCAACATAAATTTAGACTCGGAGACCCCATCGTATAGAGGTGGAGCGCCAGTGCCGTTCGCGCCTATCCCGAGAGCTGCTCAGACACGTGATCGACGACAGTCGATTGCGATGATACCAAGACTGGGTTCTTGATGACTCTGCCGCCGTGTTTCTCCTCACCTGCGGGCGATGCAACGCTCTGGCAGGTCCAGTAGGCTGCGACGGTCATGTATTTCTGTGAGACGACGGAAGAAGAAAATAAACCACGCGGTTCCAACTAAATGAGAGAGTATTAGAAGAATTATAGTCATATTGTGACAAAAAAATTTAACGTACGTGGAAAAAATTAATGCTGGGGCAGTAATATACGACACAGTAGTACTTTATGAGGACGACGTGTGTGTTGTATTAAACGCTCTGGTAACATATGAAAAACAACGTCGTGTTTAATCGTTTATCGCTTCCTTAAAACAATTAACGTGGTTATAATTCTATAAATTCTTAACGTCGACCAGTAATTTAATGGATTCAAATACCCGTCGTGAATTCAATTTTTCCATTGCGTTTTTTTTTTTTTTTTTTTTTTTTTTTTTTTTTTTTTTTTTTTTTTTTTTTTTTTTTTTTTTTTTTTTTTTTTTTTTTTTTTTTTTTTTTTTTTTTTTTTTTTTTTTTTTTTTTTTTTTTTTTTTTTTTTTTTTTTTTTTTTTTTTTTTTTTTTTTTTTTTTTTTTTTTTTTTTTTTTTTTTTTTTTTTTTTTTTTTTTTTTTTTTTTTTTTTTTTTTTTTTTTTTTTTTTTTTTTTTTTTTTTTTTTTTTTTTTTTTTTTTTTTTTTTTTTTTTTTTTTTTTTTTTTTTTTTTTTTTTTTTTTTTTTTTTTTTTTTTTTTTTTTTTTTTTTTTTTTTTTTTTTTTTTTTTTTTTTTTTTTTTTTTTTTTTTTTTTTTTTTTTTTTTTTGGGGACAGGTAGGGGACTTCGGACATTGGCAGAGATTCCTAATCAAAGCCGTTGAAAACTCTTCTGGTTATCAATCAAGCTCCATGGTTCGATGTAAAAGGAACAATTTGGGTTATCTCCTCCAGGTAAATAAATAGTCCCTTCTTCAGTTTTGGAATTTTTTTTATTCTACACATATAGATTTTTAGTAGTTTGAAACATGGAAGTGAAGCTGTGGGCACTGATTAAATATAAAATAGAGGATTGTGTTTGGAATGTGCAAAGTGCAGAGTTGGTATGGGACATGAAGTGGGACACAAGGGATGTCTAAAGTTCTGGCATCATCCTGTTGGAAAATGTTTCAGGGAAAAAAGCCCAACCGCCGACAGGTTCAAGGAATTCAACCTTCAGGCTTGTCAAGGAAAGCTCTGCCTGAGAAAGTGCTAGACAGTGTGGATCCGGTTCTTGTTCAAGAAAAAGTGGACAGGGAGATGAGCAGTGCAAACAATCGTCTAATGAGGATAGCACAAGGGCTCACATCGAAATTGAAGAGAGCTGGATCAGTTTTAGAAATTGTGTTGCTTGCGCTGCAGAGTTGCCTAGAGAGCGGTTGGATATTACTGACGCTAGGCTGAAAGGTGCCGATAAGAAACAAATTCGAGCAAATAAATATGCCAATAAGAGCATATGTAATACTGTTTCCTTTGGTATCCAGATTTCATTACCGTCTGAATAAGATCTGAGAGGTCTGCGTGATTAAATAAAGAGTGTTTTCTTTCTTTTGATGAAGTTCCTACATTATTTGGGGGGCCATGCTAGTGGACTATTTGTAATGTGGCTTCACTTGGGCCTTTTTGCTTTGATTTCTATAATTTGTGTTCGGCAGGCTGATTGTAGGTTATGGATGTAACCGGAAAAATAATAAGGTAAAAAGTCATTTTTGTCCATGTGGTTTGCATTTATCCTTTGAAATTTGGTCAATGTTGCAGGTGGTTTTTAATTTGAAGCAATTAAGGACAATCCTCAATTTTGTCAATTTTTTGTAACTTCTGTTAGTTCTGGAGGGGCAAATTAAGTCCAAAAATTATTATTCTCTTTAAAAATAATTTAAAAAAAATTAAAATAAAATGTATTAAAAATAAAAATAAGAGCTAACAAACAAAAGACACCCTGTTGGTTTAGGGTCATTCTCAAATGGACCCCACAGTATCAATTTTATCAATTTACGCAATGATGTTTGGAAATAGTCCAATTTCATCCTTTTATTAAGTTGACCCAGGACGGTCAATCGTTAACTGCTGACGTGGCATCCATGGGACCCACCCACCAACGCTTTGACCATTCTGCACATGCCAGTTGAAGGGGGGTGTTTTGGGTTTCGACAATTTAAAAAAGACAAAAGAAAAAAAGAACTGAACATCGCACCCAAAATTGGGCATGCTTTGCAAGAGCTGGAGATCGAAGAGAAAGCCCCAAATTCGCCTCAACCTTAGTTTAGCATAAATCCTAAATTTCCATAGCTGAGAGCTCAGATCTACGATTTCGAAGAAGTGAGCTGCCCAAAAGGTGTATTCGAGTGTATTGGCTCCTTAACCCCAGAAAACGAAGGAGAAATGTAGCATAAGGCGATGGTATGTTGGTGTGGTAAAAATGCGAGAATCTGAACCTCATGGACAATTTCGAATCCTGGGAGGCGATTCGTTGTGTGTGCAAAGGTAAAAGACTGGATTTGGTGCAAAATATTATATTTTGAATTGTAGCAGGTGCAAATATTAATTTACAGAGTGGGTTTTGTGCAGGGTAGAGGAGGTTGTGATTTCTGGGTTTGGTATGATGTGGAAATGTGTGAAAGGTCTAAAGTTGTGATTCCGGTGTTGCTAAAAAAGCGGGATAAGTTGGAGAATTCACTAGCAAAGGCTAGACGTAGAAAGAAGGTTCTTTGGGCAGTATTAGTGGTGTCGTGGATGCTTATTGCAATGTTTTTCTTTGGAGGGAATGGTGGGTCAGATGGACTGAAGCTGAAGACTTTGAAATTGGCATGAAATGGGGTGTTTTAGGGATGCACTGTGCTTTTGGTATGGGAAGTACTGTGCTTTGTGGTGTAATGTAGTGTGCTTTTGGTTAGGGTCTGCACTCTGCCTTTGGTATGGAAAGCAGTGTGCTTTTGGTTATGTAATGGGAATGAACATTTTGTATTTTGGTTATGTAATGGGAATGGCTATGTAATCTGCATACAATGTGAAATTTTGGTAATGCAATAGCCCGTTCATTCCAATAACTTGTTTGTACAACATATGAACAAATTCATTTCCACTTGCAGCATTACAACAAAATAGGCCACAGAACAACATTTACAACCTTACAAAAGAACACAACTTGTTTTCCAAAAACATAGTACCTGTTTTCCAAAAAAACAGAACATATCTTACAAAATATCACAAGCTATCTTCCTAAAATAAGGCAACTTGTCTTCCAAAATAACATAATAACCTAATCAAACCAGCTGATAAAAGGTAACCAGCTAATAAAGGTAAATTGTCTTCTGATAACAAAATAACCAAACCAGCTAATAGAACACAGACAAGTGTGCAAGACCATCATCATTCCTTGCTCAAGTCTGATGCTCCCACAACCATAGGTCGTTTCCTCAATAAAAAAAGAATTGCCAGTTGAAGCTTCAGTTGATGCAGGAGGGGCAGATCCAGTTGCAAGAGAGGCAGATACACTTGCAGGATGGGCAGATATTGAGGATAGAGCAGCTGAATCAGTTGGTGATGCATTTGAACTTCCAGCTGCAATGGTGGCCTTTCTCTTCCATTTTCCTTATGCACAAATCTTGCAGGCTTAGCTCGCCTTATTTTTGTACTGGGACCAACTTTATTTGTTTGAGTAGTTTGCTAGGATGAGGCAACAAATAATAAACTATTAGGTGCATCATATTCCAAAAAACATTAAAATTTATAAAATTAACAATGTTCATCCTTAGATGTTTACCTCAGCCTTCCTATTTTTATTTTTGTTTTTGTTTTTGGGGGGAGATTCCTATGACAAGTCCTTTTATTGTGACCCTTTCTTCCACATTGGCCACACCTTAGTGAGTCTTGAACTTTTGTAACAACATTGGCCTTCTTGTTGCATTCACTTGCTTCCTTCCTTCTAGCCTTTCTTGGCCTTCTAGGTTGTTTGGAGTATGAAGGAGGCACACATGGTGGTATATTAGTTCTATCCCACAACTCCATCTCATTCATAGGTAGTATGAAGTTTTCATATTCCTTGAAATATGTCTGAGTGTGATAACATGTATCCACATAATCTATTACGTTCAGGCCCCTTTTGTAATTTAACATACAACCAAGTTCTTTTCTGTTCAAATTGGGAGGGTTGTTTAATCCCCAAATTCGCAAACTGTTGGCCATCTTTCTTCTCTCTTCCTCTCACCTCCCTCTCTCTATTGCCTGACCACTTTCTAGATCTGACGCCACCAGCCCTTTCCCCTTCTTTTTCTTATTTTTCCATTTGCATGCACTAGTTTCTTGAATATATGTTTCTCCAATCTTAAGCCCCCAACGAGATCTAGAAGTTCTAGCTCAACGAGTTAGCAGCCATGGCCGTCAAGAACAGTTTTAATTCAGTTTATCTTTGGGTGAATTTAAAGTACTAAATGTGATATGAGTTAAATTTACCTGCCATCAAGCACTCTCTAAAACCTGCAAAGTCGAGTAGTGTCAATAAGAGATTCAGAAGAACAAACATGAGCCCCTTCATATAGCTGCTTAATGGTAAAGACCGGCATAACTAATAGAGAACAGAATTAGTGAGTCAATCCCATCAAAGCATAAGTGTACTCACAAAGGATGGATTGGGATGGGCTGTAGCAGTACTTGTCTGGGAGAAATTCCTCCCATGAAAACTCAAAATCCTTTTTCAACTTGAAAAATACTTGGTCAGTCTGAAATAGCTTCAAAGACTTGAAGGAAAAATAAGAGGTACACGCTTATCCCAACCAATTTTAAATTGATGCCATTAATTTCAGCATAGAAACTCACCCCTTGCTTAGCATGACCGAAAACACCAACCAAACTGCTATATCCAAAGCAACAAAAGACCACTTGCAAAATATTAAAAGAAAACATGGTTTTAAAAATAAAAATAAAAAAAGAAGAAAAGGAAGAAAAAGCAGAAAACTGGAGAAGAAATTAGCTTGAGTATTTTATACATGCACAATCTTTTCATTAAACCAAAAAATTAGCTTGAGCAAAATCTGTACGAAAAGAAACCACTCAAGACTACCCAAATTAATGTGTTTTGGGTAAAGAAAAACACTGTAAAGGCACAGGAAAAGGGCTGTTTAAATGATCCTGAAAGCAAGTGTTTCTAAAATAGAGAATAAAAATATAAAAGTTTTTGAATCTTAGATCCTTTGTTCACTTTTTGTTTCTTTTCAACATAGATATGAACCTCTTGTTTAACAAAACCAAAAACAACCACCAAACAGCTCTATCTAAAGTAGCAAAACACCACCTACAAAACATCAAAAGTAGACGTGGTTAAGAAAGAAGAGGAGAAAAAGCAAGAAAAAATCGAAAAAATTGAAGTTTTTGATTTTCCAGTCCCAAAACTGTTCAAATATGTTTTCATGTGCAGTGGTTTTATATGAGATGCTTGAACTTTGTTAGTACACTACTAAAACAAAAGAAAAATCCTAGAAAACAAAAACAAACAAAGACAGCACAAAACAGAATAACATCTCTCAAATATAAATCCTTTTCGACATTGGCAATCTCACAATGCAGCCATAATAAAGTAATTAATCAAATTAATTAACAATGGTAGCAGAATTGTAGATCAATGGGCATTGACATAAGCATTGTTTTATATCAGATTTTCCAATTAACACAAATATTAGTCTCTAGAGAGCTTGAATCTAGCTTAGCATAACCAAGTTGAAAAATGGTTTTATAAAGTATCTGGCTGCCGAATTTCTCCTGTTCAAAGAGGGATCTTAATAAAATTAGAACTTACAAACTAAGTGCGAATTGAGAATGGTTACATTCATATTTTCTGAGCATAGATATATTATACAGAAAGGAAAGCTGGCCAAAGAGAACTATATAAAAAGATATTTATTTAATTAAAAAATGAGGGTATAATATATATATACCTATTATCCAAAGCAGTGTGTAACTTAACAATGGTTTCTTCCTCCTCAGCAGTGATGTTCCCTCTCTTCAAGTCAGCCCTTAGATAATTTAACCACCACAGTTTGTAACTCTTCCCACACCTCAGCAATCCTTCAAATCACACACAAAGACATTGATTTGTGTATATTTACAACCAAATGAAGACACATTGGGAATATATATAAAGGATCCTTTATTGTAAAAATCTTTGAAGGCTAAATATAAAAACAATTTCGAAGAAATTTGAAGAATCCATTTGCTTAATTTAAATTCGTTGTATGTCACTGGATATTGACACAAAATAAGGTATTTCTAAATCCCATTTGAAACTATATTCTTTGCTGCAGAATGCATGATCCAATATCAAGATTTTTCAACTTTTTGGCATTAAAATGAGGCAAATCAGGACTATTGCCTAAGAATATAATACAAAATCCATCATCCATTGTTCTGTTAGCCTAGTGGAATTAGTTTTCTTGGTATTAGATTGCCTATTGGCCAAGTTGTTTGATCAGGTAAAAGCTTTTCATGCCTGCCACAATGGTAAGGAATTAATCCTCATAGTCTTAGATTTGGCCTTTTGTTTTAGAAGAACAGTGACAACCACATATTTCCAAAGGCTAGTTGCAGAGAATTCTCTCAGCTTTTAGAATATTACATGTAAAGTTCTTTGTCCAGTTGAAAATTCTAAATACTTGTCTTTTGGAAAAACAAAGAGAACAAAACATTGCTTCGAACTCTGCTCTTCAGTCCAAGATAATACTAAAGCATGCCAAACTTATCAAAGAACAAATTCTTTGAGCTCCTCCAATTTACCAATGTAACTGCTCATTTTTCTAGAATTTAAGACCCTAGCCCTTACATTCAAACTCACGTAGGTTGTAAACACAAAGTATAAGATACGTCGTTGGAAACACAAAGTATTATAAAGTGATTTAGCAGATCAATGGATGTATTAATAGACCAATTACCAAAACACTCAAAAGGATTAACCAACATGCTCAGATATTGTAAACATCTAAACCTATCATCATAACAACAAATAACAATACAACAAATCATCACAGTAGCAGAATCAATTTGGGCAAGGAATCAAAGGATTCAATAGCATGCTCAGAAACCCATTAGCAAGCCATTAATCCGTTAAAAAGTTGAGGGGATGCAAACCTGAAGAGAAACGATGGAAGAATTGGCAGATCGAAAATCTCTCAGAAAAACGTTGGATAGAAGATTGAAGATGGCTGAACCAACGAATGAGCAGACGAGATGAGATGAAGACCAAACAAACGGCGAGATTCGCAAGGCGCCAGCCCAAATGGAAATCGACGGCCCCAAACGAATCCCGAAGACCGAAGTCGTGTATTCCATGGTTGCCCCCCAATCAGCCGAACGAAGTGGTTCGAAGCGATGTTTTGTGGAAACGAAAGAGTAGAGAGAGTTAGTATCCAAAGAGAGAGGGGCAAAAAGGGAACATAGGAGGAAAATTTCAGTAAAGGGCAAAACCGTCACTCCACTATTGCGAATGAACAGTCTAGGAACAGTGAATTCGTGGATTCAGTTTTAGTATATATATAATTTTGTAACTTAAACTTGCTACATTTTTTCATAACTTTATACACATTTCAGACGGTTTTAAAACCCGCAGCATCGCGGGGGCATCTTTGCTAGTGAACTCTGGACACAAAGTGATGTGTATAGTTATGGCATCTTCCTGTTGGAATTGTTTACAAGCAAAAGACCAACAGATGGGATGTTTCAAGGAAGTGTGAACCTTCATAAATTTGTCAAGAATGCTTTTTGACTGATTAGGTTGAACAGATTGTGGATCCTGTTCTGGTTCAAGAAAATGGGGAAGGGGTCATGATAAATACTAGTAATGTGGATTGTACAAGGGCTTGCATTAAGATTCGAGAAAGCTTGATTGCCATTTTAGAAGTTTGTGTAGCTTGTTCTGCGGAGTTGCCAAGAGCACGGTTGGGACATTCGTGATGCTCTGGCAGAGATGTGTGAATAAAAGCATACTTCTATATGCTCCGTATATCATATTGTAACATGTTTATACCAAAATGAACAGCCAGTAAGCATTGGACACGTGGACCAAACTGGAGCTATGGAAGCCTTCGACACCTAGCTCCGGTACCGTTTCTACCGATCGCACGATTAGGGCAACTTCACCCCCAGGGACACGTGGCAGTCCCACAATTGGAGTCCACAGTCCCACATCGAAATTCTAAACAACTTGCACACCTCCCATGACCTATAAAAGAGGACAACTATCCCAAATTTTAGTTCAATCTTATTAAATCCGCACTTACTTAAGCATCGGAGAGCCTTCGGCCGGTACCACACCAGTGCCCTAGGACTTACAGAGCGTTTGTTATCTTACAGATCGAACGCCCTATCGAGGCCCAGAGCATATCGAAGGCCCAACATCACTAAGTTGCGCGGGAAAGTGCCGAACCATTTTTCTGCGTTAACAGTTTGGCGCCGTCTGTGGGAACCGATAAGAATCGACCTACAATTCCTAAACAACACATGGAAAACCACTACAGTACCAACGTTCTTATCGGAGGATGGACTACCGTACGGCATGCCAAGCGGAGCAAGCCCCGAGCTGCACCCTAGCACTCCTTTCGGTAATCCTCCGGTGATTCAGACTACGGTCGAAGCGGACCTTTTGGCTCAAATGACTTCCCTTCGGAAGGAAATGGCCAAGCTTCAAGAAAATAACAAACTCCTCTCGTCCAAAGTAGACGAAACCCAGCGGCTGCTTAATCAGCAGGAAACGCAGAATATTCAAGCTACAGAACCTTTCCAAAGTCTGCAGACCCCCAGTCGGCAGAAGAAAGGGAAGAAGGGGGCAAAGGCAACGCCTGAGCCTTCCAAACAGCTGGTAGTCCCGGCTCCATGGGACCAGCCTCACGTACCAAAGAAGGTCTACACCAAGTGTCGCCATCGGATCAACGACAAGGGGGTCGAACGGCAGAGGTCCCCAATCAGGATCAATGCTGGCCTGCGAGAGTCACGGATGAGGGTCCTTAGAAACAAATCACCCCTTAGGAAGGTCCAAGGGTCGGAGTCGGAGGTAGAATCTGATGTTGAGTATGCCCCCTCCAAGGGCACCGAATCAAACTACCATTCGGAAACTCCCACGGAGTATTCGAAGGCAAGACCACCAAGTCCGAGGAGAACTTCCGAAGACTACAGTTCTGAGGAGGTCCCAAGCTGAGAACCCGCTATCCGTCTGCTCTTCCAGAGAATTCAGAAGATGGAAGACGACCGAACCCGGTCCTAGGAACCTGACTGGGGGAAACTTCGGCCGGGACCCTTTACCGAGGGAGGTACAGCCGTTGCGCATACCGTTTTACACCGGCGTGGAAGACCCCTTGACGCAGCTTCACTATTTCTAATCGGCGGTCGGATGCAAGGGCCTCAGCGATGAGGGGCAATGCCTGTTGTTCCCATCCTCCCTTACCGAAGCTGCTTTGAATTGGTTCTACCGTCTTGAACCAGGAACGGTAGACTCGTTTGACGAACTGAAGCAGATTTTTCTCAATCACTTCATGATCTAGATGGACCGTCTGTACTCTGCCGATGATCTGTACACGGTTCAGCAGAGAGAAGACGAACCCCTACAGGAATACGCTACGTGCTTTAGTCATGAATACTCGAGGTGTCCGGAAACGGACGATAGGGCAGCCTACGGTGCATTCAAGAGTGACCTTCAGTCCGCTCACTTTCGGTATCTCGTGCACAGTAGCAACTGGCGCACATATGATGAACTAATGAAGCAGGCGGCAGTCCACGCCATGGCTGAATATTTCAACTCCAAGTCCGAGCCTTAGGCTCGACAGGAGGAATCAGAACCAAAGAGCTATCCTGGGCGGACTGAAGACTCTTTGGCAGGTCACAAGCGAAAGGACGACCGTGATAATCGGCAAGGGAGCTCGAAGAAGGGGTGTGGGAAATACGGTCGCAAGAATGGTTTTCTCTTTGATCTTTGAACAGTAAAGAGGTAAACAAAATAAAAAGTAAAATAAAAAGGGTTCCGTTCTTCCTCATGGTCCATATACAATACAACTTTGGTAAGAGTCAGTTCATCGAAATAGAAAATTTATGAAGAATTCAGCTGTAATAAATTTCCTACCTTTTGTATTCCTTTTACGTTTTTTTACTTTCGAAATACGAACACGGAAATAATTGAAATATTTCTTTGATTGAAAGAGTATTCTTCATATTTATTTATTATTCATAGAATACATTACTCCACTAAAATCCAAGATAATTTCTAAATGAATATATTTTCTATTTCAATTTAAAAATTAAATTTTAAATTGAAATAGTGAAATTTAAAATAAAAAAGCTTTGACGAACGATCTATAAAAAAAAATGATACAGTTTAGTTCCTAAACTCAATTATTAGTACTTCTAGAGTCCACTTCTTCCCCATACTACTAGTGAAAGGGAAAACGTAAAGACTACCATTAAAGCAGCAACAAATGAGGCCGTCTTGATGAACGAGCACGACCAAATCTCGAAACCAAACCGAAAGCCCAATCAGCAGGACAATCGGATACCGGCAAATTCTGCTGATATCACCAGCAGAACAGCCACAACATCGAAGACTGCATTAGTCTGAGGAAAATCGTTGAACGCCTGATTCGGGAAGGAAAGCTGGATCAATACATTGCCAGACAACCGCAGGCACCAGCCCCAAACGCGAATTGGCAGATCAACATGATCAGCACCATCAGCGGAGGCCCCACTTTGGCGAGACCCTCTAACCGATCGATGAAACAATATGTGTGTGCCGCTCACTACCCTCAAGTCTTCGACATAGAAGCCGATCGGCACCGCAAGGACCCACAGGTGGGTTGGGAGCCCATCACATTTTGCGAAGAAGAGGAAGAAGGGATCATTTAACCCCACGATGACCCGATGATCATTCATGCCGAAATCGCCGATTACGATGTAGGTTGGGTACTGATTGACACTAGAAGTTCGGTAAATGTGATTTTTGCTGATGCCTTCGGAGGATTGGGGATTGCCACAGCATGGTAAATCGGCAAATAACGCCTCTACTCAGTTTTTCTGGGGATCTGGTCCAGCCAGTCGGCAGTATCAGTCTGCCCATCGCGTTCGGCGTTGCCCCTAGAATAACGATGACCTACGACCAATTTCTCATCTTCGACTGCACAACGGCATACAACGTCATCGTAAGACGGACGACACTCACTAGGGTCAAAGCCCACTTGTCCCCCCACATGTTGCTGATGAAATTCCCTACCCACAACGGTACTGGCGTTATCCGAGGAGACCAGCTCAGCGTAGGCCTCATCATTTGGCCCGCGGGCTCATGGGCCGATGGGGGCCCGCCCGGCCCATTGGAAAAAAAGCCCGTCCCGGCCCGTTATGGGCTTTGAGATGGCCCGGCCCGCCTTGGGCCGGGCTAGGCTTGGACTTGGGTGTCTGAAGCCCGGCCCGGCCCATAGGCCCGGCCCGATTAAGCCCAAAAAAGCCCGGCCCGACCCACCCACAAAAGCCCGGCCCGTTAGGCCCGCATATATACATATATAATTATGTATAAATAAGAGTTTAGGATTAGGATTATATCACTTAAATCATATATATAATTTGTTTCATTTCATTTACTTTTCTTTACTTATTCATAGTTTATAATTGGATGATTAGCACATTAATTTGTGTCAATTATTAATACAACAATTATATATATATAAATAAGATGAACAATATATCATATCACTAAATATAATCATATCACGAAACATAATCGTACTACTACCACAAAATATAATCATGTTTTTCTTGAACACATCACCAAACATTTACATATTTATTTATACCGTCCTTTAAAAAAAATATCTTTTTGATACTTATTATTTTTTAAAATTATTTCTTAAAACGTATTACGGTCTAATTATGTAATAACCTCAAAAATAATACTTTGTTTTATTATTTTTGTGGAAAATCTTATTAAGTTGTGTGACTTTATTGGGTATTTTATGAATTTGGTTTGATGTGAAAATATTGGAATTAAGTGAGTTTAATCTCAAATTTAGACTAAAATGCCTTATGATTAAGTTTATGATTTTTTTCGAATGAAGTAGGCCCGTTTCGGCCTGGCCCGTTGGGCTTAGCCCAGCCCGGCCCAATGGGCTTTCTCAAGCCCGACTTATGGGTCGGGCTTGGGCTTTGAATTTTCTAAAAAAACCCGGCCCGGCCCGATATTTTCTCTCTCCTCTTTAAAGCCCGGCCCGGCCCGGCCCAAGCCCGTTAAATTTGGGCCGGGCTAGCCCGGCCCGGCCCATTGACGAGCCCTAGCTCAGCGTACGGAAGTGCTATGCGACCGCTCTGAAATCGGTAGCTTGCAAGTCTTCAATGGAGGCTATGTCTATGCAGGGACTACCAAATGGTAGCGGGCCTATAGACGACCCAAGAGAGGAAACGCCAACGCCGGTAGTGCATCCTGCCGAAGAACTCAAAATAGTAATCCTGAATGAGGAATATCCCGATCGATGTGTAAAGATCGGCACCACCCTAGATCCCGACCTACGAATGCAATTCATTGACTTCTTGCGGCATCAGGAGGAGGTCTTCGCCTGGTTTTACGATGATATGCCCGACATATCACCTGACGTCATCAGCCACAAGCTTAGCATCTCCCCCGTCTATAAACCAGTCAGACAGAAGCGCCGTTCGTATGATGCCGAACGGTATGAGGCTATACGTATCGAAGTTGACAAGCTTAAAGCCATCGGCTTTATCAGGGAGGCTACGTACCTTATCTGGCTTGCCAACTTAGTCATGGTTCGGAAGACCAAGGGGGGATGACGAATGTGTCAAGACTATACCGCCCTGAATAAGGACTGTCCAAAGGATAGCTTCCCATTGCCGAGGATCGACCAGCTCGTTGACGTAACCGCTGGACACGAGCTGCTCAGCTTCATGGACGCCTATTCAGGGTACAACCAGATTTTCATGGACCCTGCCGATAGCGAGCATACGGTATTCATCACCGACCGCGGGTTGTACTGTTACAATGTCATGCCTTTCGGCTTGAAGAATGCGAGCGCAACGTATCAATGGCTCGTCAATCGAATTTTTGCTAAACACATCGGTGACATTATGGAGGTGTATGTCGACGACATGTTGGTGAAAAACTGAACGGCAAGGGGGCATCTGGAAAACTTAGCCCTCATGTTCGGTATACTGAAAGACTACTGAATGAGGTTGAACCCAACGAAGTGCGCCTTCGGTGTATCTTCGGGGAAATTTCACGGATTCATGATCAGCCAAAGAGGAATCGAAGCCAATCCTGAGAAAATCAAAGCCATAATCGACATGAAGACGCCGAAGACGCAGAAAGACATTCAAAGCCTTACCAGACATGTTGATGCCTTAACGCGCTTCATCTCCAGGGCCACCGATAAATGTGTACCATTCTTCAAAGCCTTGAAATGGGGCAAACATCATATCGCGTGGACTCCCGAATGCGACCAAGCATTTCAAGACTTGAAGAACTACATGAGCAAGGCACCACTATTGTCAAAACCGCTTCCTGGAGAAGTTCTCCTCCTCTACCTTTCGGTATCCAGCACTGCTGTTAGCTCGGTATTAATACGGAAGCCAGAGAAGGCAGAGCTACCAATCTTTTATGTCAGTAAGGCGCTTCAAAGCGCGGAGCTTCGATACCCACCCTTGGAACAGCTAGCACTAGCCCTTGTTGTCTCCGCCCATACTTCCAAGCACACGAGATCACGGTTCTGACCAATCAGCCCCTTGGCAGATACTTCAAAAACAAAAAACGTCTAGCCGATTGGTGAAATGGGCGATCGAGCTGGGAGAATTTGACATACAGTTCAAGCCGAGGCCTGCAGAGAAGGGTCAGGCCGTCGCCGACTTCATCTCCGAGCTCATACCTTCTGCACCATTGGAAACATCCTTTCCGAACGCTGTTATTGCAGAACCAGGAAAAATGGATGCCGAGCGCTTTGATCCTTCTGTCCCTCTATGGATCCTGCATGTTGACGGCTCGGCAAATCAGCAAGGCTGTGAAGCTGGCTTAGTGTTAACTACTCCAGACGGAAGCAAAGTCGAATATGCCATCTGATTCAACTTCAGAGCCTTTAACAACGAGGCAGAGTATGAGGCTCTCTTGGCTGGCTCATAGTGAATCAAATAACGGCAGACTTCGCAGCGAAGGATGCCTCCATGTCCGCCTACCTATCGGCAGCCCACTAACTCCTACAAAAGTTCTAGGCCTACGATATTCGGCAGATCCCAGGTCAGAAAACAGTCACGCCGATGCACTCTCGTGTTTAGCTTCGGCAATAAACGATAGGATCGGAAGGAGGGTGCTAGTGGAGATATTATCCCAGCCAAGCACGAGAACTGCTGAAGTCCCTAGCTCGTACGGTACGAGGGCACATGGATGTCTCCAATTTATGCTTTCCTAACGAACGGAAACCCTACCCACCGATAAGTCCCTAGCTCGGAAGCTACGGTACCAATCGGCAACATACACAGTCATCGACAATGTTCTGTACAAGCGAGGCTACACCACGCCGTATCTAAAATGCCTCACCAAAGGGCAGGGGGACTATGTCCTTTGGGAAGTCCACTGCGGGGTCTGCAGTGACCATCCAAGGTCCCGGTCGCTGGAAGTCTTCCCGCAGGGTAATTTCTGGCCGACCTTACACCAAGATGCAAACGTGTTAGTCAAGAAGTGCGACAAATGCCAACGGTTCGGTAGTGTCCCTCACCTAGTGGGGACTAGACTTGATCGGCCCGATGCCTCAAGGCAAGGGCCAGGTCAAATATGCTGTTGTTGCCGTAGACTACTTCACCAAGTGGGTAGGAGCCAAAGCCTTAGCAACGATAACGGCAGCCAATATGGAAGATTTCATCTGGATGAACATTTGCTGCCGATTCGAAATCCCCTACACCATCATCACCGAAAACGGCAGGCAATTCGATTCGGAAGCCTTTAGGCAGTTCTGCACTCGCCTCAAGATCAATCTGTTCTTCGTTTTGCCAGCTCACCCCCAATCGAACGGTCAAGTCGAGGCAATGAACAAAATAGTCAAGAAGCTATTGAAACGGCAACTTGACAAGGCCAAAGGAGCCTGGCCGGAGAATCTTCCAGAAGCATTATGGGCCATTCGGACATCCTACCAAACGGCCATCGGGGAAACACCGTTCTCCATGGCCTTTGGCTCGGAAGCGGTAGTCCTAGTAGAAATCGGAGAACCTTTCTACCGAACGGAAACTTTCGCCCCAAAGACGAATGAGGAGGCACTCGCCTTAAGCGTCGACCTGATCGAAGAACGTCAAGCGCAAGCCAACCTTCGGAATGAAGCTTACAAACAGCGCGTCTCTTGGTATTACGACTCCAGGGTCAGATCCCGATCTTTCCGAGTCGGAGATTGGGTCATGCGAAAAGTCTCTTTGCCAACTAAGAATCCCACGAAAAGAACCCTCGGACCTTCTTGGGAAGGACCTTACGAGATCATCGACATCCAGCGATCGGGGACTTATCGACTCAGAGACTCCAACGGAAAGACCCTCGGTCATCCTTGGAACGTAGAGCACTTGAAATATTATTTTAAATGAAGTCACCTAGCCTACGGCATGATGAAAATGTAGTTCAGAAAGCCTTCGGCTTATTCTTACTCACAGCCTTCGGCAGTATCGAGTTCCCTAGCCTATGGCAGGTTTTCAATTGTAAAACAAACTCCAAATGTATCTTTGCCTTCGGCAATCATTAATGAAAAGGCCTTCGGCCCATATATTCACAACCTTGGGTGTGTTAATTTAAAAGATGCGGTAGAGACCATCGGTCGCAGTATACTACATTTTTAAATCCTTTTATTAGCCTTCGGCAATTAAGGTACCATGGTATTCTTTCCTACCGATCAAAGGTTAACTTGTCTTTTACTAAGCCTGTTAACGATTGGAAGATCACCTTATTTAGCCCTCGGCACTTTAAAGGTTCACTTCAGAGTTATTCTGTTACTGGCCCTTGGCAGTAAAATGTTAAAGCCCTAAGTTGCTTACCAATTCAAGGATCACTCAAATTTGAGCTTTTACTAGCCTTCGACAGTTAAATCAGTCATTTAGCTTTCGGCAATTATGTTGATTAGTTTTCAACTTTCTACCAATTAAAGTTGCGCTTGGAAGTTAGCTTGTTATTGGCCTACGGCTGATAAACTTTTATCTAGCCCTCGGCATTTAAAAGTTCCTAAGACAAGTTAAAGCAGAAACATGCCGAAAGTGAAACTACTTTGACAATCAAATTAGAAAATTAAAACTGCTTGAATTAAAAGATGCCCTCGGCATCAAAGTGTTCAGAAAACATTGCCTTATGGCAGTTACATGAAATAAAACTTAAACAAGGCTCAAGCGACAGTCTCCTCCTCGGCACCAGGGGCAACAGGCTCTTTCGGAGCGTCCTCCCCTTCGTACTCTTCTATCATCTCTTAGAGCTCAACCAGATTTAGTTGAAAATGAGAAAAAGCTTTTGGAGAAGATTAACATTCTGTGCTTGATGGAAACTATCTTCAACAGGCCATCTGAAGGTAGGACTATACCTTTGAGTATCATTGCAGAGTGTACGAGACTTTCTATCAAGCAGCGGCCTCCTCGGCATCGGCAGTGGCCTCCTCGGCATCGGCAGCAGCCTCCTCGGCATCGGCAGTGGCCTCCTCGGCATCGGCAGCAGCCTCCTCGGCAACGGGCTCTTCCGAAGCGTCCTCCCCTTCGTAATCTTCTATCATCCCTTCCGTGATTCCTTCGGGAAGGGGAGGAGGATTGGCAATAAAATTCAAGTTCAACTTCTGCCTAGGGCTGTAACGCTTGAAACGGTAAACCAGGTCCGCCATTTCCGAGCCCACCTCCTTGTCCAGCAAGGTAGAGAACTCATACGAGTGACAGTACCTCCGGATTGCCTCCTGGACTGCAGCCTCAATCTCCGAAGCCTTGGCCCGCTCCAACTCCTCAAAAGCCACCTGGACCGCCTCATTCGCCTCCAGAGCCTCATTTGCCGTTAGCTGTGTCGACTTCATAAACCTTGACCTGCCGTTCGGCAGCCTGTATGTCTTTCGCCAAATTCGCATGAGCTTGGATAGCCTTGCCAACCTTGCCAGCCTTGGCAACCCTGGCCCTGCCGTCTTCATAAGCCTTCTTCGCCTTTTCGGCGGCATTGATGGCTCGCTTGACTCAAAGCCACATGTCCATTGAAGCCTGGGAAAATGTTAGACAAGGCCGGAAGCAAAAGGTAAAATAAACTGAGAATGGTTAGCGCTTACCGAAGCTTGAAGACGGAAGGCACGGCCAGCCTCCTCCTGAAGGAGCTTCTTCGGCAGGTCCTCAATCTCAGACAGCTCCATTTGCGAACCGAGAATCATGTGGTTCGCAAATTGGACCGTCTTCGATGGACAAGCCAAAGTGACGGGTTCGACAGACGCATTGTCGTCTTCAGCAGCGAAGATGGCCCGAGCAGACTCAGTTTACCGCCCGCACTTTGGGGCGGGATCGGCATCCAGATCGACGGTGAATAGCGCTTGCCAGCTGCTTTGGAGGAGGTGCCCTCAGCAGGCACACCTCGGCTAGGAGACGGATCGACTGCTGTCGCTTCGGCCTGCGCCGAGCCAGCATTGAGCTGACGAAGACGGTCGGCAATGGTTTGGTCTTCGGGGTCGACTCTCCCGAGGACGCTGGTACCGCTTCCGGCTCTTCTTTTTCTTCCCTTGGAGGCCAAGCATAAGGCGCCGCTTAGAGGACTCGTTCATCCTCTTTGCCTCGGCAGCCCTTCTCTCTTCCGTCACTACAAAATCAAGATCGGTAAGAATTCTCATTGTGGCAATAAGCTGAGTCATAATGGACAAGTACACTTACTCTCGGCAGAGTTGACGAGTTGAGCCTTGATGAGATTGGCAGTGAAGAGGAACTTCGAGTACACTCTCTCCACGGCAGGGACCTTCAGCCTCACCTTGTTGATCTGCCAGATCTCCGCTTGGGTGGCGCTCGGCTGCTTCAACTTGCCTGCACAAAAAGGGAAACGGAATTAAACTCCTAAGAGACGCTTACACACTAGAAGACCTACCGAATGGTACGATGGCCTACCGGCTATTTGGAAGGTGGTGGGATGTGGAAAAGGACGGGATGTCCCGATGGTGATTCCCAATCACCGGACAAAAGCACCTGTCGTTTCCTCCACGTCTTCTGGGAGGTTGACACGGCACTGACAAAATGGTCGCGCTCAATAGCCTTCAGGCAGTTAGCCTAAACCCAACCCCCGTGTTCGGCAGACTTCAACTTGGTGACACTGTACAGGTGGGAGAACTGTTCGTACGAAGGTGCTCCCTCGCCGGCCATGCCGAAGGCCGTGACCACTCCCATTAACGCCACCCAAAAGTTGGGGTTGAATTGGCCGGGAGCATAGCCGATCTGTGCCAAGATCCTCTGAACGGCAGGCTGCAGCGGAAGCCTTATCCCTTGCAGAAGTACGTCCGTGAAGAAGACGACTTCACCCTCCTTCGGCCTACTTAGAGATTCGGTGGTCGTAGGGATCCTCATCCCTACCGAATCTAGTATGAAATACTCGGCGCGATATTTCACGATCTCCCGCTCGGTAATCCTATTGGGCTCCAGGTAGTCTATGCCAAATAGGTGCTCTTTTGGAACTCCCATCGGCACCCTAGGATTGCTAGGAAAAACTACCGGTACCCTCGGCCGAGAAGATGGTTCGGCGGCTGACTCTTCACGGCCGGAAGTGGAGGTCTCTGACTAGCGACCAGCGCTCGTCTCCCCAGGCATAGCTAGACCAACGTGGTGATCGTCGCTATAGACAATAGGCAACGGTACCGGTGCAATCATTAGCCCCCTTCCCGATGCCATGTAAAGGAATGGAGCTATGGCCTTCACCGAGTATCTCAACATCGGTGTCGCTTCCGTCCTTGGCATCGGGGCCTACCGCATCGCTGTCGGAGTCAAAAAGATCGTCTGATGACTCCCCATCGAACGCATTGGGATCACGCTCGAAAAATGACTCGCTATCAGACATCTACAAAAACAAGGAAAAATGAAACTAAGGCTCATGCTGGATACTAGCCTACCGATCCCTACATCACTACCTATGGCGACTAGACTACCGAACGGAACCCTATGGTCAGTCTAGTTCAAGCCAAGGAAGGACGTAATGCCAGTTAAGGAAGAGAGTAAATTAAGGGTGTCGAACGGTACCTTAAATCAAGCTCTGGAAGAAGACCACGAGCTATGCTACCGATCGCCTTGACGAAGGCCTTTCTGGCCGTTCGCAATGCCGGAAATCGCTCGATTACTGTTAGCCCGCGTCGAAAATCGCTTCGAATGCCGGAAGCTCTCATCGAAAATCGCCTCAACAAAGCTCTCACTTCTCACAAATGCAAAGTGAATTCCTCCCCGAAGTCACCCCTATTTATAGGGCGAGGGTTCGCAACGGTACACCTCGAAAAACCAAACGGCGCATTAATACGCCGCGCCTCATGATTACTCTCGCCACGTGTCGCTCATCCTATGGGGGACTGACTTCACGCGAGTCACGGAAGACGAAGCGCCCAGACGTCTCTTCACACGTCAACTCGACGCGACCTTCTGACTTCCCCGACGTTAGCCTCCGAATGAACATGAACGGAAGGGCCAAAGTTGAGCCCCTCCACCAGCTGGATTACCGAACAGTAGGACAACATTTCCTGCCGAAGACAATTTCAAGTCCCCTTCCGAGAACTCTCGCAAGAGAACTTGGGGGACTCCTGTTTATACGAAAATGAACAGCCAGTAAGCATCGGACACGTAGACCAAACTGGAGCTATGGAAGTCTTCGGCACCTAGCTTCCGTACCGTTCCTACCGATCGCACGATTAGGGCAACTTCACCCCCATGGACACGTGGCAGTCCCACAATTGGAGTCCACAGTCCCACATCGAAATTCTAAACAACTTGCACACCTCCCAAGACCTATAAAAGAGGACAACTATCCCAAATTGGAGGTAATCAATCAGAACTTACGGCATACTGCCTATTGATCTGTAGTTCAATCTTACTAAATCCGTACTTACTTAAGCATCGGAGAGCCTTAGGCCAGTACCACACCAGTACCCTAGGTCTTACCGAGCATTGTTATCTTGCAGATCGAACGCCCCATCGAGGCCCAGAGCATACCGAAGCCCCAACATCACTAAGTTGCGCGGGAAAGTGCCGAATCATTTTTCTGCGTCAACATAACACACATTGTTTCCTTATTTCAAAAATCACATTATTGCTTTGCATCTAATCCAAATTTGGGAGTCTTAGAGGAGTGCAGAAATGAAATGAATAGGCTTTCATATTTGTTTGATCAGTTAAGTGTAGTTAATGTGTTGTCCAGCACACTTGAATTGATTTACTCTAAAAAATGCGAGGCTTGCTAGTTCATAATCATGCTGCTGTTTACCTAGAGAGTTTAGAAATACACGGCGGATCCAGGATTCTTGGGCCAAGGAGTCACAGTGTAAAAGCTTTGAAATTTTTTAGAAGAAAATAACACCAGAAAAACAAAAAAATAATACTTTCCATCCAAACTTCAATTGTACACGACGAGTTTTCTTTTAAAAACATTGCATTATAGCTTCATAAATCATTTATTTTTACAGTCCCGATCTCTTGGACTACAAAGGTCCAAGAGATTTGTGGTCACTTATCGTTGGATGTAAATTCAACGGTTCATTCACTCTTACACTCCTTTTAATAAACTTTTTTGAACCGTTATATTAACATCCAATGGTGGGTGACCACAATCTTTTGGACCCCTGTGGTCCAAGAGATCAGGGCTATTATTTTTTAATAATTTAGGCACTTTTGTTAATGTCTCTTCTAAAAAAGAATATCATTTTTTATAAAGAATAAATTATAATGTATAGAGACTACAATTATCTTTTAAAAAAATTTAAAATGAAACAAGCCCAACCTCCTACTTTGAAAAGAAAATTATAAAAAACAAAAAACACTACCTCCCACTTTCTTTTTCACAGTTTCACTCTCTGCAACATCCACCCCAATCCTCTCTTCCGTACCTTCTCAACTTTTATAATATATATATATATATATATATCACTACGTATAATATAAGGGGAATGCTAGCAACCTTCTCTCTAACTTTCTCCCTTTTTTTGCTTGATATGTGTTATTCTCTTTACACTACGTCATTAATATATTATACAGGCTAACTTTTGCTTTCCAAGTTTACCCTTATTAAATATATTCAATTGAATAATGCTACTCTTACCACATATTTATACCATCTTATGTGGCAGCTGAGGTGGACAGCCACATCAATTCAAATTATTTAATATTTCTTTTCTTTTATGATTTATTCCGGTACTTGTTTTTCTAATTGCCTTAATTAAAATACACTTTATGATTTAATTGATGTGGCATATAATATGGACATGCCACATCATGTGGTATAGAAATGTGGGATAAAAATGTGGTAAGTGTAGCATTACTCTATTCAATTTATTCAAAAAATATTCACAACTTTCTTACCATCTTATTAAAACAATATCATTAATTAAATTCATACGCCTATCTAAATGGAATTTCATTTCACTAAAGTCTATGTCTTCATAAATAAAGCTTGCACTCTTAAACATATTAGTGTTATCTTGACTCAGACCATCAACATCTTCTTCGGGCAAATTCAAGTCAATCTAGACTCCCATGGACACCTAACAATATAGGCTTGAGATAAATATATAGAAGCAAAATAATAAAATCACCAAAATCGAATTCAATATGAAAACGTAAATATATTACAGTTTAGATTAACAAAAGAAAAGCGAAAGAAATAACCCATCAACCTAAGAAAAACACTTCCAAAAGATATCAATTTTCAGCACAATAATACATCAGAAATGAAAAAACCATACCTTTGACCAAGACTTGGAGCAAGAGAAGTTGAAGAAAACGCTTTAGCTATTGTGGTTGAGCCTGAGAGTTGAAAAGGCAGGAGCATAGATAAAGCAAAGAGAAGATGATTTAGCTTCAACCAAGGGCAAATATGGAAATATAATTATTGGTTTTTCTGTAATTAATAGCATTGTTTTATGTGTAAGAGGGGTGACACATGTCAAGCAAAAAAAGGAGAAGGTCCAAAGGAGAATATTAGAAAGAAAGTTGCAAGCACTCATATAACATGTTTGCTGTTGTTGGCGTGCCTACATTCCTCTTCCCATTCCCTGCCACTTAAACTTTTGTTACTTTTAATACTTCTAATATTATATTTTTATGTTGTTTTCAAAGCCTCACACACTAAATAAATCAATTGTTGTATATTAATAGGTCATTTGCTCAATGTGAAAAACAAGACTTTTTCATACTCTACACCAATGTCAGCAACCCCAAGTGACCTAAATGTCTTCAATTTCAACCACTCATTTAATGCAACATGACTTCCTCCAAAAGCCAAACCAAAACCAAAACTTGCTGCCCCATTTACTACACGGTCCTACATGGGAATTTTACCAATCTCAACAGTTTGCAACACAAATTCCCTTTGATCTACTCTGCCTTGCCTTTCCTTTTCTCTATCTCTATCCAAAATTAAAACTCACCCACCCATTACCATCGATGGAACTCATCAACCCACCTCTCTCTCTCTCCTCTCTCTCTCTCTCTCTCTCTCTCTCTCTCTCTTTTTGGGGACTTTCGTCGAGCACGTTCAGTGCACCCAACGGGTCAACAAGCTGCTAGCCAAGGGGTCTGTAACTGCTCGCCTAAGACCTCCACAGCCAAACGCCCGGCATCCCAAGCGGTCAATTGACACCTCTGTCCCTGGTGCATCCGCCCCACCATTCCTCAACGGTTTTTTTTGCATTTTTTCATCCATTCCTTAGCCTCCCCGATTAGGTTTTAGTGGCAAGGAGTCCACCATACTCAAATAAAAATAGACCAGTATCATGCAATAAGAAGTCTTCTTAAATTTAAGGGCTTATTCAATATAGATCCCTACATTTTCTATTTCCTAGACATATACCCATTACTATATAAAGTTATGTGTAAAACCCAATTTCAAACTTAAATGACCAGTAGGATATAAGAGCTCATAGTATTTCTATGTTTTCACATCGTTGCCGCTAGACTTCATATTTATATATAATTTATTTCAATCATTTCATTAACTGCCATAATTGTAATTAATACTCCTTATTAATAGCATATTAATCACCCATTTCTTTGGTTGCCATTCCCTCTAACATATTGCCCCCCTAAAATCGCAAAAAAATAAAAAAATAAAAAAAATTGTAAATTACATATCCAATAATGTGCCTATGAAAAATATAAATATAAATATATACGTATAAAAATATAGGTGTATTGTTTACCAAAAAATTAAAAAAAGATTAAAAAAACTAGATCAGTTACTTTGTTCGCCCTCCTGCCTGGGCTAGTCCTTGGTGGTGGAAGTGCTCTTAGTTTTTATTCGCTTTTAAAATTACCTGTACTTTTTCAAGATAGATTTTGAATATATATTGCTTTTGAATGCAAACCATGCTGTATTCTCACTGATTGACTTTTTCACCATGCCTCAACGTATGAAGTGGGTGGGTGGTGGCTATGGGTCAAAAGTTGTCGTATGCACCATGCTGCTTAATATATAATAACAAGTATAGCAACCATTTGTACCCAAAGTTTCAGAAAATTAAACACCATGGACTTAACAAGCTCATATCAGTTCTGTTTTCTCATATAATTTTTGCATTCATGTCCTCATTCTTCACTCGTGCCTTGCTTTGAGACGGAGTGGAAATGAGACAGATAAGCTGGCCTGGCTTGAAATCAAGTCCAGGATAACTGATGACCCTTTTGGAGTCTTGACTTCATGGAACGAGACCAACCACTTTTGCCAGTGGCATGGTGTCACATGCGGTCGGCGCCACCAGAGGGTCACGAGTTTGAACCTGAATTCCTCGAAACTTGCAGGCTCAATCTCACCGCATGTTGGGAATTTGAGTTTCTTGAGAGTGATTCGTTTCCATAACAACAGCTTCAGGTATCAAATCCCTCCAGAAATCAGCCGTCTGCGCAGATTGAAAGATTTAGTCTTGGCGAATAATTCACTTGGTGGAGAAATTCCACCAACTTATCAGCTTGCTCCCAACTCCTTAGGATTCTTGTGGCTTCAACTTGTTAGTAGGAAGCATTCCAGAGGAGCTTGGCACTTTGTCAAAGCTAAGAGTGCTTCATTTACAAGAACAGCCTTACAGGAAGTATCCCAAACTCTTTTAGCAACTTATCATCTCTTGTTACTCTTGAATTATCAATAAATAATTTGAAGGGGAGTATTCCAGATATTTTTGGTCAACTGACCAATTTTAAGTATTTGTTGCGGATGGAAATAGGCTGTCTGGTATTATCCTCCTCATTCTTCAATCTTTCTTCTATCCTACAGCTTGCAATTGCAAACAACAAAATCCAAGGGACTTTGCCTTTAAACTTAGGTAGTGCCTTGCCAAATCTCATTTATTTTGGTATTGATAACAACAAGTTTAGGGACCTATTCCTGCTTCAGTATCTAATGCCTCAAACTATATCATCTGGGACTGTTAGCAAATCAACTACATGGAGAAGTCCCTTCTCTGAAAAAATTGCACCTGCTTGAGCGTTTAGTTCTTACTAATAACATCTTGGGAGCGGAGAAATTGTTGCTTGGCTTTCTCTGTGATTTGCTAACGCTACTCGTTTGCAGTTCTGACATCAAATTAAAAAGTTTTGGAGGTGTGTTTTCACTGCATAGCTAAACTTATCTCTTCTCTTGGACAGTTCATAGTTGCTGCAAATAATATTAAAGGAAGTATCCCAAAGGAATTGGAAATCTGGTAACTTGCAAAGCCTGTCTCTAGATGAACCAATTTTCAGGACAAATCCCCCTGATGTTGGAAAGCTTCAGAAGCTATATGAGTTAATTTTTTCTTTAACTCGTCTCAGGGATATATTCCATCCAGTTGTCGAAACTTTAAGTCATATTGTTTAAAATTACTATTGTTCGCACTAGATTCAAGCCATATTCCCTAACAACTTTACCTCGAGTGTCACGTTTGCCGGCCTAATTCATGCAGTGAGAATCATTCACCCCGGTTACCATTCCCAAGGAGTCTTTGGCCTTCTTCATTATCGGAGTTGGAACTGGTCTCAAAATCAATTGAACGGGTTGCTTACCAAACGACAGTAGGAAGTTATTAAATCTGGAGTATTAGATGTGTCTCAAACATGCTATTTGGTGATGAAATTCCGGCAAGTCTTAGGTCAGCTGTATAAAAAACGCACTCTAAACATGCAAGGAAAAATCTTACAAGGGAAAAAAAACACAATGCCATCACTCTCGGGTTCACTAAGAAGGTATGAAGAGTTAAATCTATCTCGCAGACAATTCACCCAGGCAGGATTCCCACCCCCCCCCCCCCCCCCCCCCCCCCCCCCCCCCCCCCCCCTCCCTGAGTTCTAGGGGATTTTTTTTTCTAAATTTTTAGAATCGATGGGGCAGATAATATAACAATTTGCGGGCATGGTACCAATAAAGGAGTTTTCAGAAATGGCCACTGCCACATCGGCAAAGGCAACAGTAAGTTTGCGAGCGGCATACCCGGAGGTATCTCTCGATTGCCAAAACTGGGGAAAGAAAGACGATAAGACAAAAAAGAGCCCGCAAATGAGAGAGAAGAGTGAGCCTAACCATGAAAATTGGTAAACTCCGTCTTTGGGGTTGGGGGATACTCTGAGAAGGGCGCTTTTGCACACTTTTTGTACTGCGTAGCTCCCGGAGCGAAAAAAGGAAAGCGCTCAAGTGATGCAGACAAATTTCTCAAGGTGTCTTAATCAAGCCTGCTAAAAGGTATGGCATTATCTCTAAACAACTTGAGCGGAGTGGGCAGTTTTGGGTCAGGTCTATAAAGGAGTACTTGAAGAGGGGAACAACAATTGCATCAATGGTTTCAAGCTCGTTCGTCGTGGAGCCTACAAAGTTTCACTGCTGAGTGTGAGGCTTTGAAAAATATAGACACGTACTCTGTGAAAGTACTCTCGGGGTGTCAGGTTCGACTATCGCGTACTGATTTCAGGCCTTAATTATGAGTTCAGGTTAATAGAAGTTTTTTTTTTTTTTTTTTTTTTTTTTTTTTTTTTTTTTTTTTTTTTTTTTTTTTTTTTTTTTTTTTTTTTTTTTTTTTTTTTTTTTTTTTTTTTTTTTTTTTTTTTTTTTTTTTTTTTTTTTTTTTTTTTTTTTTTTTTTTTTTTTTTTTTTTTTTTTTTTTTTTTTTTTTTTTTTTTTTTTTTTTTTTTTTTTTTTTTTTTTTTTTTTTTTTTTTTTTTTTTTTTTTTTTTTTTTTTTTTTTTTTTTTTTTTTTTTTTTTTTTTTTTTTTTTTTTTTTTTTTTTTTTTTTTTTTTTTTTTTTTTTTTTTTTTTTTTTTTTTTTTTTTTTTTTTTTTTTTTTTTTTTTTTTTTTTTTTTTTTTTTTTTTTTTTTTTTTTGCCCCCCTCATCCATCATTGGCTTTTAGTATGCCTCATCATTTGGCCCGCGGGCTCATGGGCCGATGGGGGCCCGCCCGGCCCATTGGAAAAAAGCCCGGCCCGGCCCGTTATGGGCTTTGAGATGGCCCGGCCCGCCTTGGGCCGGGCTAGGCTTGGGCTTGGGTGTTTGAAGCCCGGCCCGACCCATAGGCCCGGCCCGATTAAGCCCAAGAAAGCCCGGCCCGGCCCACCCACAAAAGCCCGGCCCGTTAGGCCCGCATACATATATAATTATGTATAAATAAGAGTTTAGGATTAGGATTATATCACTTAAATCACATATATAATTTGTTTCATTTCATTTACTTTTCTTTACTCATTCCTAATTTATAATTGGATGATTAGCACATTAATTTGTGTCAATTATTTATACAACAATTATATATATATAAATAAGATGAACAATATATCATATCACTAAATATAATCATATCACGAAACATAATCGTACTACTACCACCAAATATAATAATATTTTTCTTGAACACATCACCAAACATTTACATATTTATTTATACCATCCTTTAAAAAAAATATCTTTTTGATACTTATTATTTTTTAAAATTATTTCTTAAAACGTATTACGGTCTAATTATGTAATAACCTCAAAAATAATACTTTGTTTTATTATTTTTGTGGAAAATCTTATTAAGTTGTGTGACTTTATTGGGTATTTTATGAATTTGGTTTGATGTGAAAATATTGGAATTAAGTGAGTTTAATCTCAAATTTAGACTAAAATGCCTTATAATTAAGTTTATGATTTTTTTCGAATGAAGTAGGCCCGTTTCGGCCCGGCCCGTTGGGCTTAGCCCAGCCCGGCCCAATGGACTTTCTCAAGCCCGACCTATGGGTCGGGCTTGGGCTTTGAATTTTCTAAAAAAACCCGGCCCGGCCCGGCCCGATATTTTCTCTCTCCTCTTTAAAGCCCGGCCCGACCCGGCCCAAGCCCGTTAAATTTGGGCCGGGCCTAGCCCGGCCCGGCCCATTGACGAGCCCTAAGTGTGGCTGGTCTAGCGACAATAAAATTTTAATTTATCTTTTTAGATCTCTAAAAATTTCTTTTTTGAACATTCTTCTTTTCCTAATGATATGTAGCACTTCTCTCTCACTCAAAAACAATGTTTTTAATTTTAAGAAAATATTAAATTGTATTTCCATATATAACCTTGACCGAAACTAAAAAGTCAAAAGCCATCACAGCCCGATCCCAAGCCACGCCACCTACCCACAACACAGCCCAACCTCTCTCTCTCTCTCTCTCTCTCTCTCTCTCTCTCTCTCTCTCTTTATAAACAAAACCAAATAAAAATAAAAAATTGTTCAATTACAAACAACAGAGAAAGCGAAGGAGGTCAAGCGGGGGAAATCTGTGGACGGTTGGGGGCTGTTGGGTAGGGATAAGGGAGATGTTGTTTGGTGGTAATGAGGGGAGAGGAAGTGGGTTTCTTTCATATGCTTGTTTGGGTACTGGTCATGGGTCATTGCTGGGTATTAGTGTTTTGGGGAGAAGTGGGGAGGTAGAAGATGGGTAGTGGGACACTGCAAAGGATAGAGAGAGGACTGAGAGTGAGATGGAGAGAGAAAATATCTTTTAAATGGAAGAAATTAGGGAAGTTAATATTTTAAAATTTCATTTAATAAGGGTAAATTTGGAAAACAAAAACTAACTTATTTGATTATTAATGATATTATTTTAAGTGTAAATAAAGTGACACATGCCATGACAAAAGAGAGAAGATGCAAAAGAGAAGGTTGCTAACATTTCCCATATTTTATTAGGCTTGCACCATGTTTGCATGCTTAACTGACTTAACGGAATTGGGTGAGGTGAAAAGTGAATGTAAGTATTAAGGGGCAAAGTGAAAATGTAAAATATTTTTGTCTGCGTCTATGTGACGCCAACCTGGCATCCTTATGAGGTAAAAAATAGACCCAAAGATTTAACAAATTTTTTGATAAACTTTATGAAATCCTATTAAATGACACATAACTAGTAAAAGGGGAAAAGTGTGACAGAATATGTGCAAAGTAACACACAAACTATATATTTTGAGTTGCGTTGCTATAATTAGTAACTCGTTTTAATCTAATATTTAGGTTTTTAAGATTCAAATGACAGTCTTGCCCTTTGACTGTTAGTTCTTTGGTTTTGTGCGAACCATTATATCTGTTAGTTCTTACACTTAAGCATGGTACTTGTTGCCCAACATTTGTTTTTTTCTCTTATAAGGAAAAAAAAATTACTTGTATTAAGTTTTAGGTGTGTAATTAAATCTCCAATTGGATGCACTTTTGTATAATCCACTTTTGTAGACAATTGGATGCTAAAATTGAGCCAAGAGTTGGAATCTAAAGGGCTTTTCCGGTGGGGTACTAGTGCAAATGTCTTCTGGAACATCTTTGTTGATTTCTATTTAATAAAGTGATTGTGAAGAAAGAGATTGTGATGGGCATGATGACATGAAACTATTCTCTTCTTTCAGACCTTGCTATTTCCTTCTACATGAAATGCATCAATGCAATATTCAAAGTAACCCATTCATGATATGATCCCTAAATGCCAAGAACTCATCCAACAATCTATAAAAGTATAAATAAATAACAATACCTGCTGTAAGCAATGCTTGTATAAAAATATATATGCGTACCTTTGCCATCAATGGTAGACCTTCACAATTTTTAGCAATCTCCCCGTCCAATTCTCTCTAAATCATGAGGTATATCAGAACTACCATCTGAGCAAGCTGCACGTTTCAATATGGACCAGCATTCATCTGGTGATAGAAGTTCCAATCCTGTCGTGGGAAGTTTTTTCTCTGAGATTGATGCAACATTGGCACTGCGGGTAGTGACATAATTGTGCTTCCCCGAGCGGAATCAAGCTTTAACAAACGATCCATCAAGTCATTCCATTGTGTAGAATCGTCATTCCAGACATCATCAAGTACCAGCAAGTATTTTTTCCCTTTCAGCTCTTCTTGAAGGTGTTTAAGCAGTGCATCTTGATTTTCTCTTACATTGGCTTTTGATGGGTTAAGAGATTCTAACATGGAAATTAAAATCAATTTGACGTCAAAAGGATCAGATACGCACACCCATACTTTTGGATCAAAATACCCTTTTATAGAATTATCATTGTATACAGACTTGGCCAAAGTTGTCTTTCCTAGGCCTGCCATTCCCACAATGGCCATAACAGCAATATTTTCTTGATTGATGTTGGAGTTGGTCAAGGTTGTAACTATGTTTGAAACAACCTCCTTCCTGCCAACGATGATTCCATCTTTTTCAAGAAATGAGTCGGTTTGCATGCGTCCTCATTCCTTGAGGGGCTGCATCTATTTGCCTGGAAACTAGTCCAATGACAGGAGCCTCGCTCTTGAGATCCACCAAGGATGCATTGATCTTCTGAATTTTATGTGCAATTTTAAGGCGGAATGCAACCGGATTGGAGAGTGAAAAGAAGTTGAGTACCTTCTTCTTCATATGATTTCGGATTTCTACTTTGCGCCGGAGAAGTTCATAGTTGAATTCATCCAAGACATCATCTGCATCTTGAGCTAGGCGTTTAAGATTCGTCACCCAATCTCTACGGACTTGCTCCGACCTTGTGGTCCCTGGGCAACGTCGGCTAAGTAACCTTCAATGGTGGACAGTGTTTTGCGAAGCCGCTTTAGTTCAGCTTTGAATCCCCAGGCAAGACTGATTTCGTGAGCAGCAAGGTCAGTCAGCTTTGTCAGTTTCCCTCGGCCGCAAAAGTAAGCACAGATTCTACTGCCATCTTTGTTTCCTTGTGAACCCTGCGCAAGACAAACAGCAGATCATATTAATGCTAGTTAATTAATTAAGAAACGAGAAGAAGAGACTGAAGATGGATGAAGACGCACAGGCACAGAGCTTTTTCTCGTAGGTAGAAGGAGAAGGAGATGATGAATGCAGATTTGCAATACAAGACAGCAATAGCAAGCAGAGACAGGCAGAGGAGCTTCTTTAACTCTCAGGAGGAGACTTAAAAAGTCTTGCTGGCTCTACCACTTTGCTATTTGTGGACACATGCATTTCTCACCAACTGATCATTAGATACCTCCAATCTACTTTATAAAGTGGTTTTGCATTAACACCATGGCATTTGTCTGGTGGTGGTATGGACGAATAATGAGACGACACCCTGGACAGCTGTTACTATCTACTTTATACCGTGGTACCGTATTATCACATGCATTTGTTTGCATTTGTCTGGTGGTGGTGCCAACGAATAATGAGACAACAAACAATTTCATGAAAAAACAATCAAATGTTACATTAAATTCATTAGAAAATAACTCCATTTTCAAAAGGCAAAATAGGAAAAAATAAACAAAGTGTAAAAACAAAAACGGTAAAAAGCATTTTTAGTTACTAGAGTTAGTTAGGTACGAAAACATTTTGATCGCGTAATTTTAATTTTTCCAATTTAATCATCAATCCCTCTTATACCTCACCATTTTAACATAAGTTTGAACATCATCAATTAATTTTGTTTTCTATACAACATGTATAATTAACATATATCTGACATGGATTCGAGAGACATAATAAATATGGACTAATATATATGGGGGCGGATCAATGGCACTATATTTTTGACACAATTTTGGACCATTAGATTACTCCACTTTAATAGTTGAGATTACATCTGACATGACAAAATAATATTTTTTTCTTTAATTATATTTATATATTGGAATTATAATTAAGAATTCATTCTCTCTCATCTCATTAATTATATTTAATTAATTAATTCTCTCTCTCTCTTTCTTCTACAGAGAATTGACGCCTCCTCCTCTGCCTCTGCTTCTTCTCTCTCTCTCGGTCTTCTCATCCCCAAAGCCACCCTCAACACCACCACCACTCCAACCCCTACCCTACCTAAACCACAATCACAGGGACTCTCTCTCTCTCCTTCCTCTCCAGTAACGCCATCGTTTCTAGACAAGGAAAGAGGGATTTTGAAGATCGCCGATCTTGGACTCAGCTGTGCCTTCACTGTACCTCGCAAGAGTTACACACACGAGATTGTTACTCTGGTACAGAGCACTGGAAGTTCTGCTCGGTTCAACTCATTACTCTACCGACGTCGATATGTGGTCCATCGGATGTCTTTTCGGTACTTAATTCTTACTTGCTCTCACAATTTCTTTGTTTTAGTTTGGATTTAAAGTCTCAATTAATGACTTGTTAACTAATTAATTTGATTGATTGTGCTAATATTTGATTCTTAAGTCACTCTCATACTTCGAAGCTGTGAAGCAACTGGAACTAGATTCTATTCATAGTTTCCAGAGTTAGCTTCCTGTGAGTTAAAGTTTTATGATTTGATGTGATTTCAATTATGGGTACTTTTATTTTTGTTATTTATGCTGTTGTTTTAGATTGTTTTTGATGACTTTCATGCAACTTATATTTGCAAGGGACTAAAGATATGATGACAGAAGCTATGTTTTCTCTCAACACTATGACAGAGGATGGCAACATCAAGGAGGTAAGCTCAACAACGATAATATCTTTTTTTTTTTTTTTTTTTTTTTTTTTTTTTTTTTTTTTTTTTTTTTTTTTTTTTTTTTTTTTTTTTTTTTTTTTTTTTTTTTTTTTTTTTTTTTTTTTTTTTTTTTTTTTTTTTTTTTTTTTTTTTTTTTTTTTTTTTTTTTTTTTTTTTTTTTTTTTTTTTTTTTTTTTTTTTTTTTTTTTTTTTTTTTTTTTTTTTTTTTTTTTTTTTTTTTTTTTTTTTTTTTTTTTTTTTTTTTTTTTTTTTTTTTTTTTTTTTTTTTTTTTTTTTTTTTTTTTTTTTTTTTTTTTTTTTTTTTTTTTTTTTTTTTTTTTTTTTTTTTTTTTTTTTTTTTTTTTTTTTTTTTTTTTTTTTTTTTTTTTTTTTTTTTTTTTTTTTTTTTTTTTTTTAAAAAATCTGCAAGCTATAACACCCCATGGCTACTTGCTAATTGATGGGAGAATGGTTCCAGCAGCAAAGTATTCACGTTGGACATGCTGGAAGAAAGCCACTCGGAGGCTTCATTTGGTCATCAAGATTATCAAGAAGCAGCTGTTGTAACCTCTCATAACTTCACAGAGGTTGAAGAAAGTACAATGGGTTAGTAGCTGCAAATCACTCTTTGATTAGTTTGGTTATGAGCTGCAGGCAAGTAAAGCAGCAACTGTGGCTCTGTTAAATATCTCTACAGAGCATGGCATCCTAGTACAACACATGCCAAATACATGCCAACCTAAGCCGCAAGCTTTCATGCTATTGCAAGTCATGCGCAACCTTGGGCCCTTTCATACTTGGGGGCTTAATTTGATGGGGGTATTTATCAATGCAAAATGGCTCAAAGCCTTACTATTGAGTTGCTTTTGCACCTATCCTTTTGTTTTTGGCTTTTCAAATTTATTTCAAAGATGAACTCCTTTTGTGTTTTCACCATATGTTTTCACAACTTTGGTAGAATGCACCACCATTATTGCATGCCAAGGCATAAAACGATATTTGCAAGGAGAATGGAGTATTTTGGAAAAAGAAAAAAAAAAGCCTCTAGAATTCTTTCCTTACTTTTATCTTCTTCTGTTTTGCAAAACGTGTTCTTTGAAAAGAAAAAGAAAATAGACAAGCAAACTTCCCTTTTAAAAGCTAAGCCTTTTAGCAGTAACCATGCCAAGCAAAGTCACTTGAATGGGGTCCCGAACCATCAACAAGCATCACGCTTAAGCAAAAATAGCATAAGGCACGAGAAACCGATCTATTCCAAAGAAGCACGCAATCTTGAGGTGCTGGAACAACATTTGGGAGTTTTATAAAACCTTGGTAAGAATCATGCACATGCTAGTCTGGCCCTTTTTAAGGAAGGCAAGAAGCTGCTTTTCAAACCCAGAGGCTAGATAAACCATGCAAAAGAAACTTTAGAAATTCCGCTCCTGTCGAAATTTTGGCAGCATATACCTTGTTTTTAAGGATATCCAACCTGTCAGAAAATCTCAAACAGTTCACAAAGACGTGTTTTGCCAACCAAGCTGTATATATGAGACATGCGAATTACAACCTGCCTTCAGCATTCAAAAAATTAATACAAGCTTCAGTGGTTCAATGCCAAATTACAAAGTCATAACAACGTAGTCGTTAGAATGTCAAAAGAAAAAAAAAAACTACAGTCAAAGCACGATAAAACTATACATGCTAAAGATCCATGCATCCTATAGTCTCAAAGGAAACAGAACCATGCGATGATTTCATGCTATGTGTAACACCACCATCAAAGAAGGCTTTGAACGCCATGAAGGAATTCTCCCAATCTTGCCAAGGCATGATTTTTTCCGATAAATGCCCTACGGAGGTGGAAGCATCACCGTCCTTATGGATGTCACCAATAATCTCACCACGAGGGGGCACTGCCGGAAGCCGTGAAGAGGTGCCGGCAGCTATGTCGGGTGTGCCCAGGCAAGGAGAAGTTGGAGGCAGCACTGCTGGAAACTGTGGAGAGGTGCCGGCAGCTATGTCGGGTGTGCCCAGGCAAGGAGAAGTTGGAGGCAGCACTGCTGGAAACTGTGGAGAGGTGCCGGCAGCTATGTTGGGTGTGCCCAGGCAAGGAGAAGTTGGAGACAGCGCTACGGGAAGCTGCGAGGAGGTGCCGGCAACTGTATCAGGTGTCCTAAGGGGAGGGTAAGGAAGCGTACCCTCCGCCCCTTGTGAGATGCTCTTGACCTAAAAGAAAAAAAGGAGTTCAAACAAATATGCAATTTCTGACCCAAGTTCGTGACAAACAAAGTTCTCATCCTGTGACTCAATAAGCATGACAAAGCAAATTCTCTTTCAGAACAAAAATCAAGCATTGCAAGACATGCATTCCTACTTCTCGCAACCGAGAACAAAGTCTACAATTAATCAAGCATATGTTCACAAGGGGAGTAAGCCTAGGCCATGCACCAGTCTATGCTTATTCCTGGAATATTCAAATTGGCGGAGTTACTTACCAAAAGATTAAAGCAGAAGCCCCAAATATCCAAGTTAGAAGGCTGAAGGATTTGAAGGTTCCAGCAGCAGAAACGTCAAGGTTTCCAGCACCTGCCCCACCTATGCCTGAGACGTGTGCACCTGCACACACAAAACCAATGGTGCTTTTCTCAAAGCTTTCAATAGCCTCTAATCCTATGCATTAATCATACGATTACAAGCATGCGCTCGTGATGCATATAGTTCAACAACAAAAAAACGGGTCAAGAACGCGGCACACGCAAAATATACGCCAAGCAGGGCAAGTCAAGCTCAGGCCAAAGGAAACACTTAAGCAAATACCCAAGCAGCATACAATTTATCCATGGCAAGCGAAATTTTCAAGCAATTCCCATGACAAGCAAATTCTTCCTCAAAATGCAAAAGGATTCAAGCATTGCAGAGCATGCACTCTATCAATTTCTATTTCCACAACATGGGAGAAAAGTCCAAATTTATTCAAGCATGCGAAAAACAAGCCTAGGCCAAGATATCAGTCTATATATATTCCTACAGAGTTAAAAGGAAGGACCTGAGATTCCAGTGAACGAGCAAAGCCCATGGGCATGAAGAACCCAACAAGCCCCTCGATAGATTCAAGAAATTGCAAAGAGGAAAGGGCATACCTTGTCAATCACCTCAAAGGACGACCTCAAATGCACCAAGAAAGAAGGGATGTTGGTGCTGGAAGAAGGGTAGTTGGTGCCGGGAGAAGGGTAGTTGGTGCTAAAAGAATATCGTATCTTCTATTTCACGTTACCATCTCCTTCAGCACCATTGTTGATCTCATTATTTATGCAACCAGCTGACCCATCATTGCAATTATCCCCATGTGTTTCTGCGCAGACTTTGGCACCATCATTATTTTCAGGCATACTTAAGAATTGGTCTTTCTGAAGATGGATACTTCGGCAACTAATACTTGCAAGAACTTCTTCTCATGGCTATACGACAACTCCTGAAAAATCACAAGCTTTATTCATGCAATTGCACTACAGCAAAATTTAAAGCTTTTCAGATAAAACATCTTGCGAAAGGCTTATGGGGGCTTAAGAGAATCCATCATAGCAAACAGCACATGCAAACTCCAAATGACTTGGGGGCTTCATGCCAAGCAAAAGAGAGAGACAAGAATCCTGAAGCTGTTGTAAATTTCAGTTTTCCTCTTGGAGGAAAGCAAACTGTTTGTTACTTATTTGGAGGAAAACAAGCTGTATGAATCTCTTCCAGCAACTCGCTTAGCCTCTTCCTTCTCATCTTCAGTCTACTTCTTCCAAAGATCTTCTTTGAAGCAAGTTGCAAAAAAAAAAAAAAAAAAAAAAAAAAAAAAAAATTACAAGCAGGCCTCTACTTTGTTTCTCGACCCTGAGTAAGCCAAAGAGAATATAACCCAACTCTGCAACCAATTGCTGACCTCAACAAGCTGACTTGAGGGCTTCATGCCAAGCAAATTCAAGGAAGTACACCATGCCATCCAAACAAGCAAACCCATCTACCTTTTTTGCCACACAGTATAAATCATCTCTTTGATTACAACAAGCCTAGATAATCTTGCATTATGGTGAGAAACAGTTTTCTATTTCCCCTTTTTGAAACAAGCCAAGTTACATTCTTCCAACTCCTACTCTACAAGCAAAGAATTTTTGGCGCTTGCCTTATTTCAAATCTTCTTAGCCCCTGTCCTATTTCAAACATCATGCTAGTAAAATTTATCCCACAGCAACAGTTTAACAAACTCATCACATCTTTGGAAGAAAACTCAAAACGGCCTCAAGAACTAGCTTGTTCTCTTTCTCACCCAAAGTCCCTCCGATCAAGCAATTCGAATCTTTCATAAACCTTCATATTGCAAGTCAAGATGAAAAATCACCTTTATTCTATCAAGATCCCAGCAAATCAGTAAGAAGATGGCATTCCTCATGCTTTGGAACCTCTCAATCAAGTCTGAAAAAGAAACAAGGGAGTACGTTGGCCAAATCAGGTGCCGGAAGGGAACTAGTAAACAGAAAGGGGGTGCCGGAAGTAGAATCGCTATTAAAGCATAATGTTTTCCAAAGACAAGTTGCAAGAGACCAAGACTCACTTTTATGCTATCAAATTAGACTTCTCATGCTTTATCATGCTTTCGAGCTTTTAAAACAAGAGAATATGTTAGCCAAAATCAGACGCCGGAAAGGTACTCATACACAAACGGATGTGCCGGAAGCATAATTTTCTCAAAGTGCAAGCAAACTCATCTATCAAGCATTTGACAAAATTCACAAGGTGTGATACCAATTCACATGCCAAGAAATTTCATTTCACTCAAGCATTTCAAGCAATTCGGGCATCTCAAAGCAAATTGAAGAATTCATGCTCTTACAACAATACCATTCCGCTTCATGCTCTCACGACAATATTGCTCAAGAACATGCTTTAGCAATACTCAGATCGGCACTCAATGCCAACAGAAAAGACATGCTAAATTCCCAAGCAAAAGCAACATGCCAAGCAAAACTTATACACAAGCTTTCCAACCATCCTAGCTAGAATATCCCACCTTTAGAAAATCACTATAAATCAAGCTTACAACCAACAAATCCCAGACTTCCCAGATTAGAACTAGACATATCAAGCTTCATTTTCCCAAAATTTCGTTGCATTTCGAGCTAGGGAAGCATGTCAAACAGATTTCTAAAACAGCCCATGCAGCAGAAACTGTACAGCTCCAGCACCTTAACCCTTACTTTGAAATTCCACCGAAAATTCATTTTTTCTTCAAGTGATGCAAGACCAATTCCAACATAACCATTGAGAAGTCCATTTTTATGTCTCAAAAGCTCCAACTCAGATTCGAAAAGAAACATTTCAAAAGTTCAAAAAACAGCCAGCAAGCTACTTTGAGATATTTTGACAAACACTTGGCATGCATACCCAAGTGAGCTTGTATAACTCTTGTTTATCACCAAGCTAGAATCCTAAATCAAAAGCTCAACCTTAGAATTCGATTTCTAGTTCACAAATTCTGGGAAATACAGAGGAACTCAAGCATTCAAGCATAGAAGACAAGCATGCAACAAAGGCATCAACATCAACTCATGAACATGCTTTAGAAAAATGGAGGCAGAGAGCACTAGAATGGGTGGATGATCCTCAATTTTGGATATGTTATAGACAACATAATTTCAAGCAAATTTTGTGAAGCAAGCGCAATCATACGAGCATCATAAGTTAAAGACACATGCAGAAGAAAAATCTGCAAAAACTCACCAGCCATGGATGAATGCAGAAGTTGCAAACCAGCTTTGAGGTATCAGAAAAATTCAAAAAATTCTGCAAATTTTACTGGCTATAGTACTCGAGCAGATGAACAACTTTGATCAAGGAAGTTTTCTGATCCGAGCTTCCGAAATATGACTTATGTACTGATGCACAATACCCACGGGTTTGGGTCTTGAAGAAGAAGAAAGAGGAGAATGAGAGAAAATCATAAAATAAAGCATGCCATGCCAAATGAAAGGAAAAGAGGGTAGACACTTGCAAATAATAAAAAATTCAAAGGGAAGGGGCAACAAAATTTTGCCCATCTGAAGGCCAAGCCAGCAAGGAGACAACGTGCCCAGCTCTCTTATGCTCTCTCAAACTCGTATCTCTTCTTCCACCCATCAATACAAGCATTTGTGAATCAATCCACGCAAACCATGCAACTCAAGCATTTCACTTAGATGCAATCATTTCAAGCAAACCAAACCAAATATCACAATATCAAGCTTTTCAAGCAATACAGTCATCATAAAAATGGCAATGTTAGAACTTGGCAGTTCTAGTTGCTGGAAGCACATAGAAGAAGTCATGCTATCATTGTCCTCATTGCAACAAAGGGGTATCGTTTTTCCAAAACACCAATATTCATGCTACCGGAAGAGTGAACCCTCATGCCAGATCAAGCTATATCTTGATTCAACTCAACCATTAGATTATCCAAGTCCAAGCTAATCATGCCAAGCCAAGTCACATTTTTTCCAGCACCTATTCCATGCCAAACAAAACCGTTTCCAGCACCTATCCTATTCCAAATATCCTTCCAGCACTTGTTATATTCCAAATATCCTTCCAGCACATGCCCTATTTCAAACATTCTACCAGCACATGCCCTATTTCAAATATCCTTCCAGCACTTGTATATTTCAAATATCCTTCCAGCACATGCCCTATTTCAAACATCCTTCCAGCACATGCCCTATTTCAAGCATTCTTCCAATATCTAGCCATCATGTCGCACGATATCACCTTCATTGAAGTTTTGTCCTCTAAATTCAAAGTGTTCGGAGGCTGGTGCTGTAAAGTCAAACACAATGGTGAATCCAAGCTTATTGCATCCGCAACTCTAAGATTGGATCCCCACTATCCACTAGCACGTCCGGCTACTGTCAAATGACATCCACCATGCTAAATGTCCCAAAAGCCATATTAAACCATGCTACCTTAGCCAAAACCAAGCATCCAAGCATGCAAGCCAAAATCAAGCATACACGCCAATACCAAGTATCAAGCCAAAATCAAGCATACATGCAAATGCTAAGCATCAAGCCAAATACCAAATATACAAGTCAAAGCAAATCATGCAAGCCAAAATCAAGCATACATAACTAATATTAGATACACAAGTCAATGCAACTCTTGCAAACCACAATCATGCAAAATCAAGCCTCTCTAGTCACTCAAGCAAATAAATCATGCGAGCTAAGTAGTTATCTTGAGCTAATCCACCAAGCATTTTCTTCTATATCATGCCACAAAATAAGGTCAACTCTTGGTAACTCTAGTAAGTGACCTCCAAAATTACAGTGTCTAGGAAAGTTCTTCAAGGCAACACCCTCGGTGTTTAAGAAGGATTGGGTTTTAAGCGGGACCATTGTGACCCCTCCAACCTTCCCGGAAAAGACCTGGCTGTAATTTCAGAGACTCTTAACCTGTTATCCTTGAGTTGCTCCTAAACCCATGCCATGCCATGCCACGGTAATTTATTTTGGGCTGAAAATTGATTATTCGGACCATTTCAATACACATTCATGGCCCCAATAATCAAGGGGGCTAATGTTGAGGCCCAAAATATTCACAGTTCGGCCCAAATAAATTCTCGGCCCAATGTGATGCTTTACCAAGAAGAAACCCGATTTGGGCATGCGAAAGTTCATCATATGCGCTTGCACACATGCCACGCCAAACGACACGCCACGCTAAGCAAGGAATTATCATTCCGCACCTAATCACGCCACAAGCTTAAGTGGGCCCCAAGCCACTCAAATACCCGGGGCTTGCTTGAGTGGGTTGTGGTATGGATGGTGATAAATCAACATGAGACCCATTGATGGACCGAGAAATGGAAAGTCTCGGGTTGCTTGGGAGCCTCGAGACTCAAGCCCATTTCTTAGGCCCAAACATATGGGTAAGCACAAGAGAGAAAAGCAGCCCAAAGCCCAAGCAAAAACTAACCAAGAAATAACCCAACCAAAAAAAAACCCCAATCAAGAGGCCCAATGTTTCACAAAAGCCCATTTGCTTAGAAAGCCATCTTGGCCCTTAGAAAAACCCAAAATAGCCCACAAAGAGCTTCAGCTCTTTTGGAAAAACAGAGGACACGTTGGCAGATGGCACTCTTAAGCAAAGCTGCTGGGAGCAAGTTCCAAGCCAGAGACCCCAAAGAACCGATGAATGCTGGCCTGCACCCTGTCAAAAGCACCCCTTGGACCAGCATATATTTTCACTTCTTTTCCTTCATCAGATTCAGCCAAGGAAGAGGAAAGGAAAGAAGAAAAAACAGCAAACCAAGAGTGGAAGCTCCCACTGCACAGCTGCAGGGAAAGGAGGATGTTGAGCCCCCAAATCCCCTGAATTCATGTAAATAGACAGAAGCAATCTTTGCCAAGAAAGGGAAGTCAGAGAAGAGGGAGGAGAAAGGAAGAAAAAACTTAGCCAAAATAAGTAGAAGCCATTAGGGTTTCTTGAAAAATGGTGATTTCCAGCAGCTATAAATTGAACCTTCCCCTACCCAACAGGGACAACCCACAACCTGCAGAGAGCAAGCTTTCTCTCTAACTTGCAAAAACTCAACAAGCTCGTGCACTGTTCATCTTCTTCTCCAATTTGTTTTTCTGGCAGCTGCCAGAAGAACTCTGCCTTTCTTTTTCCTCTTTCCCTAGTCGAATTCCTCACAAAACACCTCATTCCTTACTTAAACACTTTCTTTTCTCATAAACCAAGCCTAATTTCTCTCTTAGTGCTAAACCCATGTTGATTTTGCTCCCATGCCACATGCCACTCATGCTGAGCTAAAAGACTATCTGTAAGCATGCCAAAACTATCTGCAAGTTACCATTATTCTCGTTGGTGAAGATAACCAAAATACTTCCTAAGGCTCTACTGCCTTTTCGAGGTATTTTGGGGCTTAATTTTCGAACTCAGGCTCAAGGGGCAATTTCTTCCATTTTGCCCTTTACGGCAGTCAGGCCCGTAGTAGCTGCCGGAAGAAAAAAGCCCCTACATAAATTGGCGACTCTGCTGGGGATTAGGCCATTATCTTCACCAATGCCTCCAAAGAAGAAGACCAGAAGCAATTCCATGGCTTCCCAAGACGAGCTGGACTACGATGACTCAGAATTAAGGCAAAATGCCTCTCCTAGAGAAGAAGAACATGCAAGTGAGGGAGCTTTTACCCTTTCAGACCTCATTGCAGTCATCCATGCTATGGGGAAAACCCAGAGGGAGATGGCAGACATAATCAAAGAGCTAAAAAGCTCAGTCTCCAAGCCAAGCGAAGAAAACGAAAGACCTCCCCAAGAGGAGTCTGCCGCTGCCAGAGGAAGGTCTGAACAAAAGGAGCCATCTTTTGTCACTCACAAAGATGTCATTGCCATGCTGGAGAAGAAACTAAGCCGAAGCCAGGAGGATTGGAAGTATTTCCCTCAGCCACCATATCCATTAAACCTACTCCAGCAACCATATCCTAAAGGCTACAAAGCACCAAACTTTATTCTCTTCGACGGAAGGAAGGGAAGCCCGAAAGAGCATGTCAACCGCTTCATCGATGCTTTGGGATCACATGCTGGTGATTGTAATCTCCGACTTAGAGAATTTTCGAAAAGCCTTATCGATCGTGCTTACACATGGTATACGACGTTGGCACCAGGCACTGTTCGTTCTTGGGAAGATTTAGCAAACAGGTTCTGTAAGAAGTATTTCCAGCATGAAGAAAGAGTTACTATCATTCAACTCAACAACACTCGCCAAAAATATGGAGAGGATCCCGTGGACTTTGTGCACAGGTTCCGGGACCTAGCATTGGATTGCTACGATGAGAAAGATGAGGAGGCGCTTGTCGAAATTTGCATCAGCAATATTGTGGCAGATTATAGAGTCTATTTGGAGAATATTGGCATCAGCCAATTTTCTCGGCTGCTGGAAGCAGTGAGGAAAACAAGCATTTCAGTTAAGCTAACTGAGCAGGAAGCTTGGAGGAGTGAAGAAGAAGAGCGCCACTTGGGGGCTTCATTTGGTCAGCAAGATTATCAAAAGACAGCTGTCGTAACCTCTCATAAGAGCCGCAAATCACTCTATGATTAGTTGGGTTATGAGTCGCATGCAAATCAGCAGCTGTGGCTCTGTTAAATATTTCTACAGAGCATGGCAGCCTAGTACAACACATGCTAAATACATGCCAACATAAGCCACAAGCTTTCATGCTATTGCAAGTCATGCACGCTCCTTGGCCCTTTCATACTTGGGGGCTTAATTTGATGGGGGTATTTATTAATGCAAAATGGCTCAAAACCTTACTACTGTGTTGCTTTTGCACCTATCCTTTTGTTTTTGGCTTTTCAAATTTATTTCAAAGATGAACTCCTTTTGTGTTTTCACCATATGCTTTCACAACTTTGGTAGAATGCACCACCATTATTGCATGCCAAGGTGTAAAATGATATTTGCAATGAGTATGGAGTATTTTGGAAAAATGAAAATGCCTTAAGAATTCTTTCCTTGCTTTTACCTCCTTCTGTTTTGCAAAACATGCTCTTTTAAAAAATTTTAAAAAAAAAAATAGACAAGCAAACTTTTCTTTACAAAAGCACGCCACTTAGCAGTAAGACATGTCAAGCAAAGTCACTTGGATGGGGTCCGGGGCCATCAACAAGCAGTATGCCTAAGCAAAATAATATGGTGCATGCATTCTTGAGCTGCTGGAACAACGAAACCATTGTCCCCTTTTTGATAAGCAATCGGAACATGCAAAACATCTGGGAATTTTACAAAAACCATGCATATACTAGTCTGCCCCTTTTAGGGTATGACAAGAGGGTGTTTTTCAGGCCTAGTGGTCAGACAAAATTTTGGCAGCATATACCTTGTTTTTAAGGATATCCAACCTGTCAGAGAATCTCCAGCAGTTCATAAAAACAAATTTTGCCAACCAAGCAATATATATATATATATATTATATATAAGACATGCAGATTACAACATGCCTCAAGCATTCAGAAATTAATACAAGCTTCAGTGGTTCAATGCCAAATTACAAAGTCATAACAACGTAGTCGTTAGAATGTCAAAAGAAAAAAAAAACTACAGTCAAAGCACGATAAAACTATACATGCTAAAGATCCATGCATCCTATAGTCTCAAAGGAAACAGAACCATGCGATGATTTCATGCTATGAGTAACACCACCGTCAAAGAAGGCTTTGAACGCCATGAAGGAATTGTCCCAATCTCGCCAAGACATGCTTTTCTCCGATAAATGCCCCACGGAGGTGGAAACATCACCGTCCTTATGGCTGTCATTAATAATCTCACCACGAGGCGGCACTGCTGGAAACTATGGAGAGGTGCCGGCTGCTATGTCGGGTGTACCCAGGCAAGGAGAAGTTGGAGGCAGCACTGCTGGAAACTATGGAGAGGTGCCGGTAGCTATGTCGGGTGTGCCCAGGCAAGGAGAAGTTGGAGGCAGCACTGTTGGAAACTATGGAGAAGTACCGGCAGCTATGTCGGGTGTGCCCAGGCAAGGAGAAGTTGGAGGCAGCACTGCTGGAAACTATGGAGAGGTGCCGGCAGCTATGTCGGGTGTGGCCAGGCAAGGAGAAGTTGGAGGCAGCGCTGCGGGAAGCTGCGAGGAGGTGCCGGCAGCTATATCAGGTGTCCCAAGGGGAGGGGAAGGAAGCGTATCCTCTGCCCCTTGTGAGATGCTCTTGATCTAAAAGAAAAGAAGGAGTTCAAACAAATATGCAATTTCTGACCCAAGTTCGTGACAAGCAAAGTTCTCATCCTGTGAGTCAATAAGCATGACAAGCAAATTCTCTTTCGGAACAAAAATCATGCATTGTAAGACATGCATTCTTACTTCTCGCAACCAAGAACAAAGTCTACAATCAATCAAGCATATGTTCACAAGAGGCTAGGCCATGCACCAGTCTATGCTTATTCCTGGAACATTCAAATTGGCGGAGTTACTTACCAAAAGATTAAAGCAGAAGCCCCAAATATCCAAGTTAGAAGGCTGAAGGATTTGAAGGTTCCAGCAGCAGAAACGTCAAGGTTTCCAGCACCTGCCCCACCTATGCCTGAGACGTGTGCACCTGCACAAAAAAAAAAAAAAAAAAAAAAAAAAAAAGAGTGCCAGAAGCATATTTTCTTCCATTCTTCTAGCTCCTACTCTACAAGCAAAGAATTTCTTGCGCTTGCCTTATTTTAAAACTTCTTAGCCCCTGTCCTATTTCAAACATCATGCTAGTAAAATTTATCCCACAGCAACAGTTCAACAAACTCATCACATCTTTGGAAGAAAACTCAAAACAGTCTCAAGAACTAGCTTGTTCTCTTTCTCACCCAAAGTCCCTCCGGTCAAGCAATTTGAATCTTTCATAAGCCTTCATATTGCAAGTCAAGATGAAAAACTCACCTTTATTCTATCAAGATCCCAGCAAATCAGTAAGAAGATGGCATTCCTCATGCTTTGGAACCTCTCAATCAAGCCTGAAAAAGAAACAAGGGAGTACGTTGGCCAGATCAAGTGCCGGAAGGGAACTAGTAAACAGAAAGGGGGTGCCGGAAGTAGAATCGCTATTAAAGCATAATGTTTTCCAAAGACAAGTTGCAAGAGACCAAGACTCACTTTCATGCTATCAAATTAGACTTCCCATGCTTTACCATGCTTTCGAGCTTTTAAAACAAGAGAATATGTCAGCCAAAATCAGACGCCGGAAAGGTACTCATACACAAACGGATGTGCCGGAAGCATAATTTTCTCAAAGTGCAAGCAAACTCATCTATCAAGCATTTGACAAAATTCACAAGGTGTGATACCAATTCACATACCAAGAAATTTCATTTCATTCAAGCATTTCAAGCAATTCGGGCATCTCAAAGCAAATTGAAGAATTCATGCTCTTACAACAATACCATTCTGCTTCATGCTCTCACGACAATATTGCTCAAGAACATGCTTTAGCAATACTCAGATCGGCACTCAATGCCAACAGAAAAGACATGCTAAATTCCCAAGCAAAAGCAACATGCCAAGCAAAACTTATACACAAGCTTTCCAACCATCCTAGCTAGAATATCCCACCTTTAGAAAATCACTATAAATCAAGCTTACAACCAACAAATCCCAGACTTCCCAGATTAGAACTAGACATATCAAGCTTCATTTTCCCAAAATTTCGTTGCATTTCGAGCTAGGGAAGCATGTCAAACAGATTTCTAAAACAGCCCATGCAGCAGAAACTGTACAGCTCCAGCACCCTAACCCTTACTTTGAAATTCCACCCAAAATTCATTTTTTTCTTCAAGTGATGCAAGACCAATTCCAACATAACCATTGAGAAGTCCATTTTTCTATCTCAAAAGCTCCAACTCAGATTCGAAAAGAAACATTTCAAAAGTTCAAAAAACTGCCAACAAGCTACTTTGAGATATTTTGACAAACACTTGGCATGCATACCCAAGTGAGCTTGTATAACTCTTGTTTATCACCAAGCTAGAATCCTAAATCAAAAGCTTAACCTTAGAATTCGATTTCTAGTTCACAAATTTTGGGAAATACAGAGGAACTCAAGCATTCAAGCATAGAAGACAAGCATGCAACAAAGGCATCAACATCAACTCATGAACATGCTTTAGAAAAATGGAGGCAAAGAGCACTAGAATGGGTGGATGATCCTCAAGTTTGGATATGTTATAAACAACATAATTTCAAGCAAAATTTGTGAAGCAAGCGCAATCATACGAGCATCATAAGTTAAAGACACATGCAGAAGAAAAATCTGCAAAAACTCACAAGCCATGGATTAATGCAGAAGTTGCAAACCAACTTTGAGGTATCAGAAAAATTCAAAAAATTCTGCAAATTTTACTGGCTATAGTACTCGAGCAGATGAACAACTTTGATCAAGGAAGTTTTCTGATCCGAGCTTCCGAAATATGACTTATGTACTGATGCACAATACCCACGGGTTTGGGTATTGAAGAAGAAGAAAGAGGAGAATGAGAAAATAAAGCATGCCATGCCAAATGAAAGGAAAAGAGAGCAGCTACTTGCAAATAAAAAATTCAAAAGGAAGGGGCAACACAATTTTGCCCACGCTAGTAAAGAGGATAACGCGCCCAACTCTCTTATGTGCTCCCAAGCCCTCATCTCTTCTTCAACCCACCATGCATCAATACAAGCATTTGTGAATCAATCCACACAAATCATGCAACTCAAGCATTTCACTTGATGCAATCATTTCAAGCAAACCAAACCAAATATCACAATATCAAGCTTTTCAAGCAATACAGTCATCATAAAAATGGCAATGTTAGAACTTGGCAGTTCTAGTTGCTGGAAGCACATAGAAGAAGTCATGCTATCATTGTCCTCATTGCAACAAAGGGGTATCGTTTTTCCAAAACACCAATATTCATGCTACCGGAAGAGTGAACCCTCATGCTAGATCAAGCTATATCTTGATTCAACTCAACCATTAGATTATCCAAGTCCAAGCTAATCATGCCAAGCCAAGTCACATTTTTTCCAGCACCTATTCCATTCCAAACAAAACCGTTTCCAGCACTTATCCTATTCCAAATATCCTTCCAGCACTTGTTATATTCCAAATATCCTTCCAGCACATGCCCTATTTCAAACATTCTACCAGCACATGCCCTATTTCAAATATCCTTCCAGCACTTGTTATATTTCAAATATCCTTCCAGCACATGCCCTATTTCAAACATCCTTCCAGCACATGCCCTATTTCAAGCATTCTTCCAATATCTAGCCATCATGTCGCACGATATCACCTTCATTGAAGTTTTGTCCTCTAAATTCAAAGTGTTCGGAGGCTAGTGCTGTAAAGTCAAACACAATGGTGAATCCAAGCTTATTGCATCCGCAACTCTAAGATTGGATCCCCACTATCCACTAGCACGTCCGGCTACTGTCAAATGACATCCACCATGCTAAATGTCCCAAAAGCCATATTAAACCATGCTACCTTAGCCAAAACCAAGCATCCAAGCATGCAAGCCAAAATCAAGCATACACGCCAATACCAAGTATCAAGCCAAAATCAAGCATACATGCAAATGCTAAGCATCAAGCCAAATACCAAATATACAAGTCAAAGCAAATCATGCAAGCCAAAATCAAGCATACATAATTAATATTAGATACACAAGTCAATGCAACTCTTGCAAACCACAATCATGCAAAATCAAGCCTCTCTAGTCACTCAAGCAAATAAATCATGCGAGCTAAGTAGTTATCTTGAGCTAATCCACCAAGCATTTTCTTCTATATCATGCCACAAAATAAGGTCAACTCTTGGTAACTCTAGTAAGTGACCTTCAAAATTACAGTGTCTAGGAAAGTTCTTCAAGGCAACACCCTCGGTGTTTAAGAAGGATTGGGTTTTAAGCGGGACCATTGTGACCCCTCCAACCTTCCCGGAAAAGACCTGGCTGTAATTTCAGAGACTCTTAACCTGTTATCCTTGAGTTGCTCCTAAACCCATGCCATGCCATGCCACGGTAATTTATTTTGGGCTGAAAATTGATTATTCGGACCATTTCAATACACATTCATGGCCCCAATAATCAAGGGGGCTAATGTTGAGGCCCAAAATATTCACAGTTCGGCCCAAATAAATTCTCGGCCCAATGTGATGCTTTACCAAGAAGAAACCCGATTTGGGCATGCGAAAGTTCATCATATGCGCTTGCACACATGCCACGCCAAACAACACGCCACGCTAAGCAAGGAATTATCATTCCGCACCTAATCACGCCACAAGCTTAAGTGGGCCCCAAGCCACTCAGATACCCGGGGCTTGCTTGAGTGGGTTGTGGCATGGATGGTGATAAATCAACATGAGACCCATTGATGGACCGAGAAATGGAAAGTCTCGGGTTGCTTGGGAGCCTCGAGACTCAAGCCCATTTCTTAGGCCCAAACATATGGGTAAGCACAAGAGAGAAAAGCAGCCCAAAGGCCCAAGCAAAATAACCTAACCAAGAAATAACCCAACCAAAAAAATAACCCCAATCAAGAGGCCCAATGTTTCACAAAAGCCCATTTGCTTAGAAAGCCATCTTGACCCTTAGAAAAACCCAAAATAGCCCACAAGAGCTTCAGCTCTTTTGAAAAACAGAGAACACGTTGGCAGACTCATCAAGCAAAGCTGCTGGGAGCAAGTTCCAAGCCAGAGACGCCCAAAGAACCAAGGAATGCTGGCCTGCACCCTGTCAAAAGCACCCCTTGGACCAGCATATATTTTCACTTCTTTTCCTTCATCAGATTCAGCCAAGGAAGAGGAAAGGAAAGAAGAAAAAACAGCAAACCAAGAGTGGAAGCTCCCACTGCACGGCTGCAGGAAAGGAGGATATTGAGCCCCCAAATCCCCTGAATTCATGTAAATAGACAGAAGCAATCTTTGCCAAGAAAGGGAAGTCAGAGAAGAGGAGGAGAAAGGAAGAAAAAAACTTAGCCAAAATAAGTAGAAGCCATTAGGGTTTCTTGAAAAATGGTGATTTCCAGCAGCTATAAATTGAACCTTCCCCTACCCAACAGGGACAACCCACAACCTGCAGAGAGCAAGCTTTCTCTCTAACTTGCAAAAACTCAACAAGCTCGTGCACTGTTCGTCTTCTTCTCCAATTTGTTTTTCTGGCAGCTGCCAGAAGAACTCTGCCTTTCTTTTTCCTCTTTCCCTAGTCGAATTCCTCACAAAACACCTCATTCCTTACTTAAACACTTTCTTTTCTCATAAACCAAGCCTAATTTCTCTCTTAGTGCTAAACCCATGTTGATTTTGCTCCCATGCCACATGCCACTCATGCTGAGCTAAAAAGACTATCTGTAAGCATGCCAAAACTATCTGCAAGTTACCATTATTCTCGTTGGTGAAGATAACCAAAATACTTCCTAAGGCTCTACTGCCTTTTCGAGGTATTTTGGGGCTTAATTTTCGAACTCAGGCTCAAGGGGCAATTTCTTCCATTTTGCCCTTTACGGCAGTCAGGCCCGTAGTAGCTGCCGGAAGAAAAAAGCCCCTACAACGTATAAAGTGGACAAATACGACGTTAAATTCTATAATACGTCGTTATATGAAAACCCCAACTTCGTAAGATTGAAAGATGTCGTCGTAGAAATACGAGAAAGACGTCGTTATATTTACCTTTGCCGTAGTTGTACATTAATTTAATACGGCGGTATTTTGTATTTTACCGCCGTGGATTTATTTGTAATTTTACGTCGCCTTATACGAAAACTTGGTCGTGTTAATTTCTGGGTAAAAACGACGGCTTTTTGTGAAACCGTCGTCTTTACTTTCTACGTCGGTCGGTTCATAACTTCTGCCGTTATTTGTTGGCTACGATTTTACCTCTTGAAAATCCTATTTCAATAAGACGTCGGTTTTTTAATTAAGTACGTCGTGTTTTTGGAACAGCCATTTGAAACTCCATTTTTAAGTTGTATAATGTGTTATTACACGGCGGTTTTATAAAACCGTCGTCTTTTAAAAAACAACGACGGTTTTCACATAGACCGTCGTGTTTTTGTGGTCGTCTTTTTCACTTTTTGTAGTAGTGCGAAAATGTATTCGGCTTCTGCTAATGATAGTGCCACAATACTTTGCTTCTTTGATGACCATGATAGAGCCTTGTTTCCTACGAAAAACACATGTCCATAGGTGCTTGCACCTGCCCAGTCATTGTTTGTGTAGCCAACCAACTGTGCTTCTTTCTCTTGTGTATATCTAATACCATATCCCTTCGTTCCTTGTATATACCTAAGTATTCTTTTTACTGCAGCAAAATGATGATTACTTGGATCACTCATGAATCTAGATACCACACTTACGGCATGAACAATATGTGGCCTTGTATTTTGTAAAATAAATTAATGAACCAACCACACTTCTATTTCTATATGTGGATGCATCAAACTTAGGTGCTCCATCATTACTTGTAAAATTCAAATTAATTGTCATTGGAGTATCCATTGGTTTGCTCTTCAACATATTGAATTTTTACAACAGATTTTCAACATACTTCTTTTGAGAAATAAATATCCCCGCATCTAATTATTGAACCTGTATACCAAGAAAATATCTCATAGTGCCTAGATCTGTCATTTCATATTCCTTCATCATGTTCTTCTTGAAAACTTCTACCAACTTTGGATTTGTGCTTGTATAGATCAAATCATCAACATAAAGGCACAAAATCAGAAAATCATGTGTACCTTCTTTCTTGAGATAAAGTGATGGCTCACTTAAGCTTCTAGTAAATCCAGTTTGCATAAAATAGTGATCAATTTTATTGTTCCAGGCTCTTGGTGCTTGCTTTAAGCCATATAAGGCTTTACGGAGGCGATAAACATTATCTTCCCCTTTCTCAACATAAACTTGAGGTTGCTCTGCATAAACCTCTTCTTCAAGTTCTCCATTTAAAAATGCAGATTTGACATCCAATTGATAAACCTTTGTCTTCAGTTGTGCAGCCAAAGCCAAAACATTCCTTATAGTCTCCATTCGAACTACCCGAGCAAACATCTTATTAAAATCAACTCCTAGTAGTTGAGAGTATCATTTTGCAACCAAGCGAGCCTTATGCTTTTGGATTGAACCAGTTCCCATGTTCTATTTTTCTTGATAACTCTTATTTCCTCATCCATTGCATCTTGCCAAATATTTTCTTTTACAGCATCTTCAAATTTTTGAGGTTCAATAGCACTCATAACAACTTCATCAGTGGACTCATATAGATCCTCCATTAAATGTATTTTCTCGATTGGCCTTGCACTTGAAACTAGTATTTTTTAGAGGAACTAAAACTAGATGAACGTATTATTGTACTTTGACGCATATGAGTTTCTTTTGAACTTGATGAATCTGGTTCCTCAAATAAATCTTGGCACTTCAGTATCATCATTCTCCCATTTTCAAGCCTTGAGTTCATAAAAAATAACATCTCTAGAAATTACCAAACTATTGGCTCTTGGATCAATTAATATGTATGCTGCTTTTCTTGTGTTTCCTTGTTAAAGATTTTTTTTTTTATATATCTATTATATTTGATAAGAAATAGAGGTAACACTGCTATCGGTTCATGACCAAAGAGTCTAGTTCAATTGAAATACGAACATTACATAAATACATAAATCAGTATTATTTACAAACCACATAGTTAAGCTCTTCGTATTTTGTTTAAATTGAAATGGATTAGTTTCCTCCAACACCTCATTCATTTTTATGTTTGTTCATCAAATCACATAGTTAAGAAAAAACTTCAGGAATTTCTTATGAGAAATTAAGACACGCCTTGCGTGTAAATTATAAGAAGCCAATCACTAAAATGAGAATGAGAAACGGAGCCATGTATTTCTTATGAGAGAGAGACTCATGTATTCCCCAAAACATTTGAAATTTGTTTGAATGAGGATTGCCAAATCCACCCAAAAATTTGATCACTACACCCTAAAACAGTTATGAAGATTCCAACTTTATTCTAAAGAGTACGAAAAAATAATTCATCAAAAATTAAAACGAGCACGAAAGTATGCCTTCAGAAAAGAAACAAAAAAGGAAAATATTTTCCATTTACAGAAATTATTTGAGATGAACATAACAAGAAATAAAATTCTCCATGGAATGTAAGTGGTGGCGGTCCCCAAATCGGACGGTCCTGGAAGTGGAGCCACTAAAGGAAACAGTTGGATTCAAAAGTTTCTGTTCTGCGCTTATCGTGGTCCTGATGAGAAGGAAAGCGGACGCTCTAAGGAACCGCGTGGAGGACACGCTTGGCCAGCAGACGACGCAACGCGGCCTCTCGGTTGTGGGTCCCCTTTGACACTGTAACACTGTTATATCATGGAAAAAGCGCGTGGAATCATCACGTTTTCAATTTTAATTACTATTTTTTTCTCTGTTTTCTAATCATATCCCGCGTGCTCTCTCTAAAATGCACCTCCACTTTTCAATTACTACAATTCTGCCATTTGTGTTTTTCCTTTTTCTTTTTTTAACCTTACATTTCTAACAACAGCAGTGTAACATGTGTGTATTTTTTTTTTTTTTTTTTTTTTTTTTTTTTGTTTGTTTTTTTTTTATTTTATGAACTATTTTTTATATGCAAAAATGTGAAAGAATTACCGATAAGGAGGCAAGTAGTATATTTTGTTATATCATTGTTGTTTTTCTATTTTTTGGAAATAAAATTAGGAATTAGTATTATTTTTAGGGTTTAGGGTTTCAACTAAGAAATTTAACTTATGAATTTTTGTTTGGGTAAAGAAGAGAAATGAATTGAAGTAAAGTTCTTAACCGTTTAAAACACGAACTTCCATCTCAATTTTTTTTTTTTTTTTTTTTTTTTTTTTTATTTTTGTTCGATCAATCAAATCATAATGTTTGATTCGTTTGAACTCCCACGATGCTGAATTTGATCAGTTTCTAATTTTGGCCTTCCACATTTACATGCAAGTTCTGATTTTCTACATCGTATCTTGTTTGCTCCATTTTCGTACCCTATTATATTAGTATTGCACTCATTATGTTTTCATGTTTCATCTTGTTCAAAACCTTTTATGATTAAAGCATAACAAGTGGTGTGTGCCACATCACATCACAGCATGCAACTACAAAAATGCACTAATTAAAGATACATTAACAAAAGTAAAAGGGAAGAAAACAAGAAAAAGTTGGATATTATTGTGGCTTATTTTCAGGAGAAGTTCTTACATAACACACTCACATGGATGAGATAAATATGAGTTCGAATGCGATACATTAAGGAATTATAGGTTAATATAATTGTAGCTCTCTCTTAATCACATCGAGACATTTTGAGATAAAAATGATCACTCATTAATGGGTTTATAGACGTGATCATATTTGTATGAACCTATGTGATTAAATTTGAGACACTATCGAGACAAAGTTGTGCATGAGATTTTTCAACACTCCAATTCATGAGTATAAAAGATTCTCCTTTGGAGATCCCATGTGATGCACATGCACCTGGGCAGCAATGCATCGTAGTGAATGTTTATATTCAGTGAATTATGAGTTTATATAATTTAATACTCCATTTCCAGTTACCAATGGATAAATACCGACTCATTCTTGCATCGAAATTCTGACAGATTTATTTCTTTATTTACTTGGTTTTTTTTAATAGTCCACTGTTCACCATTTAGGTTGGAACACACCAGTTAGGTTGGAACAAATAATACTATTATTAACCAAGTAATTGTTAAATGCAGTTCCTACCCATTCGTCGATGAATCTCTAAAACATTATCGGTAGCATCACCTTTTTATTATTTATATTTGGTAATATCATCGTTTTTTCATTGTGCTATATCATCTTAATTAAATAATTTTTTACATCTTTATTAAAAATAATTGTTTTTTTTACATGTATATTTTCCTATAAACTTGTCCAGATGACCTAGGATGATAAGCTTATATGAGTAGAGTGCCATGATCTTGTTGGCATCCATCCACCGCAACGTGATAAACTAGAAATAAGAAGTGTTTATTGTGGGAACAAATATTTCACAAGGATTAAGGAGGAAGATTGAGAAAGAAGCTAGAAGGGTGAAGAATCTCTTGCGAATATTCTCTTGTAAAAATTTGCACAAACATTTATACCATATCTAACTGGTCAATCATTCCACGACACGTGGAACGTGGAACATGGAACCCACAAAAGGGCCCACAAAGCTCAGTCAAAGCATTGAGGCTCATAAAATGACCATCGATAGGGAGAGCCTTCGACAACTCTACCTTCGTACAAATCATCAGCAAGTTGAGCTTTCGGCAACCCATCATGCTGATCCGACCAAAGAAGTCGCATGTTTTACCAAGTTGGACAAAGGACAAGTGGTAGCCTCTTAGGTAATGTCCACAGTCCCACATCAAAATCCCACTCAAGGTACACACTTCCCAAGATATAGAAATAGGGACACAAGTCCCCAAAATGAGGTAACTGTTATATTCGGTTACTTAGCCCTTACTCTGTTCAAATTACTCTTCACTTTGTCCTTAAGCTAACTTAAGCATTGAAAAGTCTTCGGTCGGTATCACACCAGTGCTCAAGGTCTTATCGTTGCTCTTTGTCTTGAAGATCTCCCTCATCTACTGAAGAGCCAATGAGGTCGAAGGTGACACAACATCACTAAGTTGGGCCCCAAAAATGCTCGTCCATTTTTAAGCATCAACAAGAAGTGAATAGTATAGTTTGTTATATTATATCACAATCATTCTTATGGCTCGGCTAATAAAATTTTCTTTTTAGTTTTTGTTTTTGTCTTTTATTGGTGATATAAAGGAAATACATAGGAGAAATGAGGGATGAAGAACAATGGAGAAAGGGTGGTGGGATGGATGTAGAAGAAATGCACATGGAATGGTACAGAAATTGAAAACTATAAACTAAAACAATTTAAAGGTGGTTTCTAGTTTTCTCATATATTGTCCTTCATTTCTTTCTCACCCTTCTTCATTCCTTCTTTCTTTCTGTTTTTTTTTTTTTTTTTTTTTTTTTTTTTTTTTTTTTTTTTAAAATTAAAATAAAATAGTTATCAAACCCACTTTTAGAAAACGCTTCCTAATTTCGACGTCCTAGCTCTCTAAAGTTTATTTCTTTAATGGTTATCAAAAGTTACCTCCTCTAATGAGTGTAGAGATATATTTATTTTGGTCTTTATCAATTATTGTTGAAAAAAAAATGTTTTAATTGCTATAATTTACAAGAATAACGAACACAAATTATGTTCAAACTTTCACAACAAAAAAATGAAAACATAAATATAACTCTCAAATTTACGTATAATATGAAGAAAAATATTATTAAAAAATCTACTAAATGGTTTGATGTATATATAATGACAAAGGTGCCTATCTTTATTTTTTTGGAGAAATTTTGGTCACTAGTGCTACAAAGGGCCATACAAACTAGCCACAAAGGAACATTACAATAACATAAAAATTAAGACAATTTGGTGTGCCTACATTAACGATCACACATGATCAAAGAAATTCTGGCATAAGCATCCCAACTAAGATTGCAAACTCAAAACAATAAAAAAGATATAAAACTTGAAGGAAAAAAAAAACTGTTCAATGCCTATCTGAAAAGCTACAAATTTATAAATAAATAAATAAAAATTTTTAAAAAAGAAGGGAAATTTGTATAAATGTCATCTGAACTTTTAGGTTTGTGCGCTAATACCACCTGAACTTGTAATTTTTATTTTTAACCACCTGAACTTTGTAGAGTGTTGCAATCCACCACCTATGTCTAACTTTGTTAAAGCTTCCATTAAATTTAAAATCATTTTTGTCAATTCACTCTAACTAAAAATAATTATAAAAATAAAAAAGTTAACCTGATTACACAGCAGCTTCCCAAAAAAAAAAACCTAATTATATCGACGCAACATGCTATGGCTATGCCTATGCACCTAAATTAAAATTAAATCTAATATAAATGGTATATATCACAGGTGGTCTAAATGATGGATGAGTTTCTGATTTTTTTTCTAAAGTTTGTATGAAAAGATATAAAAAAATTATAATTATAAATAAATAAATAAATAAAAAGAGTTTTGAATCTTTGGAATTGGCGTTGGAAAAGGGTAGGGCTAGGGAAGGTGTGGTGCAATTAGGTTAATTTTTTATTTATTTCTAAATTATGTTTTTTTATATTATTTTTAGTTATAGTGAGTTGATAGAATGGCCATTAAACTTAACCAAAATTTTAACGGAGTTAGATATAGGTGGTAGATTGCAACACTTTACAAAGTTTAGGTGGTTAAAAATAAAAATTCAAAATTCAGGTGATATCAGCTCACATGCCCAAAAATTCAGGTGGTATTTATGCAAATTTTCCTAATACAATATTTTTGAAATTGCAGGTGATGCAATCGTTCAGTGGCAATTTTTCTAATTTTATACATCCAACCACAAGAAATATCTTAATATTAAATATTAAAATTTCCAATAATAATTACATAAGTATGTCAAAAATAGCTAAATTTCAATTGGATGGTATAATTTAAAATAAGGAATGTTCTTTGGAGTTTGCATATTTGTAGTTGCTTCTCAAAGACTAAAAGAACTTCTTGACAACCATAAACGTTTCGTTTGACATAAAAACTTATAAGTGCTTATAGGTCATAAAAGTGCTTTTTAGAAAAACACTTTACATGTACTTCTTCATAAATCACTTCGAAGCACTTGAATTTTCAATAAATTTTTTGACCTTTTTTCTAATAGAATCACATATGAATATAAGTGCTTCATGCAAAAGCATTCTCAAGTTAAAGAATTACTTTGAATTAAAGAAGTCATGAATCTAGAAGGTGAAGAATAGAGAAGAGAAGAATCATAGAACAAATTGTAATGTGAGACTCATATATATGCGTGTAAGGAAACACAATGATATTATGAATTAAAATCATTCAAATTCCCAAAGTAAGTAAACGTGACATCAATACAATTGCTAATTTGGTCATGTGAAAATAAAGGATTCCAAACACTGAAAGTATTATTTCAAATTTCTTATTTTCTTAAACAATCAAATTTATATATCATTAGCCCAAAAAAATAAAAAAATATATAAATTTTATTAATATTTCTATATAATTTAAAATTGCATTAATAATAAAGCTAAAAACTAATCAAATATTAGAATGACAATGTTAAGATTGCGTGAAAGATGTTCGTCTTCATGTGGTGCGACTATTTATAGGGAAGCTAACATAGTAGTTGATGCTCTAGCCAATTTTGAAAGATGTTCAGTTTCTTTGAAGAGCCTCTGTGTAATTTTACTTTTGTTTTTCGTTTTTTAAGAAAAAGCTAAAAGCTAAGAATAATATGATAATTACATAACGTTTTCTTGTCTTTTATTTTAATTTCTTTTGATTTAGACCAATCTATTTTCATTTCATCCATCACATCCTCACATCCTCACTTCATAATCTAAAATCTTGTTATATCGCATACAAATCACAAGTGTGTCATAGGTATAAAGAAAGGAAACCTAAGTACCCCAAAAAAAGGGAACCAAAAAGACAATTAGATTGGTTAGGGTCCTAGGTATTCATATTTCTTCAATGTCATCTCAAGTAGCTCCAAATCATGGATGCAAATGTGCTATTTATTACTCTAGTAAAGCAAAAGTCAAAAATAAAAATAAAACCTAGAAAAAAAAAGCCTAAAGTGAATGGCAAAGAGGTATTTTCACAAAGAATATAATTATTTCAGCACACAAAAAAAAAAGATAATTATTATTTTTAAGTCCCCACCCTGTATATTATTTTATGAGATAAAAGAATACTGCAAAATAATGCCCATCTTTAAACATTTTGCTGTTCTCTCTGTTTTTCTCTGTCTCTCTCTTCGCTCCAAAGGCTCCTACTTGGAGTTCGCCGTTCTGAGATTCTCTCCCTCTTCGTTTTCTCTGTGAGATCCAAAAGCACTTGCACTCAGAAATTTCTAATTCAATCTGCAACTATCTGCCACTTCAAGCCCCAATTTCGGCTACAAAACAAAAGCACTTCTACTCTGTTTTTCTCCAAAAGATTCCGTCTTTTCTCTCACTATAAGTTTATATATATATATATATATATATTTTCCTGTTTTTCTTGGAAAACATTAGAGATTACCGCCTTGTTAGATCCTCCAAAGTTAGTTATTTCCGCTAGATACTTTGCAGAACTCACACTTTCACTCTGTGATCTGTAAACTCTTCGTTTCCAACTAAATTAGATACTTCCGCCTTTACCTTTTTGTTTAAGTATTTCATTTGAATACAAGGGGTTGCTATTTCAGCCCCAAAGCAACCCCAACCTTATTAGCTGTCTTATTTTAGACTAAACGCGCTTCAGATAGAAGCTTTTCAGTTTTTGATTTTGGATGTTGGTGATATTGAGGAGATTTGATCATCTGGGTATTTGCATTTGAGAGAGATTTGGCTTATCTTTTGCTGCTTTTGTGATCTGGGTTTGAGTTTCAACTTAAGTGTTAGATGCACCCGTTGGATTGTTGCTTAGAAAGTTTTTTGATGCTTTGTTGCTAAGATGCAGCCTGATCCAAGAAAAAAGGTAAATTCAGTCACTTTTAATACACTCTTGCAGAAATGCAAAACATGTCTGATGTCTTCTGATGTTTTACTGATATTGGTACCTTTTCATGTTATTAGAAGAAATGGTTTTGCATTTGTTAATTATTTCATGATAATCTCTTGCTGGTGCAAATTTGTACGTTCACAAACTCATTGTGGTTCTCTAATATTAGTATGTGGTCCAAATTGAGTGGATTTTTCTGTTGTATTAAGGTATTATTCCTATATGTGGATGGGATTGAACAGAGTGCCATGTTCATGTCTCAGTTCTATGCCGTGCATTTTGTTGTCTGGGAAGGTCCCACTTTAATATTTTTGTCAAGTAAAGCTGTTATTGTATAGTTTTTGTCTTGTGTCGTAAACATTTTATGGTTAGTTCATGGACCAAAGCCGCTAGTTTAGGCATAGCTGGGAATCTCCCTTATCTATAACTAATAAACATTCAGTATCATTTACAAACTTTCTGTTATGATTCTTTACTTTTTCTTGCCGTTTACCTCCTTGATCATAATAAGTACTTGTAGACTTCAGTCAAAATATGGAGAGATATATTTCAAGAAAATAGTTAGTGGATGTTCGCCCTGGTTTAGTGATGTTCTTATTGTGATTTACAAGGTTAGATTGGCATTGCCTTTCATTATGACTGAGGATTTGTTTTGCATTTCAATTATTGTTGATGGGCAAATAATTCCAGACATTCTTTCATCTTCTTGTACATAATTTGCAACATATGAATTATTTAGTTTTATTGGTCTCTTTTAGTCATTGTAGTATTCTGGAAGGTCCTCAGACCAACTGTTTCCACTCAATGTTGTGAATCACTTCAATTGCATAATAACTTCACTTAAGATGTCATGATGATGAAATGGAATGTTTTCGGTCATGCAGTCATCTGCAGATGTGGACTTCTTCACAGAATATGGTGAGGGTAGTAGGTATAAAATAGAGGAAGTAATTGGTAAAGGAAGCTATGGTGTTGTTTGCTCTGCATTTGATACACATACTGGAGAAAAGGTTGCGATAAAGAAAATAAATGATATCTTTGAACATGTCTCGGATGCCACACGCATTCTTCGTGAGATTAAACTTCTTAGGCTCCTGCGTCATCCAGACATTGTGGAGATCAAGCACATCTTGTTACCTCCATCCAGAAGGGAATTCAAAGACATATATGTTGTCTTTGAACTCATGGAATCTGATTTACACCAGGTTATCAAAGCAAATGACGATTTGACACCAGAACATTATCAGTTCTTTCTTTATCAGCTTCTTCGAGGCATGAAGTACATACACACAGGTCATAGTCTTATACTTTTGACACTTCTGACCCTGTTTGCACTACTTTATTAGATTTAGCATTAGTGCAGTTTTTTTTAAACCTCAAATTCCAAGTATATCATGATAATGCAGGTTCTGATTTTATTCATATATTGGTCTTGTAGCAAATGTCTTTCACCGAGATCTAAAACCCAAAAATATCTTAGCAAATGCTGACTGCAAACTCAAGATATGCGACTTTGGTCTTGCAAGAGTAGCTTTCAATGATACCCCTACTGCTATATTTTGGACGGTAAGTTTCTAAGTGAACAACTAATGAGTTTCATTTTCCCCATGGTATCCGATATGCATGGTTTCTAAAAATGCAAGTTTTTGTTCAGATTTGTCATTTATAACTCCATGTCTTCTACATGCAGGACTATGTTGCCACAAGATGGTATAGGGCTCCTGAATTGTGTGGTTCATTTTTCTCAAAGGTGCAAGAATCATTATCCCTTACACTTTCTTGGATGCAATTTGATCTTTTCATCTGGTGTGCAATGATCCTTTGAATTGTTTTCCAACTTATTTTTTTTGTAATATTGCATCATTACATGTAAATTGTAATGTTTCCTCATCTCTTCTGTTTTCCAATTTCCTTAAAAATGAAATGTTGTGGCAAACTTTAGTGATGTGAAGACCTAAGCACCTGTCCTTTCTCCTTAACTTATTATGAGTAGATTTAGAGCACTGTTATCATATTTTTTCTTTTGACTGATTATTAGATCTATCTTAGCAAGCCTGTCTTAGCTTATTTTTCTTTTGTTGGAAAATTTTGTTTCCTCTAAAATTTGGCATTGCCTGGGACGTGAGACAGCATCTGTAACCCTTCAAATAATTGGTTTCTATTTTAAAGACTGTTCATTTATACAATAGAATAGTCGAATGAGCCATACCTTATCTATCTTCTATGACAAGCCAATACTTGTTTGCCTTGCATTATCTGTGGGGTTGACGTTACCAACTATTTCCTAATGGGATTACCTCTACTTCCTGTAATGGCATTGAACAGTAACCATTGCAAGTTATGTCACTCAGTCATCCAATAATAGCCATCTTAGTCTGCTGTAAGAAATTTGTTTGCTTTACTTTTTTTTCTCCTTTTCCAGGTGGGACTATCAGTCTATTGATCCCTTGTTTTCTGTTTTCAGTATACACCTGCAATAGATGTATGGAGCATTGGGTGCATTTTTGCAGAGCTTTTAACTGGAAAGCCTCTTTTTCCTGGCAAAAATGTTGTCCATCAATTGGATCTGATGACTGATTTATTGGGGACACCATCTGCTGAAGCAATTGCTAGGGTCAGTTTCCTGTAATAAACTTAGTCTTAACATAGTTAGGATGTGTGTTTGCTCTTGTATTTCCCATTTTCTAGTGTGTACATTGTCTGAGTCTAATTTTTAATTTTATCAAACAGGTACGCAATGAGAAAGCTCGCAGATACTTAAGCAGTATGCGGAAGAAGAAGCAAATTCCTTTCTCCCATAAATTCCCAAATGCAGACCCACTTGCTCTTCGTTTATTAGAAAAAATGTTGGCATTTGAACCAAAGGATAGACCTACTGCTGAAGAGGTAAATGTTCATTGAAATTCATCAGTACTTTCCCCTATGCATATTATTTTTCTAATAGAGATATTTTCTGCTTCTTTTAGGCCCTTGCTGATCCCTATTTTAAGGGTTTGGCAAAGGTGGAGAGAGAACCTTCTGCTCAACCAGTTACCAAGATGGAATTTGAATTTGAGAGGCGAAGGATAACCAAAGAAGATGTAAGAGAGCTCATTTACCGTGAGACTCTTGAGTACCATCCAAAGATGTTGAAGGAGTACTTAGAAGGATCAGAACCAACGGGCTTCATGTATCCAAGGTTTTTTCTTTTGAAATCTTATATTTATTATTCTAGTAGAAAACATCCTACTCATACATGCTCTTGCAAAACCTTTTGCATTTGTAGTCGTGTATCCAAGGTATTTTCCTCTGTGTTTCTCATAAAAAAATAAAGTGGCTGGTCAACATTGTCTGATATTTTAATAAAACTGTTAATGTTTATGGAAAACATTTTATGTGCCACTAATACTCTGAGTTGTGAAATTGTAAGAGGCTCGATTGTCCTACTATTACATCAATTCTGTTCAGAGTTGGTATGCTTACTAATTGTACTCATATATGACTGGGAAATTCCTAATAAAATTCTGACTGCTCTTTCTGGTGGAATAGATGATTTCTCTTTTGTTTACATCATGAGGATCGAATTAAGCTTTAACCCGGGAGAAATCTTTTTCATAATTGTTAATTTACTTACTTTTTCAATACAGTGCTGTTGACCATTTCAAGAAGCAATTTGCCTATCTTGAGGAGCACTATGGAAATGGCGCAACTGTTGTTCCGCCTGAAAGAACACATGCATCACTACCCAGGTATCCCTTGTAGTTGCTGTTTTCTGAGCATCGCCTGTAAATTTTAATACCGTGTTTTTGTCAAGCTTCTCACTATCTAATTTTGAAATTGTTGTATTGACCAAAATTTGTGCATGCAGGGCATGTGTTTTATATTCCGACAATACGGTACAACATTCAACAGAAGTCGCAGATGACCTCTCGAAATGCTGCATCAAAGAAATTGAGAAGCCACAGATCGACAGGAGCTCTGGGATCCCTACAACAAGGCTTCCAGTTCCTCAAACCATCCAAGGTGCAAATGTTTTCAGTAATTATTACAAATTGTCATTGTTAGGTTGTCCTTTAATTATGATGCTCCAGTTTGAGTGGTTGTAACCAGTTCTTGATGCAGGAGCTGCAAGGCCCGGGAAAGTTGTGGGTTCGGTATTACGTTTTAATAATTGTGGGGCAGCAGCTGCAGCAGAGGCTCTTGAGCAGCGAAGGATGGTTAGGAATCCAACTGCTCAACCCCAGTATACTGCTGCAAGTACAGGCTCATATCCTCGAAGAAATCCACCCTGTAAAAATGAGAGGGGAGATTGTGAAGGCGTTGAAGGTTCCAATGGTCTGCAGCCAAAGCCTCAGTACATGCCAAGGAAAGTAGCTGCTGCTCAAGGTGGATCTGGTCAATGGTACTGACTCCATGGTGGGCATATATGGTGGAATCCACTAACCATAACCAATGTTAGATGGGACAGTCATCCACCACATACTAACCAGGATTGATCCATCACTAATTGAAACTTCATCAATTTAAGTGATACAAAATATCAGTTATATGTATTCGTTATTGCCACATCTGCGTGAAAAATATTGAGCCCTGTCGATTTCGGAGGAGTTTAGCGAATAGTTGTACTTTATATCACTAATTCCAAGTGAAGGGGTTGTATGATCTGTCTCAATGGTTCCGTTACTCTCTGATTCAGATAAGAACAAAGACATAAAGGGCATGTGACAACTTGAATGAAGGAATACTAAGCTATGCATTGACTTCACCCAAGTTCTTTCTATGTGACATTTTTGGCAGGAGTAACTTTTGAGTTATTTCTCATTTCACTCTTCCGGGGATAACATTAGGGTTTGTATATCACCTTGAATTGTTTTCTTCTTGAAATAATGATCTCTGATTGCAACTTTCTTTCGAATATGTTTGGAAATATGTGGCAATTATATAGCATAATTCTCTACCTGTCTAGTATTTCTTTGTAATCATATTAAATTAGCTATCTTACCTATCATTGATCATTTTTTATTTATTTTAGTAATGCTACACTTACCACATTTTTATTCCATGATGTGGCATGTCGATATTATATGTCACATCAATTAAATCAACTAAGTGTATTTTAATAAAGAAAGTTTAATTAACAGTTTTTCTAAGTGTTAATAAATCATAAAAGAAAAGAAAATATTAAATAATTTTAATTGATATGGTTGTCCATCTTATCTGCCACATAGCGTGGTGTGGTATGAGAATGTGGTATGCAAATGTGGTAAGAGTAGTATTATTTTTATTTTATTTTTCATGTAAAATTATGTTTGAAAGTGGTTTTAATGTAAAGTTTTTTTTTGTCTTTTGATCATAACAGAAGCCAAAAAATAAAACATTATTCTACATGAACATTCTATAGTGAGGGCTTTATATATGGCCCTTAGGTGAGACCTTATTTCTTAATTATTAGATTATGCTAACCAATTTGATCCAACGATTAAGAGATAGAACCTTACTTAAGGACTAAGACGCTCACTATAGAATTCTTGGAATAAGAATGCAATGATTACTCAGTTTAGACTAAGCAAATGGCCCAACGCAGAAATTCATATGGCCTATTTCTTTGTTGAATATCCCAGCCGTCGATCCTTAAATCCATTGGGATGTTTAGTTTCAATTTGGTCCTGCTTTAATGATATCTTTTTTATGGAGAAAGAGTTTCGCTTGTTGCAACTCTGGTGGAATAAAAAACTTGGCATGCCTAAGACAATTTTCAGACAAAAAATATCATAGAGTTCTTAGTTTATTTATTTTTGTGGACAAGGGTGATATTCTAAACTACTCTAATCTACTGAAAGAGAGATTGAACTCGGGTGCAAAGGGCAGACACATTCCTTTTGTTTTGCCTAACCCACATTTCCATCATAGAGTTCTTAGTTGACATAATAAGAACATTCATTAATCAGCCCATTCATAGAATTCCTTATGATAAGAGCATTCATTAATGAGGGTTACAGAAAGGAAAGACGAAGACCTCCAAGCTACAACTTTATTGGCAAATAGATTCATCTTCTATCAACATATATAGATAAACTCTTACAATTAACTTTAATAACTATCTCAACCCCCTTGATTAGGAAAAAGAAAAACTCAATCCTGGATAACCTCAACTTGGCAATGTTTTTTTTAACCCTTTTGAAACGATAAAATCTCATTTTCTAAGTCCTCATGGTCACCTTATTCAGAACTTCAGCAGCATACTTCGCCACTCCAATCATCTCAGTAGGTGTGATGATCAACAAAAAGAAAAGACAAACTCTGGTGGATTGAGGGACTAGTATATTTGACCCGATTGCATCCCATAAAACCATAAGACAAGATATTCAAGATTAGGTGATAATATATTCAGCAGCTGTGACCCAAAAAATGGGTACAGCTAAGAAAACGTGCTGCTCTTATTAACACCATAAATGATTACCCAGTCTAGACCAAGCAAAACTGCACACAAAAATAATATAGCCGGCAGAGACCAGAGGTTTACAAAATGTATAACAAATCCTTTATAACACAAAGATATTACAAAGAAAAACCAAATGAACCACTACAATTCTTTTTTCTTTTTCTTCATATGGATTAGTCGTGTGTTAGCGCACAATTCATGAAGGTATCCTAGCAAGCTCTCCACGTTTGTTTATTCTTGCAGCTTATTTTCCAAATCAATACAACCTTGCTTTAACCCGCCTTCCATTCGTATCGCTGCCATCGAATAATGTCCCTTTGCCATATCCACAAGCAACAAAAGAATGCTCACCAATACTTGCAACACAATGCAGTAGCTCAGTGATGACAGAAGGGCAGCTTTCCCTCAAGTACTTGTATCCATCAGTTTCAATCACAGCTGAAAATAATTTACCAGCTTTTTGTCAATATACAGTTAATAAAAGGGCAGCTACAGAGACATTCAATCTGCATTGAACCTCTGAGAAAATTACTACCATGACTTATTTGAATATATTGAATAAATGAGCAGAGAAAATATATGCACGACAGGTTCCCATCAACAAAGGAATTTTCCTTAATTCAAAACCAATCCTTAAACATCATAGAAGTTTCCTTCAAATCTTTCCGATAACTGATTATGAATTAAAAAGTAATGAACCCAGATTATAATTTTTTTTTAAAGCACAAAATATTCCCAACTGACAAAGAAACAATGCATATATTTTTAATTAAGTAAACATACTTTATTAAAGAAAAAAGAAGGAAAAAAAAGGAAAGGAAGTTTATCAAAACAAGGTATACCCTCACCCTCAAAGCAAAACATGAAAGTCAAAACTCCCTCTCCCCATGGATTTAAATCTTTTCTGAACTGAAATACAATTGCCCAACATCCTATCTCCGATACTAACATCTGTTCTCCATGAGGGAAACACGGATATTGCAGATATAACCAAAGGAACAGTGAGGACCAAGCAACATGTATTTTTCTCAACTTTCAAAAATAACTCTCTACAAAAATAGCTCTCTACCTCTTAAATTTTCAGGCACTGCAATAAATTTGAGGCATACAGCTTTAAGCTGGAAACAGTGGTGCTGCTCTGCCAAGGCTAATGTTGTTGCAACATTGTTTATGGCAACATTCTCGCAAAGTTTAGCTTCACAAAGCAATCTGAGCCTCTCAAGGCCATAACGATCTGCTGCTGCCAACAGATGTTGTGCCATCATTGTAGAAGCCCAATTTGAATTTAAGCCCCCAACAAGCTCTTGCATGTCTGGTAGAGCATCCCAGTAGATGAAGTGCAGCAACGCCTGCAAACATCCAAAGCAAGGAGGAGGAATTATTATCATGTAAGCTCATTTATTCCCATTTACTTCAATAACAGAAATCAACCGACCTGTTTACATTATTCCCATTTCTTCAGCCATATGTGTAAAAATGCAAATCAGCAGATATTAGGCATCTCATTGATGTTTACATCTTCTAATGCTTTTGTTTTGTGTGCATGTGTGTGAGTGTGTGTATGTTGGGGCAGAGGAATGGAGAGAGAGAGAGAGAGAGAACCTTGAAAACAGGAACCTCAATGTCTTCAACTTTTATGCAATGAGTGCTTTTATCTTTCAGCGGACCAAAGAGTTGTGCCCTGAACACAGGCGATCGTGCTGCAAGCACCACCTTGTGGGCAGAAAATACTTCACGATCAACTTCAAAACTTACATCAGTCAACTTTCCACTTTCTAAAAGCTTACCGAAATGCTGACTGATATTGGAAGGTGGCACTGCTATAGAATAGATTTTAGGTCCCTCAGTATTTGTCTTAACAACACCAACACGACATCTAATTATAAGGCAATCATCTTTAAGAAAGTCTGATGTCTCTAATTGAGTTCTCTTGTAAAAACGTTTATAACCCCTGCAACATCCAAAAGTTGAACCTATTCAGTTAAGTTTTCAATACACAAAATGATAGGCAATAAGTGAGTCTTGTACAGACCATAATGACAAGGTAAATACAACATATTTGCTCCAAGAAAGCCAGGCCCCCAAGTCCCAACACGAATTTTTTGTATTGATCTCACTTAGAAATGCTACTGAAGGCTTTGCCAAGACACAAGAATATTGTGCTAGCATCTACTTCACGTGAGAGTAAATTTTAAACTGTGTAAACAGTGTCCTGGCCATGAAGCAGTTATCAATTTGCCAGGCATAATTTGAGAGAAGATATCCATTTTGGAAGTCAAGAATGTTACAGACCACACTATACAAAGAAGATTTATGATCTGATTACTAGCTTTACATTTAAACAAATTTTATGGTGCTTTAAGATTGTGGCACGCATAACATAGAACGGTTAAACAGATAAAAAGCCTTTAATCCTGTAAGCATACTTAATTAACTCAACAAACCTACAACATTGCATATCAAAGACAGACCATATCATCATTCACTAACCAATCCAACACTAACTTCCTCAATTTAAAACACAATATTTGCAATCAGAATCCAATACATACACACACATATATACATATATGTTATACAAAAGTATGCATTCAAATAAAAATTTTCAGTGCGCATACCACATGCTTCCGCGGTACTTAAGTGTATAGGGACCACTATCGAGCCTCCTCAGAAAATGGCTATGCACTTTGTGCCGTTGTTTCTCGCTCTGATCCAAAAGCGTCAATTCGAACAAAGCCCTGACGTCCGTGCCCTCGCTCGCCAGAGCTATGAAAAGAGACACGAACGCAGCGTTGTCCTCAACGCTCTTGCCATCTGGGTAGAAATATATTGCCCACGTATAGCCACCGACAACAAAGGAATCGGACGCGACGAACTTGCCAATTCCCATGCCCTTGGCGAGCGAGTACCCATCGATCTTAAACTCGTGGCAGCCATCAACAGTCTCTGTGCACGAGGTAGAGCACGTGACCGGTGGAGGCAGGGGCGGGGACGAGCTGGGTTTCAATGCTCCATTGAAGACCTTGATTGTGCCCATCAACAATTAATGGCCGACGGCGCGAAAAGGATCGATTTTGATGTTCTGGATGGGGAATTGTGAAGTGGGTTTGATTGAATTGGTGGGTTAGGTTGGTTTTTGGTTTGGATTCAAAATTAGGGTTTTAATTGAAAGGGGGTGAATTGGGAATTGGGGGTTTTTGGATGAATTTGGCGGGGCAATATTTGCGCTGTGGGGGAGAGTTTGAGAATTTGAAGGTTTGGAGGGAGAGAATTGAATTGGTTTTTGGGTGATGGTGGTGGTGGTGATTTGGGTTCGTGGTCGATTGACGGTGGCTGGTGTGTGTAGGACGGCGGTGATTTTAATGTTATTCTGAATATTGCGTGGTGTACTGGTATTCATAACTTATAGGTTCAAGTGAGGTACGGCTTAGGAATATTATAATAAAGACCACAACTTACCCAATGGTGAAGATGAATGATGTGAAAATAAAGGTTAAGGATAGTTTTGTTGCTACAAATATTTTTTCTCACTACCCTTAATTAATTACTATTAGATGAGTTTAATTTTCTTCTAAACAAATAGATTAATGTATAATGATCACCATAAATTGAGGATGGTGAGTAAAAATGTTCTCTTAACTACTTCTTGAATAAAGAGTATTGTGTGTGTCAACACAATTAATTTACATGTCAAATATTACCGTTACATACTCACTTTACACTTTTTGGATGTGATAATTTGATTCTTCGTCATTGTAGTAAATAGGCGAAAATAGAATTTGATTATATTTACATATTAACTATGTTTAATATAGTCCCCTAGATTAGGAGCGGAGCAACACTTTGACTTGAAGTAGATGTTGCCCTCCAAATTAGGGATGGCAATGGGCTAGTTCGGGGCCAGATATGGCAATGCAATCCTCGTCTCCACTCCCTATCCCTCCTGCCTCGTCCCCATCCCTATCCTCGTATGGGGGCTTTCTCCCAAACCCACCCTAAATCTCTTATTTTTATTTTCTTAATAAAAATACTTATCCTACATTATAACACTAATTTCACCTACCATCAATCACATTTAATTTACTTATAAAATTCAACCCAATTATTCACAATCATCTCAATTCAATTTGACAAAATTAAATAAATATTAAATTATATAACAACCATACATACTTACATAATATGTATATTTACTTAATAATAAATATATTACTTATTGGGTTTTCAACGAGTTCACAAAAAACCACTTGCGACCGAAAAAACAAAAACTCCATCATCATGGAAGAATGCAAACCCTGTCACATACTGTTAGGCTCTATCCAAGAAAGGAGAAAACATTAGCGAAAACCCACACCCCATCGATAACCACAGAGCTGAGATTCCATGTCCTGCTTCCCCAACCTCATATAGTGCACCCTCCCCTTTCTCTTTCTCTCTCCCTCTCAATGTTTCGTAGATTCCTCACCACTTCTCTCTCTCGCACCAATCCTCCCCTCCTCCTCAACCCAAAACCACTCAACCCTAAAATCTTCACAACCCCCAATTCCCTCATCCAAACACGCCCCAACCCGAAATCCATTCTCCAATTTTCTTCAAACCCACGATTCTTCTCCCAAATGAGCGATGCTCGACGACCCGGTTCGGTTCCCATACCCAACATCGAAAAAGCCGACCGCTCGGAGCTTCTTCGTGCTCTCGAGGCCTCTATTGGCTCAGCTTTCAGCCCTGAGCCACTCTGGCCCAATCCCAGGCCTCTGGTTATTGTCATAAGCGGTCCAAGCGGTGTGGGCAAGGACGCTGTGATAAAAAAGCTCAAGGATTTGAACGAAAATTTGCATTTTGTGGTCACAGCGACGAGCCGGGAAATGCGGCCCGGTGAAGTTCATGGTAAAGATTATTACTTTGTGAGCAAAGAGGAGTTTCTTACAATGGTTGAGAGAAATGAGCTTTTGGAATATGCATTGGTGTATGGAGACTATAAGGGTATACCAAAACAGCAGATAAGGGATTATATGGGAAAAGGGTATGACATAGTTTTGAGAGTTGACATTCAGGGTGCTCAAACTTTGAGGAGGATTCTTGGGAATTCGGCTGTTTTTATCTTTTTGATGGCAGAGAGTGAAGCCAAGCTTGTGGAGAGGTTGATTGATAGGAAAACTGAGACTAAGGAGTCTCTTCTTGTTAGAATTGCCACTGCCAGGGAGGAGGTGAAGCATGTTAACAATTTTGACTATGTTGTGGTCAATGCAGAGGGGAGGTTAGACAATGCGGTTAAGTTGGTCGAGTCCATTATCGACGCAGAGAAAGCTAAGGTCCGGCAGAGGCATTCTGTGATATAGCTTTGGCGGTAATTGAGGTATTGGGTTGAATTTTATTTTTATTTTTTGGGAATTGTACTCGCAATTGTTACAATTTTGATTGAAATAGTCTTGTTCAACAATTTCAGTTCTGTTGGTTGTAGGATGTTGTTTTCTTGTAACAATTTGAATGTGAAGTTTATTACCTAGGAGAATCAACTTCTTTAAGAAGTTGCAGTTCACAATGTGATACATCTCGTTTTGGAGTGAGCAAGATAAATAATATTTTCTTCATCGAGTCCTTTTGAACACCACATGTTAAACAGATCTTTTTTCTAGAAATTGGAAACGCATTATTAACTTTATTGAAGTTATATCCTTATTGCTTTATTGTAAAAATGAGGACTATTTACTATAGTTCATGGATACAGCGGTAGATATGGTTGGACTTGATGCATTAATTAATGGAAAGTATGTCAAGTACGAGAAAATTAGGTTTATTGGAGTTGCTTATGGGATGAACTTTTAGTAAGCTGAGTTTGTAATACGATAAGCATAAAAAAGTGATTGTCTAGATAAAGTTAGACTTGAGCTACGACATTTTTTTTGTGTGGCTATACAACTCTCTAATAACCAATGTGTTCATTTCTTACCCAAAATGTTTCACTGCCTGCTGCCTCTGCTGGCTCAAATTACATTTGCAACAGTTGACTTGTCAGTTGACTTGTCTCTTAGCCAATCTTTACAGAAATCATGTCCTTGTTTAGTAGCTGAAAATTTATACAGGTGAATACTAGAGAAGGCAATTTATGTTAGCTTTGCTTATGCCCTAAATGAAATCTGGTTTTGATCTCCTTGCAATCAGGTATCACATATGTAATAAAGGCAAACCATATCCGATCAACCTACCTATGCCCCATCTTTTGCTTAATTGGTTCTCTAGCTAAGGGGCTATTTGGTTTTGTTTGTCATTTGGAGGATGCAAAAAGTTACTGCACGATTTTGTGAAGTCTGGATCTTGTGTGTTGTAGTCAGGTTTGTTAATGGCTATGGTTCGAGACTGTCACTGCCTGATCACAAACATCAAACTGATGAGCAGTTGATTTTCCTAGGAATTAGATCCTGCATCATACTTTACATTTATGTTTTGCAATGTGTAAATGGTTATGGTTCATGATGATGTTTAAGTGGTTAAGTTCATCATTCAATCAACCCCTTTGTCATCTTTTTGTTTGTCTTAAATGTTTATTGATCGAGAACTGACATGTGCTGAATCGCTGGCATTGACTTCCACTTCCTCTAATATTTCTTTATGCTTGTCAGTCCAACTGTTATCTTAACTCTACCATTCCAAGACACCTTCAATCAAAAACTCTTGAGTAGAAATACTCTGACAATACAAAAGCCATTCTATAGCTTAATAATCTTCCATGCTCAATTGAGTTGTTTTTACTCTGAGCAGGAATTTCATTAAGAGAGGGACCTGAAAATCCTAGTAATCATAGCATGTAATAAGAGATTCTAGGAGTTTGGCGATTTGCTCTATCGAACTTGTTTGGAAAATGCTGGGGAACGTTGTCAAATCATTTGATACATTAAATGGTATATATGCTGCTATTTGTTTGCTTATTTGTGTTGACAACTATTGCTACTATTATATCTCTTCTGGATGATAACGATAGACATGGAAATGGTAATTCAGTTGCTTTTGTAGCTCGTCTCTTGTCTGAGTTTTCTGGTGGAGGGCATGGAAGCATAATCAAGTGTTGCCTGCTTCAAAATTTTCTGCAAGTCCTACAGTCAAGAGATTTAGTGGAACTCCAGGGACGAATTTTTCTTGGTGTATTCTGAATTCATGCTACAAAAGCTTTGAGATTAAATTCTTTATTTTTTAATGACAGATATTTATTGAATTATATGTTAATACATTGGGGGTTTAGTGGGTTTAGTTGATTAGAATTTGAAAAGAGAGATTTGTTTCTATGAAATGGGAAATGCGCGAATTGGATTGGTAGTTCTTTAGACAGTTGCTATATCCTTGGTGCTATTATTAGGAGGCTTGTACGCAAACTGTTGTCCAGTATATACAGGAACACCATTGCCATTGCTAAGCTGTGGAATTTGATCAGGTCGTGATCTTGCTTAGGAGGTATTTGATCAACTTGTCTAAAATATGTTCATCTCCGCGTGCAAAGCCAAATTATCATACTCTACCCACCTGCCTTCCTGCACCTAGTACAATCGTTAAACCCACCCAAAACAATGGACTCATTCAACATCCAAAAGCATATTAAACCCACCTAAAATTGTAGGCTCCTTCAATGCCCTACTTTAAAATGTTGCTTCAAATACTCTTTTCATTCTTATTTCTCTGAAGCGATAGTCTAAATTACAAAGATGGGGTTTCTCACACACATACACTACCAATGTGCTAAGGAGGTTCGAACTGGTCTGCAAGTCAATGCTATTTTCCATTGCGCTAGACCCTATTGGCATTTCTCTGAAATTTTATAGCAAACGTAATGTGTACAGATGTTTTAGGCCTTGCAGGCAATTTGAGTGTGGGTTTATATGTTTAAAGACCTAGTATAACAGAATGTTATGAAAAAAGTTTGCGCGTATATTGATCTGTATTAAAGGAATCAAGTTGGACCCAATAAGCACAGGGAATTTCCTAATCAGACAAGTTAAGTTAGAGCCAAAGCCAATACAGAGCTCAAATGCAACTTGCAAGCTAATTGCCTTGAAGCTACTGTCTTTAGTTGCATCTCAATACACTCTTTGATAGAGATTGGATGGAAAAATCGAAAAAATAAATAAATAAAAAACTCATAATAATAATCGTGCACTCAAAAGAAATTGGAGAAGGGGAGGGACCCACTTGAGCCTTTAACTTGACACAAATGGACTCCTACTTACATTATCCGTTTCAGCAAGCTACAACCAACTAATTTGCCAAAACTGCACATTAAAGGAATTTTTTTAATAAGCCACACAAATAATAAAAAGAAGAACAAGTCAGAACTGTTTTTTTTTATTTTTTTTAAAAAAAGTCTAGAGAAAGAATATGCTTTATGTAATACTATATATATACAGGAATTATGCTGGCTTAAGCATGGATATGATTGAAAATGGATTTTAAAACTGACAGGACTCAAATTTTGGTTCATTAATGTTATAATTGACAGTGGACAAGTGGTTTAATTTGATAACATTATGTCCTTTAATTCAAATCAATCCATATCTTTGATATTGCAGATGATTAGTTGGCATAATGTAATTCCATTCGGATGTTGATCTAATAAGAGAAAGACTAGGAGGAAATTATGGATTAAGAACTACTTGTATATATAAAAGACAGAAGTCAATGTCTCTTAGGAATGACCAAAACACAATATCTCTCCGGACAAGATAAAAAAGAAAAAGAAAAATAGAAGTCAATATCTCGTCTCCAAGCAAATGTAGGTTAGGCCAATTGGTTAAGACGGTGTGCCCTTCTTATTACACCTAAGTTCGAACCTCCTCCCATAGATTAAAGTAGTTTCGAATATAGCCCTTGTCCAAAAAAAACAAAAAAACAAAATCTCGTCTCCGAGCTACAACACATGGTAAAGTGGTAAAGTGGTAAAGTTGAGAGAAGAAAAACCAACCAATTTCTTCAGCAAGCACACACCCTTTCTTTCTTATTGGCTTTCCTCAGGAAAAAAGTGAAAAACTGAAAAGTAACATAAAAGACACTTTTGGTTATAGCAGAAAAAAAAAGGTAGGATTTTTTGCCTTTAGTTGATTTATCAAGAAACTAATGAATGGGCTGTGGAGGCAAGCAACATGCATTAAATCAAGACAGGAGGAGGAGGAGCAAATCAAATTCCAACAAAAAATAACGAACTTGAGAGGAAAATGAGGGGAACGAAAGCAATATGACGTTTACTCTTTCCTCTTCTTTTCCACAGCTAACGTGCTCCCCAAGCTCATTTTCCTCCTAGTTTATAAGACCACCAACCCCACATTCTGTCAAAGACAACCACACAACTTCAAAAGCTGAGCCAATTGATTGAGACACAGTCATATTTCGTCTTCATCTACTTCCGCAAACAGTCATATTTGATTGAGAGAGAGAGAGAGAGAGAGAGAGAGGAGAGAGAGAGAGAGAGAGAGAGAGAGAGACATCTAGTTTCATTTCCAAGCTGCTGCTCTGAATCCAGCAACATGGTTCAGCCTAATAACTCAGCAGAAGGTGAAGGAAGCATTCATTTGCAGATTGATGGGCTCCACAGGCTCAATGAAGCCAGAAGTGCAGACAACACAATCTTTGAACCTCAGAGCAGTATTGAGAAAAGAGACAGTAGCTCTGCAACTTCTGTGGGTCCAACAACACCAGCACCAGAAAAGAAGCTAACCCTTTTCGCTCTCCGGCTAGCTGTGCTCGAAAAAGCAGCAACCGGCCTTGGAACTCTGGGTTTCATCTGGGCAACAGTTGTCCTTCTAGGCGGTTTTGCCATCACCTTAGACCAAACAGACTTCTGGTTCATCACAATCATTTGTTGATTGAGGGGACTAGGATATTCAGCAGAAGCCATGAACTTGAATGGCAACACCAAGCCACTTGGTCTATTGCTGATGCCGGGATCAACAGTTTTCGTGCATTGAAAATCAGCTCAAGCTTCATAATTGAGAACATAAAAGCAATTTTCAAGCCTGTTCTTGCAGTTAGGAAGCAAAGTCAACGCAGCAGAGACTTTGCAAGGACTATTGATTCAATCACTACCAGAAATTCTGATCTTCAAGGGAAGATAGTTCGGACTTGGACGAGCTCAGAAGTCCCTCTGCTACCATATGCTCAATGGATTTTTCGCGCGAGGCATATCAGTAAGATGCTCTATTGGCTCCAGCTTCTCTCAGCATCAGCTTGTGTTGCTCTCTCATTAATGAAGCTCATCAAGCGCAACTATGGTGAGATAGAAAAAGGAGACACTGACAAGAGAAATAGGGAGTCTGCTCTGAACATTTTCTATTCATTGGCCTTGGCAGAAGCTCTGTTGTTCTGATGGAGAAAGCTTATAGTGAGTTTATGATAAGCTATTGTAATCTACTGGATGAGGTAAGCAAGGAGTGTGATTTGGGGCCTTCAGGTTTAGTTTCAATTAAAAGGTTCTTCTATGATGCCTATTCAAGATGTGTCAATGGAAGCATTTTTGATGGCTTGAAGATGGATATGGTTACTTTCGCCATGGAATTATTGGCTTCAAATTCCTCAGATGAGCAGCTTATAGGAGCTAAAATTCTTCGCCAATTTGCAATGAAGCAGCAGTATTCAGATGATACCTTACAGAAGATTGGTATAAATATATCAGTGATAGAAAGATTGGTTGAGATACTGAATTGGACAGATCAAGAAGAAGAGGAAATCCGACGATCAGCTGCAGAAATATTGTCGAAATTGGCTGGCAAAAAGCAGAACTCCATCCGGATAGCTGGAGTTCCTGGTGCAATGGAATCCATTTCATCTCTGCTCCAAACCTGCAGAAGCTCAAGTGGTGCATCTGATGAAATCAGTGAAAAGAGAATCATTTCTGACTATGCACACTATGGATTCTTGACATTCAATCATTTAGGATTGCTTATTCTGAAGAAACTTGCCCGTGACCACGACAACTGTGGAAAGATTGGAAGCACAAGGGGCCTCCTACCAAAAATCATCGATTTTACACATGCTGAAGAGAGGTTTCTGAAGGAAGAACATGGTACACCAGATGATCAGATAATGACACTGAAACGCTCCCTGCAATTGGTGAAGAGGCTTGCAAGCACAACAGGCAATACAGGAAAGAATCTAAGGAGAAATCTTTCGGAGATAGTTTTCACAATCAGCAATATCAGAGATATTCTGAGATATGGGGAGAAACAGCCAATGCTACAACAATTGGGCATTGAAATCTTAACCGGTCTAGCACTGGAAGAGGATGCAACTGAGAGAGTAGGTGGAACAGGTGGAGTTCTTAAGGAGTTGTTCAACATTTTCCTTAACAAGGGAATGCTAGAGAATGACAAACAAGTAATAACTAAAGCTGGAGAAGCTCTAGCCATGCTGGCATTAGAGAGCAAGAATAACTGTCAGCGTATCTTAAAACTGGGGGTACTGGAAAGCCTTGTCCAAGCTCTAGAGGTTCGATTGGTTCGTGTGAATGCTGCTAGAATCCTAAGGAATTTGTGCACTTACAGTGGCTCAAACTGTTTCCACCAGCTAAAAGGGATAACGAATGCAACGCCTATAGTAAGTGCTTTCTTGCCACAATACCTACCTGCATTTTTATTCCTCACCAACTTATGTTATGTAGGAGTAATGTTTTCTTGTCAGACACTCTGGTATATTACATTGTCAAGTCAACAATGTGAGACGATATAAATTGTGGGGCAAAGAGAAGATTTCCCATCATGTAGATTAGGAAGAGGCACTATAGATTGATCATTTCTTATTCATTTGGCTCCCGTGCAGGTGCTCAAGGCAATTATGTCAGAAGAACACAAACTCCAGGAAGTAATGGTTGGACTAGCTGCACATGTTTTAGCATTCTTGTCTCCAGAAGAATCAAGCCTCATGTTTAACAAAGCTGAAATTACTGAAGCAGAGGTAGCTAATGAGTTAGTCCAGATTCTGAAGAAGTACAGGCATCCACCAATTAAAGTTCCAAGAATAAGGAGGTTTGCCATAGAGCTGGCAATTTGGATGATGGAAGACAAACCAACAAATGTTCAAATTTTCAAGGATTTCGGGATGGAGAAGGAGCTGGAGTTTGTGCTAGAGACCACTGCAGAGCTTGAAAGCTTCAACATTTTCTCTGGTACTGTAGGAATGAGCAGGCACAGCACAACAATCCACTCACTGGTAGAGACTGCATTGAGGCTGCTAGCTGATGGGTAAAAACCAGGCAATATGGTTGATTTAACCCAAGTCATTACTGCAACAATTCATTTCATAGGTGCAGATTAAAAAATCCTGTAAATGTGTTTGCCTTCAAGTTAATCAGTCCACACAAAATTAAATTCTCTTATAATTTTTTTTTTTTGGAGAAAGGTTCTTCTACTTTTAAGTTAATATTACAAATGTGATTATATTATACGAACAATTGACATTAAATTTCTAGGCCCCCTGTCACAATATTATAGCTTTTTTTTTCTCCTTGCAAATTGTTAGCTCAAGACTGTCATTTACTTCTTGGATGAATTTCAAAGAAAGTCTAAGAGCATCTTTAATGAGACTTTTTCACAATCGAAATGCAAGTTGGAAAATTAAAACTGTAAGTCGAAACAAAAACATTGGGTAAGAGAAATTTGGACATTTCCAGGAGCATTTGAACTGAATGTCTGACAGAAAGAATCCAGGGAGAGGAATTTGGAATCTAATTCATCTCCTTGACCACCAAATAAACATAGGAATGTGATAGGACGATATTGAAAGATCATTTCCGACATTAATAACACGAACAGAAAATATATTCATCTGTGTTGCGAACACTGAACGTAGAGAATAGAGAATCTGCAACTGAAAAACCATCTTTCTTTTTGTTACAACTAAAAATACAACTTCACAGCACTGGTTCTATTCTTTTCCTTTTTTGTTTGCTTTTTTGCTTTTCCAGTCGAGCATTTTACAAAACATGAACCCTGACACTTTAGTTACAAGCCAATACATCATATTGTCTAAAGAAAGAAGCAAAAAATAGAGGGAAAGAAGAGTCATCTTATCGACTGTGGTTGTTTCTAAAGAAGTTAAAATCCCAACGACGAATCAAACCGTCCATGACATTGCTTGCAGGGTTTTTTACAACCGTTACTGTGGCAGTTGTGTTAGCTGACATGTCAGAATCTGAGGTGCTTTGGATGCTTGCTGGTGGTGTATCACTTTGGGTAGATGGCCCGGAGCTTCCCAAATCCATTATGGATGGAGGAGTTTGTGATGCAGGTTCTGTAGATGGAACTTTCGTGCGAGTTTGATCCTCAGGTCTTGAATCATGGGCTTCAACTACTGAAGTGCAAGTAGATTCTGTTTTTGAAGACCCATGGTGCCCAACCGAAGTGGAAGTGGATTCTGTCTCCAACAGCTCTCGCTGCTCTGCAGGAGAGGCATCATCCAGCCGGTCATCCTTTTGGGATAACTTTGAACCAGGGGTATCCCCTGGTGGTTGCTCTTCTGCTTGTGGGTGTCTCATTTCTAAGTCTTTTAGTGACAAGATCACTGCTTCCATGAACATCTGAAAATTTGGACGAGTTAAACGTTAATGCAACAAATTCATCAGCCATTCAAACAAGTCCTGGATCTAGAATTCATCCCAATTATATGACTCACCCTTTCTTCCTCATCCACATCACTCGGAAAACCTGCCAGGTCGTCAAGTTGGTATTCTACATATTGATCATCGTCCATTGTGGTTGGAACATGGGGTTCACAAGGATGGCCGTTTGAGAATTCAAAGCTAATCATATCAGAAGATGATGGACAAAGATCATTATTGGCTTTTCCATCCTGTACCACCATGCATTGTCAAGACATATAATTCTGTTAGCTTTCTAGTAAATAGATAGAACCAGACAAGAAGACTTAGAACCATTCAGGCACCATTACACCAAAAAATTTGTGACCCACCGGGCTCATCATGTACCAATCGGTCACAACTCACAAGTTTCACCTATGGTGCCACATAGTTTTTTTTTTAAATTATTAATTTGAGAAAATATTTCAGAAAACTGATCAAGCGATCAGGCATACACCATTTACCACTTCATGTTAATTACAACGAAGAAAATTTGGGACTTTGGAAGCAATTTAACAAGAGAAAAGGCAAGATACCTTGGATTCAGATTGGTCATCTTTAGATGAAATACCAGAAGGAACCTGAGACGAAATCAAATACCAAAAGAAAAAGAAAATTATTTAATATACATGGAGAACCCAAACTGCCAATTATTATCCTTTTAAATTTATGTGTGTGTGCGTGTGCGTGTGTCTGACAACAGGAGAGGGGAGGGGGCAATCATTGTATCATACACTAAACATCCTTTAAAAGATTTTACGTTATTCCCACTCTTTAAAAGTGGTAAATGTCTGCAACCTCCTTTTATATTGTGTACCATTTTGACATTTGAGCAACTAAAATAAAATGCAACCAATAACTAACCTCTGTCCGACTCATGGGTCTTCTCGAACGGAGCTGTCTAATGGCATCCTGTTGGCTGCTGCTCGTTGCTGGTTCTGCAGGTAACAACAATCAATAGGAGATCGAGTAAGAAAGAGGTTGCCCAATAAAGATCTGTCACAAATCAGCATTTGAGAAGTTAAAGAGACAATAAGGTACTTTAGTCATGCCTTTAGAAGCAGTTGAACGTCCATTATCATAATTAACTTCATGCACACTTCTCCAACTACCCTGCAGGTAAAGCAGTCAACATTCGAGAAGAGCTGTGAATGTAAAATCTAGCAATATACAATAGGAACTTACAGCCAGATGAATTGCAGTTATTTTACCTTACCAAAGTTATCGTGCAGAGTGTCAAAAAAAGTTCCCCCAACCTCATCCTCTGGGGGTTGCAAAACATTGTGGAAAAAGATATTTATCGAATCAAAGTAGAATTGAGGTCGTGGAGAATTGTGATCTCCCTCAAATTTGATGATATTTTTGTCTCCCTGCAAAAGTTTACATTATATGACAAGCCAACATAACATTAGACACCTAGAGTTCCAGACAACAGACAGAAAAACTGAGAGAGACGCAACAGCCGTCATTCATATAAAGATATAAAGATATTCAGAAGCGAATGATGAAAATCAGAGGATAGTAGAAGCAGGAGGCATCTCGTTTTGATCAATTGGGAAGGGGGGAATTGAACTTGGAACTTCTTCCAACATTGGGAAAAGAAATACCACTAGACCATGCATATTGAATTGAAGAAGCAATTCATAAAATATATGCAGGAAATCATTAACCAACAAGCTCAATTTCAAAAGTGTGCAAAGAGTTTCCCCAGTATGTACTTACTAAACTCCTTAGACACCACCTAGAATTGAAAGTTTTTATTTGTTTCAATTCCATGCAAACATTGTATGAGAAGCAGCATTTGGCCATTAGATGCATGCCAGCATGTATATCATGTCAAAATTATTGTAACAGCGTCATGGATATTTACCATATAAGCCTCAAATATACGATCTGAATGATGGGGTTGTATAAAATCATCATCAATGGCATGGCCAAACAAAGATGGAACAAAGCAAGAGTTTGCCACCTACAAAATGAAAAAAAAGAGAGATTATTGATCATTTTTCCAACATCAATTTCGTGCATCTGAAATTACTATAATAACCAGTGCAAAAATAGACACAGGGATGTCGCCAGAAACTTTCGCTGTATAAGATAAACTCCAATTGTGTGAAAAATCATAATGACGAGAAACAAAGAACATAAATTTGTGTTTTCTATTCCAATGTGTTTACCTTAATGGTGTTCAGATTCGTTATGTCAAATTTAGCCTTTTTCTGGATAGCTCTTCGCATGTATTGGATTGCAAACTTCACCTACAATAAACAAAAAAATAAGTCACGACTGGGGTTCCTTGCAGTCAATGGATGATAGCCTATAACAAAAAACTCAAAAGAAAAGGTAGTCTCCAAAACTGATAAAAAAAAGAACTTCGTTGCTTAATATGGGCAAAAACTGATAACGAACATCAGAAAAGGCTCTAATTTGTAGCAATTTATTCCCCAGTAAGCACCAAAAACACAGCTGCAATATCCCAAATAATCAGACATATTAGGACCCTACTTACAGTGAACTTTGGTAAACGGATTTTGTAGGTGTCCACCAGTTCCATCATCAAATCAACCAAATCAGAGAACGGACTGTCAAGAACCATTCCTGCTATTGAAGGATCCTCAGCTCCATACAAAAGACTGCCAAATATGTATATTGTTAATGGCAGATAAACATGGCCAAACAACCACAGGAGGCTAAGTAAATCAGCAAAGGAAAAGTTAGAGCGCTGCACAATAACAATATGGAATTCACATCTGCCATGGCCACGGATTTCTAAAGCGAACCAGATAGCAACTATATGCACACACCAAACAAAAGCATATGTCTGCTCGACAGATATATGGTCCAAAAGCTATGAACTAAATAAGCAGCTGATCACGTAAATAAATACATTAAGTACAGAATTGTTAACAAAGCACAAGAATTGAACATGGTAATGAGCATATCTTAACTTCTTGATCCTCAAATAATAACTTACTCTCTACAGATCCAATTATTTGTGCCGACCATACATCTACTTTCTTATATTGTTCATATGTTAATACATTTTATCCACCATCTTACATCTGCCTGCTTCCTTAGGTTTTGAGACAATGGTTGCATGTGGGCAAATACATAACAGCGAAACTTCTCAGAAACTCTGGGGAAGACACCAAACATATCATAAGATTTTAGATTTGCTAACTTATTGGGCCATACAGGAACTGAACACTTGAACCAAAAGCTGCAAAACCTATCTTGAATGGCTAGTTCTGAGTCCTATATTTGGTTTGCAACCAAGTGCAATAACAAAACTATGGCTGGTCTACCAAATTTTGTCTTAGAAAAGTAAATAAAAATTGGAGTTTAGTAAAGTAAACATCAGAGACTATGGGACTGCTAGAATAACATGAACCAATGACTCACGGATAACATAACAATTCCAAGTTACACTAAAAATAGAAAACTGATCTTTATTTGTTTTTTTAACCTTCAATGCAAGTAATGGAAAGATCTCCCCCGTCTGCATTCAAAATATGCAAACTTAACATAGAGTTATAAGTGAATGAGCAAAACCTAGTAACAGCACCCATTGAACGGCCCCACAAGCCAATCAAAGAGACATTTCCATCTGCTCGCAAATAATCAACCACAGTCCTCAGGTCGTCCTTCTGAAAAACAGTTAAGAATGTCAGATGTCAATTCTCATGATTGATGCACAATAGTAACTACATGCATATAGGTGATCCAGTGCATCAGGAGCTGAAGGGAAAATGTCATGATTTTGTTGATAAAGAAGTTCAGGCATATCTTCATGTAGGTGGTTTTGATAAATCGAGAAAAACTTAGGAAATGCCTTCAATGGATGTATTGACTTGAATTTGGATAATCACCGGACCAATTATTAAAGATACAAATTAACATGATGGTACACGGAGTGTTTAAGTAAACAAGCTGGAGATAATGTGGATTGAACATAATACCACATTTGTAGTCTAGTCTTTATATAATGAATTTGTCTTCAATAGATACAGAGCACTTACTTCATTCCATCCTAACGTGACGTGCTCTCCTCCTGAGAGTCCGGATCCTGAGAAATCAAGTGTGAAAACTGTAATATTTGAAGGCAGCAAAATAATAGCTGCTTCACTGGCGTCAGCCCTGCACCCACTGTCAACAAAATATGCTGCAGTCAGTCAAGTTAAAATCTATGGAGGAAAAAAAGGCATAAAACATCATTTAGATGAGCACAGGCACATAACTATCATATACATAAGTGATAACTAGCTATGGAGTATGAAGTGGCCATGGAAGTGTAAATTTTGGTTGATCACCTACTGGTCTGCAATAATATAGGTTGGAAAAGGATATGTGCAGCAAATATCTACCATGTAACTCTGACAGTATTTTTACAAATTTAACTGGCAGTACAAATGATCGAAGAATTAAGATTTAATTGCACATTCACACATGGGACATGTGCAACAAATATCAATAGGGCGATTTCCAGGGGACCTTCCAATGCTATAGCCTATCTATCTAAAGACAACTAGCATTTCTCTTTTTGTATGTAAATACAATTATACAACCTTAAGAAAATGCCACAATTTTTTATTTTATTCTTCTACAGTAAATCATTCCAGGAATAAGATGGGGAGTGGACGTATTCTTTCAGACACTAATATAATATGACATTTTGATACATTGAAAATTGCAAGACTGCCACAGTGTCACTAAGAATAGACATTATTCCCTTTTTTTTTTTTTTTTTTTTTTAAACCAAAGGAAACAATGGCCTTCAGTAATTATTGAAATTATGATGCCCACTACTTCATTATTGAGATACCATTAACAATCAAGGAACCCCACCTTCTTGGAGAAGACTTAAGGCCATTTTGATTTAGATTTTTTTTATTTTAGATGAATTAAGGCCATTTAAAACTTGATTCATTAATAGTCACCTACATGAAATCCATTTCTGTAAATCACAAGGAAGACAATCTTATAGTTGACTACTCAATTTTAATTTAAAATCTCATTCTTCCAAGTTCTGAAATGTGAGAAAGACTGTAAACTCTGTATGAAATCCCCTTGCAACAAACATCATCAAGCATAATTTTTCAGATATACTCACCTGTTTCCGTGACAGTATATTACACAAGGCAAAGGCTTTTCTTCAGGACTAACAATGGGCATGTAATGACTGCACTTGAGGACATCACCCCGGCTGTTTTTTACCTGCAGGATTTTCAAAAGGATGACAACCACATGGAATCAAGTTATAAGCAGACATAAATTGAACATCACTCAGAAGATAATGTGCAAGATAAAAGTTTTCGAGACAAGCAAACACCAGAGTTGCATTGACTTAATTAAAGTAGGGTTTTAAATCACTTTCTCATTAATAGAAAGTTAAGACAAGCGTCTCTTACATGTTGCATTCCAAAGGAGAAAAAGAACAAGAACAAAATAATTAAAGAAATTAAAAGGAACTACTTATACAAAAGATCATTGCTGTCTCAACAGCATTTCCCCATTTTTCAATGCTTCATGAACACTACATGGGATGCGCTTCTCGCAACGTAAAATAGGTGATAAGTTAGCTAGGGTTGACCAAAATTTGTCAGACCTGTATTTGACACACAGGCAGTTCTGTACCCCATGGTTGGGCCGGACAAAAAAATCTGCTTTGGCCATAAGTAGCAAAAGTTTAGCACTGCACTGCACCTTCCACCCAACCACACCTTGAACAACACTTTCTTCAATTTTACTCAATAAAAAAGTTATAAAAATAAAAATAAAATAAAATAAACTATGCATATGTTCTGAATTAAGATTTCCAGAGTTGAACCCCACAATTGTACCAGCTTTTTCTGCACTATAGTGCATTTCCAGGAATGGGAAGAAAAGCTTATATATTCAGAAGGTAAAATAAAATACTAATCTACCTTTCCCAGACATACAAAATATGGAAGCTTACCTCCACATCCTTTCTTTGGTACCATTTCCCTTTCAGTATGAACTCTTCATCCAATAAATCATTTTTTGGGTCGTATTCAGCCCTGAAACCAAACATGGATAAACTCATAATCTCTTCAAATAATTAACAATTACTTAAGTTTATATCTCTAAAGGGAAAATAAATCATTTAAATTTCAACACTTTCGTATGGTATCAAGTTCGACAAATTAATTGCCCATAATTTAAAATTTAGACCAGAATAAACTGGGAAAGAGAAAAACTGAAATTAAAATGTCTTGCTTTCCCACATATGAGGAAGAAAAAGAAGGTTCAACTCCAGCTCTACCACCGAAAAAGCAATATTTTGCTCTGCTTAGTTTGAGAAGATACTAATCAAATCAACTATCAATCATATGCTTCATACTCTAATTCTTTATACTCAACAAAATTAAGGAAAAAATTGGAAAAAAGCTGAATTCTACTTGAACGAATGGTTTAATTGGGCTTAGTTAAATAAAGGGTTTCATTTTCCTACAGACCCACATGGGAAAGTAACTAAGATTCAAAATTTCAGCTCCCAATTCATCTTTCTCACAGCATAAACAAAAACCCATCAAGAATTCAATCTCAAAAGCAAGAACAGAATCTCACACATAAAGGAAGAGCTAGAAAGTCAGAGAGGTTAAAGGGTATTGTTACCTGGGAGGCCGAATAATAAAGTTGACAAGCTGCTCCATAGATTCAAATTGATCTTCCTCTGAGCTGTAAGCTGTTCTTCAACAAATTTAACTTCTTTCAGCAGATACTCATACAATAAATAATATAAAATGATTAAATTACACAAAAGTAATACCAGAAAAAGAACTTGGTGGGTGATCACAAATTGCTCAGACCAATAAGAAACAAGAAGGAAGAAAAAGAAGAAGAAAGACCGGCCTATGCTGTTGGTGGTGGTAATATAAGGCTGGTGGTGCCTAGAATTTGTGTGTTGTTTCCTTGCAAACAAGAACAAAAGCTTGAGTATTTTATTATTTGCTTGCTTCTTCCGAGTCCCAACGCATGTCTCTCTCTTGCCTCTCTGGCTCTTCTTCCTTTTTTTCGGCCAACCTCTCTGGCTCTTCGCACGTGTTACGTGTATGCCTCCATTTCAGAGCTAGACCGGGCTCAGGTCGGCTTTACGGATCTGTATTCGGGCTGGGGTGCCAGTATGTATAAAATGCATCAAAACTATACATGAATAGAAACCAATGGTACTTGGTTTTATGTTGAGTTTTAATTTTAAGAATAAAATAATGAAAGTTGTTATTGACATTTAAAAATAGTTATCTCATTTTCTTCTAGGGTAAGTGGTGATGGAAAGACATACATAAGGGTAATTTTTAATTATTAATAACACTTCTTAAAATAGTTCGTATTGAATTTACGCATTACGCTGATTATATTTGTTAAATAATTCTTAAACTATAGTTTTACGCTGATTGTATAGATAAAAGCCACACTTAAATAATGTGATTTTCTTGTACTAGAAATGTAATTAGAAATGTGTTGTTAATAAACACAATGTACATGAACTATTACTCTAATTTTGGATCTCATCCCATTTCATATCTTATTTAACACAAAACATGTCATCTTATCTTATAGGATAATATTTGAACAAATTGGGAATGTTTATGTGCTAGGGTGGTATGGCTTGGACCTCTAATTTCTATCCCAATGAAAGGAAATAGACAAATACAAACCTAGCGTATTGGAGAACATATTTGTGTATTTGTGAATGGCATATAGAAAAAGAGCCACACATACACACAAAACAAAAAACAAAACAAAAAAAATCCTAGTTAGTGGGCTTCAAGGGCAGCCTCTCATTTGCATCAAAGGTTGAATGGATAAAGTAAAACAGGTTATGATAATGACCATGGACCTTTCATGGAAACTCATGATGCGAAGCAGCACCCACCTTACCAAATGGTGTTCCACTAGTATTATACCTGCAGTTGTGTCAACAACACAATAAGGATCATTCATTTCATTTGCCTTAAGCAATGGGCAACCAACCACACTAATTCCTAAAATGACATTTGTTCAAATTCACAAGAAATCTAATGACTTCATTCCTTCACCTCTCCCAAAAGAGGAAGCCTATACAGCAAATGAAGGCATGCCAATTTCATTAGGGATACAAATATTCTCATGTCCATGTTCAGACAACAAGAAAGATTTGTGCTTTGTATTGGGTTCTCCCATTTTAAATAAATAAATAAATTGGAACACACAAATAAGTGTAGAGTGAATAAGACACTCATTAGCTGAGCTTGACATATTGATTATTCTGGAAAATAAAAAAATTTGAAAATTAAATTCTTATAATAAAGGAAGATTAAGATATGGGTATTGTCAGTAATCATGCTGCATTGAAATGATGTCATGTACATAAACAATAAATCTTCTTGGTAGCCCGTCAATTGACCTAGTTTGTTGGATTCTCGAACCTTGGGTTTGTCAAAGCCTTAATTGGACTATGCAGATGAAGCTTTTGTATATAAAATGTGACGCCAGATAAGTTGTTGAGAGGCTGAGGTTAGGTTAAGTCACTTGCTTCTTTTCAAAGACCTCCTGCCATTGGGTCATGGAGACTAACCAAATAATGTATCAGCCACCAAGAAGAGGATACAATTTAAGGCAAGAAGCCAACAAAGACAAGGGTCCAATTTTGCATCCTTTAATTATTATGAGCTTAAGTTAACCAACCATAGAGGTGGATAACAACAGCAGCTGGGTGTACCCTTTGTATTCATGAGACTTGTAGTTTTTCCTTATTTTTTTTAACAAGGTGATCATACTGCATTGTGTGGCCCATTTGGAACTAGATTTGCCATTAAACATTTTGGTATACTAATTCACACATAATATGGGAGAATTTGGGCCTAGACCTAGACTATAGTGATTTTCCAAAATGTTTTTCTTATAATGAGGAATTTTGATTTTATCATGTGTATTATTTTTTTAATATAAGTTGTGGTAGCGATTTTCGTCCCAAAAGAATATTCATCTAAAGATTCATTCTTCCTCTTCGCTTCTCTTTCTCCCTACAAAACAATATGGAGTGAAAAAACCACACACCTGAGGGTGTTGGCTAAAGGCCCTCTGATGCCTAAATTAGGTCGAGTGTTTGTAGGAAAAACAATAGCTAACAAAGGGTACGGAGATTTCTCTAAGGTGAGAACCGGGTGGGCGGAGCCGTGTGTATGAGAGAGAGATAAAGAGTATGGCGGCTAGGGTTTGTGAGAGAGGATTTTTGTAGAGTTTCAGACAGAAGTTTAGATGTACCTTAACTGATGTAGCCATGTCTTTATAGGAGTCTCAGAGGCTATGATTTCTGAAGAATAATTCCACATATGGAAAGGAATTATTCTTCCCCAATTTGGAGAGATTGATTGAATTAGGGATTTGATTAAAATCCCCAATTAGGATAAGAATCAAATTCCCAAATTGATTGGTTTAATTATTTGACCTAAGATCCGTAGATATTTTGCTTCCACATAAATAATATTGGGAAATGAGAAATTCAAACATAGGATCTCGAATGCATTAGTAAATGCTCTTGCCACTTGAACTACAAGCCCCTTGCAATTTTAGCATGTTATTTAATTTGAACAATAACCTTGAACATTCTCACATCATAACTGTTGGAGGTAAAAACTAGACAGTAGTAATTAGACCAACTTAAAGATGAGGAGGAGGAGGATGATGAAGGTGAGGACCCTCGGTATGTGAGAGCATTCGGTAAGTACATAGACATGCATACAGAAGACAAATGTACGTGGTTCACCCGAATAATGGGCTACGTCCACGGAGAAGTATGTTCTCATTATGATAAAGACTGTATACATTGCACATAGGGTTAGACCCAAGGAGAGGAGGAAGAATGTCGAAGGCTGATGGTCGAAGGCGGAGGGCAGAAGGCTGAGGATCTGGCTGAGGGCAAATGATTCGTGGGCTTGTAAATGGGCTTAGGAGTAAGCCCATGAGGCCCTTATGAGCCATATGGTGCCCTAGTAGCCTGTCTAACTCTCTCTCTCTCTTGAAGGAGAGAGGTCTTCTTTTATAATTGAGGGAAAGTCCCCTCTTCTTGTGTTTTGTCGATGTGAGACTCCCTTCCCTTTGCTTGGATTGGCTTGGGAGTGCTTAGCCAGATATTGTACAAACAGGAGTCCCCCAAGTTCCCGATTAAGGAGGTATTTCTTGATTGGGGACTTGTAGTTATAAATGCACTGGCCAAGCAATGCTTCAGCTCCTTCTTCGCTTTCTCTTGTATGCAGCATCGGTGCAGAGTTGTTGAGTCAGTACCCGCTGATCACCGAAGGTAAAGGTACCGAGTGTTGAGTAGCAGTTATTGAAGGGCATGGAGCTCGAGTCGCATGACAACTACTGGAGGCATGCACTATCATAGATGCTGAAGGTATTGCTGCAATAATGGGTATCGTTCAGCAGTTGGCATAGGTGTTAGAAGCTTAGAAGATTCTTCATTGGTGCCGTTCGGCATGTGGCATAGGCATGGAATGAAAAGATATCTCTTGGGAGGTGCCGTTCGGCATGCCTTGACACAAAAGATGCCGTTCAGCAAGTGGCTTTGGCGCCGTAAGTGAAAAGCGTCTCCAGAGGTGCCATTCGACATGTGGCCTTGGCGCCACAGGGGAGAAGATTCATCATGAGGTGCTATTCAGCAGGTAGCTTTGGTGCCGTAAAAGAGAAATGTCTCCATGAGGTGCCGTTCAGCATGTGGTCTTGAGAAGAGGCGCCGTAAGAAAGAAAATTCTTCATGTGCCGTTCGGCAGGTAGTTTTGGCGCTATAAGAGAGGAATGTCTCCATGAAGTGCCGTTCGACATCACAAGAACTAGGAGCTGCCGTAAGCTTCGTAGCTGATGCCATAAGTTTGAGAGTTGATGCCGTAACTTAGGAGCTGGAATGATGAGATGTCTCCTCCATAGGGTGTCGTTCGGCAGGTAGCCTTGACGCCGAAATTAAGAGATATCTCATGGGAGATGCCGTTCGGCATGTGGCCTTGAGAAAATGCGCTTTTCCTTAATGGGGTGCCATTCGGCAGGTGGCCTTAAGAAGAGGTGCTGGAGAAGTGTCACCCGTGGGGTGCCGTTCGGCAATACAAAAGCTGGAAGATGCCGTTGGAGCTTTGGGAGCTGACGTATTAAGCTTTGGAACTGCTGTATGGAAGCTGGTGCTGGTGTAAGCTTGGAAGCACTATTGTAGACTTAGGTGCATGCCGTTAGCTTAGGAGAATGTTTTTGGCTTAGGAGTTGTTGCCGTAAGCTTGGGAAGCTTAGGAGGCTTACTGTCGTAAGCTTTGGGCCTAGCAAATGAGTAGCTGTAGTATTTAGAAAAGGCATAATTATTAAGTAATGGATACTCACATAATTTTGGAGTGCCTAATGATGATTGGGGGATGTCAAAGGCATCGAGCGCGCCGAATCATCTGAGAATACCGAAGGCATATGCCGAATCATTGGGGGGATGTGAAGACATCGCACGTGCCGAATGATGCAAGGGTGCCGAAGGTAGATGCTGAATCATTGGGGGGATGTGAAGACATCGTACGCGTCGAATGATGCAAAAGGGTGCCGAAGGCATATACTGAATCATTGGGGGGATGTGAAGACATCGTACGCGCCGAATGATCCAAGGGTGCTGAAGGCAGATGCCGAATCATTGGGGAGATGTGAAGACATCGCATGCGCCGAATGATGCAAGGGTACCGAAGGCAGATGCCGAATCATTAGGCGAATGTGAAGACATCGCACGCGCCGAATAATGCAAGGGTGCCGAAGGCATATGCCGAATCATTGGGGGGATGTGAAGACATCGTACGCGCCGAATGATGCAAGGTTGCCGAAGGTCGAAGGCTGAGGGCCGATTGTAGGAGTGCTGAGAGGCACTTTGTTGTAGGGTGCCGAGGGCACTCGAGAAGGAGAACGACATAGCCCTTCGTGTCGTTTCCCACAAACGGCGCCAAACTGTTAGAGGTAAAAACAAGACAGTAGTAATTAACCAACTTAAAGATGAGGAAGAGGAGGATTATGAAAGTGAGGACCCTCGGTATGTGAGAGCATTCAGTAAGTACATAGACATGCATAGAGAAGACAAATGTACGTGGTTCACCTGAATAATGGGCTACGTCCACAAAGAAGTATATTCTCATTATGATAAAAACTGTATACATTGCACATAGGGTTAGACCCAAGGAGAGGAGGAAGAATGCCGGAGGCTGATGGCCGAAGGCTGAGGGCCGAAGGCTGATGGTCGAAGGCGAAGGGTTGAAGGTTGAGGATCTGGCTGAGGGCAAATGATCCGTGGGCTTGTAAATGGGCTTAGGAGTAAGCCCATGAGGCCCTTATGAGCCATATGGTGCCTTAGTAGCCTGTCTAACTCTCTCTCTCTCTTGAATGAGAGAGGTCTCCTTTTATAATTGAAGGAAAGTCCCCTCTTCTTGTGTTTTGTCGATGTGAGACTCCATTTCCTTTGCTTGGATCAGCTTGGGAGTGCTTGGCCAGATATTGTACAAACAATAACAATGCTAGCTTTTATCAGATTTGCATTTCGGGGTGGGGGGTCAAAGTTAGGAGATCACACTTGTGGGAAATGTCACCCGTAATAATTTTTTCACGTGACAATTTATGATTGGCGCACATATAGTGCCATCCTCATTTCACACAAGTTTTTCTACAAAGTTAAACATACTTTATGGAAGAAAAGAAACACAATACAAAACAGAACAAAGTCCACAGAAAGGATTGTAATGAAAATGCCATGAATAAAGCCCAATATCCACAACCATTTGAGCTAAAACTTTAGTTAAATTGTCGATACCCGATTAGTGTAGTGGCAAGAAACTTTGTCTCCATACAGATAGTCCTGAATTCAAGGCTTGACATTGTAAAGTGCGTGTGAGTTTGCACCCCCTCCCCTCCGGTCCCCAACTATTGCCAAAAATAAACTTCAGTTAAACTATTAGGAGCCCCCATATTCTAAACTGTTCTTTACTCTTAAAATATGATGTACAAAAATTATAGATCATTTTGAGAGATGCAGGTGCTTAGTTAAGAGATTCTGCATACAAAGCTTAGCTGGAGAGCATGTGAAAATCTGAGCCAGGGAATAGTAAATGAGCTGTTCAAATGACATTTGAAATGTGCCTCTGGAATCTCTATACATTAAGACACCATATCTTGTGGTCCCAAAAGTACAATATAATGTCCTTTTCTCCACAAAGCAATCGTTGCACATAATTACATCTCGCTATTAATGTCTATATATATCAAACACGCATCTTACAACTCAATTATCGTTCCATGCAATGGAAAAATACAAAAATTAAATACGAGTTTAGCATCTATTTTCATCGAAGATTGTCAAGTTGTACCTTCTTCACACAATTTTATAATGTTTCTTTTGAAGCAAGACCCCAAGATCACTTTCTTCGAACAGAATCATGACCGAAGTGAGAGAAGAGCAGATTAGTACAGTGAGAGTAAAGGAATCCAAGTTTCAAAAAAGAAAAAAGAAAAAAAGAAGAGAAGAAATTCAAGCCATGACTTTCTTGTTCTATATTACCTTGACTAAGCATTAAAACCATAGTTTATTTCCTTACATGTATGCACTCATAAATTTCACATATATATATTCTCTTTCTTTGTACTAAGTTGGGGGAGAAAGAAGGAAAGACACAGAAATTTTATAAACCTTATATTACTGATCCAAGCTTCTCTTGGAGCTTCTTAAGGGACCAAAAACTATTTTCCTCCACACATCCACACCCCTATCTGCTAAGGAAAGGCCAACAAATCTTTTGCCCATCACCCACTATTTTATATAAAAACCCCACACCAAATTCCTCATCCACTCTCTCTCTCTCTCTCTCCCCTCTCACTCAGCTCTGAGCAGTTCCAGCAGAACCCAGTTTCAGCTTTGCTGCTTCCATCCATTTTGCAGCAGTGATCAGGTAAGTTTTTCTCTTTTGTGCCAACTTCGTCATCCGTAGTATCTTTTGCTTGTATGAGGGAACAATGGGGAAGTATAAAGTAGTGAACTTTTTAATTAATGGGTGATGGGTTAGTCAAGCGTTCAGTCAAAAGTACAATGCCTGACGTAATTGATGATTTGATCAACCTCTTGCGTGAATCTGACAGTGGTGCAAAATTTGGACAGATGGGTCGCTTGATATATAGTATATTTAATCTCTGTTTTGTTTGTTCTTTTCTCCTGTAGTTCCTGAATCATTTTAAAAATACCAAGAGGTGAGCTCAGTATTTTTTTCCTTAATATCTAATTAGATTATTTTCCTTCTTTTGCTGAAATTGTTGAGTTGGAGTGGAGGGAACCAACCTCCCATTTTAGAGAAAGAAAAAGAGTTGAGGGCCTTATCGTCATTTAGTACAAGTGCCCCTAAGTTAGTTTCTCAAGAAGACATGGGCCACATGACACGAGTCATGGTTGGACAATATAACCACACTATACTTGCCCATCCAATAATTAATTAACAATGTCAACTCCAAAGTAGAGTGTGGCAATTGCACCTCCGAGAAAATGTCATGGGTTCGAGTTCTAGCATTTTTATAGTGTGTGTAAGTTTAATATATTATTACTCATCTTAATATGAAATATCCTCAAAATAAAATAAAAGAACAATGTCAACTGTGCCTTATTTTTTCTTGCAATAATTCCTTCCCACTTCTCCTAAACAATATCAAAGTTGACTTCTTCAACTTTTCCATTTTGTTTTTGTTACATTTAAAACCAAAAGGTCCAAAACAAACTGATCCATACCATTGAATCAAGTGGATATGATATCCCAAATTGATATGGATATTAAATATGCATTTGATTAAACCATGACTCATTCAACCAAAAGAGAGAAAAAAAATTCCCTCAAGATGTTAATCATGCTAAAAACAATTGGTTGGTAATTTAGAAAGAATAGGTCATATATTCATACCAAAAAACAAATAAAGGAGAGATCAGGCGGTTGATTCAATGAATTTCATAGTTAAATTGTACAATAACTAGAAAACACTTGGCCTTGTTATAAGAGGCAGGGTTTGAAGTTGAACCCAACCAGTTGCTTGCTTTAAAGATCTGGGACATTGCATCCTAGAAGAAGATAAAGTGATGTGCCATCTGTAACTGCGGTTATATTAAATGCAGTTTGATTAGGTATGAAGTGATTGAAAGTGCCAATATTGAATATCATGAAGATTTATCATTTGATTCTTGTTGCAGAAACACATGAAACTTTAGTGTTTTCTTAGTTTGAGCTATTTAAATCTTGATGTTAAGATGTCTTGATGCATTTTCTTAGAACATAAAATCCTTGCTGATGTCTTAAACTATTTTTCAGTGAGGAGTAGGCCAAAATGGCACAGATTTTGGCACCAACTTCACAATGGCAGATGAGAATTACAAAGAGCTCAACCACTGCTAGTCCTATGACAGCAAAGATGTGGAGTTCTCTATTGTTGAAACAGAACAAGAGAGGACCAACCAAGAGCTCTGCTAAGTTTCGAGTGCTTGCCGTGAAGTCTGAAGATTATACCATAAACAGGCTGGAGGGTTTACTGAATTTGGACCTTACTCCATTTACTGACAGGATTATTGCTGAGTACATTTGGTATGTCTCTTCTTCTCTGTTAACATCTGAAATTCATAATGCACGTTAGCACTTGCAAACTAACCACAACCGAAAGCGATTATGATTAAATTATTAGGTTTTGGTTTGAAAGTTGGCTTATTTAGGCAGTCATTTTGTTTAATCTTTGATATCGTGGCAGGTGATAGCTTATAAGTGACACTTTTGCCATTAATTTCCCATTCAGTTCACCTCCAAAACATATTTTGATGTAATACTATTTTGAAACAGGATTGGAGGTTCAGGGGTTGATGTCCGTAGCAAGTCAAGGGTGTGATAAATTTCCATGGACTTTTAAATTTTAACTTTGACGTTTGATTATTCTCATGCATATATTCGTTTAAAAATTTCAGACAATATCAAAGCCTGTTGAACATCCGTCTGAGCTTCCCAAGTGGAACTATGATGGATCAAGTACCGGGCAAGCACCGGGTGAAGACAGTGAAGTAATCTTATAGTAAGATCTTGAGAAACAAATTACACTTATGGTTGTATCTCTTCATTGTTAAACCATGAAATTGATGTAACTTCTATTTTCCAGCCCTCAAGCAATCTTTAAGGACCCTTTCCGTGGTGGCAACAATATATTGGTAGGCATCATACAAGTTCTGACAATTACAAAAATATTGCAATATAATCAGAAAATTTTGTATATAAATATTAGTACTATATTGTCCAGTGAAACTAAACACATAAACTTAATTGACATCATCCTATTTGCTTCATAAAGGTGATTTGTGATGCATACACACCACAAGGCGAGCCTATCCCAACAAACAAACGCGCTAGGGCTGCTGAGATTTTTGCGAACCAGAAGGTTATAGATGAAGTTCCATGGTAATTTCTCCTTCAATAATTTAGTCTTAGTTTTATTGTGTGTGCCTGCGTGTCTGCTCGGTGATTTGAACTAATTTTTTATTTATCTCTTTTGTATTAGTATATCTTTATGTATATCTTTTGTATTTTGTACCTATTACATTATCTACGATTTACATATTCGGATTCAGAGAATCCTGCTAATCTTGACTATTCTTCTCAGGTATGGGATAGAGCAAGAGTACACATTACTTCAAACCGATGTGAAATGGCCTTTGGGTTGGCCAGTTGGAGGCTATCCTGGTCCTCAGGTTGTTATTCTGTTTGCAACTAGTCATTGATAGATTGTCTTATAAAATCATTCACCATGAGTAAGTACTGAGAAATAATGCATTTCTGTAGGGTCCCTATTACTGTGGTGCTGGTGCAGACAAGTCATTTGGCCGTGACATTTCAGATGCTCATTACAAGGCTTGCCTGTATGCTGGAATTAACATCAGTGGGACCAATGGGGAGGTTATGCCTGGCCAGGTTTTCTTCTCCCCCTTCTCTATCTTGTCCTGCTTTTGGTTCTGGATTCAAGTATTGTAGTTACCTTGCTTCATCCGTCATTAACAATTATTGGTTTTATCATGCAGTGGGAGTATCAAGTTGGTCCTAGTGTGGGAATCGAAGCTGGAGATCATATATGGGCTTCAAGATACATTCTTGAGGTAACTTATCCCAATCTATTCTAGGACATGTAAAGACTATAAAATTCACTTCAATGACGAAGGAAAACAATGGCTACCAATTATCCCAACCAGATTTGTTTGGTACCAGCAGTGCACATCTTGTAATTCCCACTGGAATTTCTTTATACTCATCCCTAAACTCGGTGGCAGTTTTGTATCATTCAACTGGTGTTGGTGTGTTGGTGCTCATATGATTTACTAAAATATTTTTTTTCCCCTACCCTGACAGAGAATCACTGAACAAGCTGGTGTTGTTCTCACTCTTGATCCAAAACCAATAGAGGTAATATAGTTTTTACCATATACCAATATTTTCAGTGTATATGTGTAGATGACTGAACCTGTCTATTTTGCATGACAGGGTGACTGGAATGGTGCAGGATGCCACACCAATTACAGGTATTTATTTAGACAATATAATATTTTGATGAAATGGGACATATATGTATATAGTTGGGTAGTATGCTACAACTGTTAGGAAAATATTGAATAATCATTGCTTTCACAGTACAAAGAGCATGAGGGAAGAAGGTGGCTTTGAAGTTATTAAGAAGGCAATTTTGAATCTGTCGCTTCGCCACACTGATCATATTAGTGCCTATGGAGAAGGAAATGAGAGACGGTTGACAGGAAAGCATGAAACAGCCAGCATTAACACATTTTCTTGGGTATCCCTAAAAAATTGCTAGCTGTTTTTATTGAATTTTTATTTAAAGAGCAAGAATTCTTTTGCCATTATAATTTGTTATTAATTTCTCATTAACTTGAACTTGTAGGGAGTGGCTAATCGTGGTTGCTCAATCCGTGTTGGTCGTGAAACTGAGAAGCAAGGAAAAGGTACCACTACCACTTTCAGCATTATTATCTTAGCCTTTTTCCGAGACTGATGAAATGTGCTCCTTTCTTTTTATGCTTCCAAGATGGCCTGTTGGCTGTTATACTTCTGATTTTCCAAAGGGGAGGAAAACAGTTTCCAACCTTTTTACCAAGGTCACAGCATATATTATGCTTAAGTACATAATACTTAAACCAAACATATTGAAAATATGCATGACTCTTTTTATTTTTTTGATACAAGCGATATTCAACTTTAATCTAATCTAAACTACGGGAAGGGGGATTCGAACTCGGGTGCAGAGTGGAAAGCACATCCGCTCCAACTTAGCTAAGCCCATGTATGCGAAAATATGCATGCCTCATAAAAAGACTATCAGCATTTAGATGTTAAAAACGAAAGTATCCTTGAAAATGTTGTGATGTGTCCAGTGAGGAACTTTGATATTTCTTGGAAACCTGTTTCTAGTATTTCAAGCTATATTGTTATGAGCATTTGCTTTCTGATATGTCATTCTATTAACAGTCTGCATCACTGAATCTTTTGATTTTGTTTTGCTCATGGCAGGTTATTTGGAGGATCGGCGCCCAGCTTCAAACATGGACCCTTACATTGTGACCTCACTGCTGGCAGAAACTACATTATTGTGGGAGCCAACACTTGAGGCTGAAGCTCTTGCCGCTCAAAAGCTTGCATTGAATGTCTGAAACCAATCCGTTGAAGATAATCCACTGGGGCTCAAAATGCAGTCAATTGGGACAAAGCAGCCTAGTGTGTGAAGCATTTTCCCTCACCTTTTAAATCCTTTTGAGAAAGGTCCTTTGTAAATAAAGGTCCCATGTGAGTGATTGTTCATGGCATGTTCAACTTTGTAGAATGTTTTCATTGCATCGAAGAAATCGTGTAGATCAGAGAGCCTTAATTAAATCATTTGACAGGTGATTGGATATTTCACTTAGCATATGAACTCTGTTAATTTAACTGTCCACTACATTACATGGGGTGTTTCATTGAATGTTCACATCCTGCACAATTTGATCTTGTTTTTGTATAACAAATCAAAACCTGGACTATCCGATCATAATGAATCAGACCGGCTGTTGTTGACATGACGCTTGCTTGCGTTGCCTACCGGTTGCAATTTTTTGTTCCTGATAATATATACTTTTAGGATCGGTTATAAGACAAGGTATTGGAAGCTAAAGAAAATTCCTTTCCTCTCTGTTGATTGTTTTGTACAGTTAGAGCGGCCTCTAGCTAGGCCTCTAAAATAACTGAAACCTGAAACTGAAGGCATGAAGATTGAGGCAAGAATAATGTATATGATACTCCTGCCAGCCAAAAAAGCATGAAAACATAGAAAAAGGAAAACTTTATTATTCATAATTTTTTGTGTGCTTGGCAGGCAAAACTTTATTCCACAAAAGAGCTGCCGTGCAGAACTGATAATAAGCAAAGAAGCCATTTATCTGATTTATTATAAACTTCTCTAAATAAATAAATAAAAACCAACAAAGGATTCTTTGCCCCTTCCATGAGGCAATCCCAATAATGATGGAAAAGAATATAAGCCGTTTCTTTGAATTAAAGGCACTCATTTTTATCTTAAACTATTTGTATATACTATATAGCTCTCTCCTGTCCCCTCTACAACAATTGTAGCAGCATTCAATTTTCCTCTTGCTATCTCCGAACTTCAAACTTCAAAGGCCCCATGACTTCTGGAGGGCCAAAATCAGCAGCATCCATTCTCTTGATCGTTAACCTTGTTCTGTATTTTGTTGTGATTGTGATTGCTTCTTGGGCTGTCAACCATGGCATCCAAAGGTCTCGTGATACAGGTAATTAAACATCAATTATATAATGCAACTAAACTTATGCAGACGTGGATTAGGCCAGTTGGCCAAGGTTTAGGGCAGTAAGTTCGTCCCTTTGCACCAAAGTTCGAATCCGCCTCCTCATTTAGAGTAGTTTGGACTATCACTTGTATAAAAGAAATAATGCGACTAAACTTATGATCGTTTTTACTTTGCACAAATGCAGCTTCTGTTTTAACAATTCCAGCGCGAATATTTCCAATCTACTTCCCATTTGGGAACATGGCAACTGGTTTCTTTGTGATTTTCTCCCTCCTTGCTGGTGTTGTTGGCTTTGCCACCTCACTTACTGGACTTCACAACGTTGTCCAATGGGACAGCCCCAACTTGCACGCAGCTGCTGCCTCTTCTCTTGGAACTTTCTCCCTCACTCTTCTTGCCATGGGGTCTCTGCCTCTCTTTTTTCCCTACTATTTTACTTTCTGGATCTCCATTTTTCTTTAAATGTGTTCATATATATAAACTTGTTCTCCACTGTTTCTGTTTCAGATTGGCTTGTAAAGAAATTCAACTTGGTTGGACCGATTCGAACTTGGTAAGCTGATGCTCTTATTGTATAATTTCCTTTTTCTTTTCTTTATTGAACTTGGCTGGACAGATTTTAACATTATTAATGGATTGTGAGAGGAGCATTGTATACTTACACGTCGTAAGACATATTATTATGTTGTACATGACTAATCATGATGTTGTGTATGCACAGCGTACTTTGGAGACCATAACAATAATAGTGAGTGCAACGCAGTTGTTTTCTACTTGTGCCATCCATGCTGGGGTTGAAGATGTTATTGTTCGAGAAAGGGGCCGCACTGGAAGATTTTAATCTCTGCCATGTTCATCTTCTACACTTCATATGTTGATGTATTATTGTTGAATCCATTACAACACAATTTGTATTCTGAGTGCTGTTTCTATTTCTACATTTTTTTTCTCGTTGTTTGTTTTGTGCGAGATTTTTAAGATATGTGACACTTTCTTCCTTTTCTCTAATCTACTATTTGAATTCAACATACTATCTTCCTAAGCCTACTACACACTTAATTTGCTTAAAATGAATCGTGTCGTGTTGTGATACTTGTTACTTAATGGATCGTTGTATTTGAGTTGAGCTCATTTTCACGTAATCCATTGTCAAATTTACTTACAATTTTCTCACATTTTCAAAAAAAAATAAAAAGGTTCTTCGGCTTAGAAGTTGGTGTTTAAACTAATAGTTTGTCATGATAATTGTGACATAGAGTGTTATGTCATGTAATCAACTAATATAGATGAGAACCAAGAAGAAATTGAAGAGGTTGTGAGGTTCTCCTTTTAGTAAATATTCTGGAAGAACTTTGAATTTATTGAATAATTTGTGCGTTTACAACCAAAACCGTATACAACATGAATAGGAAACATGGTCTCCTACAATATTAAACTGTAAGGTCATTTCTAGCAGTGGATGACTAAACATGGTCCACCCATAAAATTTAACCCAGTATTTATAATTTTTTAAGGAATAATACTGGGCTATATTTTAACTGTCTCCAGTAGTGCAGGGCTAAATCATAGGCCCCTCAATATTTTATTAGTTTTTAGTATATTCTTTAAATATATTGGATAATTTAATTAAAGTACTATTTTAGACCCTATTTAAATTTATTTTAGAAGATAAAAATATTTTCAGATACGATAGGATTAATTTAAAAACAACCCACCTAAGAAACTAAAACATTAATTTAAAAACAACAACAATACTTTAATTTAAAAACAATAACTAGCCCAACTAAGAACTAATAAAATAAGATATAACCCCCCCCAAGAAGTGTGCCTTATTTGACCCAGTATTTAGCCCTTTTGGCCCACTGATTGGATTTGGCCCAGTGACATAGCACGTATAGCCCATTTACCGGAGATGTTTAGGTGTGAGAGCCAAATGAGGATTTAGCCCTTTCTTGGAGACCTCTTAGCTCTTTGTGTCTTCTAAGAGCTCTTCCAATGGCCAACCCTTTGCCCGGGCAAGGGGGCGCTTAGGCCCAAAAAGGGCTTCCAGCGAACAAATGCTGCCAGGGCAGTTGGTGGACTCCACAAGCCTGGGTTGGCCCAAGGGCAAGAATAGCTTGTGTTGTTGCTTGGGTTTGCTGATGTTGGCAACGAAATTTTTTATAAAAAAAATTTGAAAAAAAAACTAAGAATTTCATAATTTTTTAATAAATACTTAGTCATATTCTTTACTTTCCACACCAAAACTCTATACAAATTCCTCTCCTCATATATCATGTAAATAGTAATTGCCATGACAATAGGTGGAAACACTACAAGCCTTTTACAAGAGCTGTCACCATTCACGTGAATGTTAACAGTCATTGTCTTGCCCTTTGTCATGGCAAATAGGTGGAAGTACTCTAAGGAAGGACACGAAATCAAGTCCTCTGTCGTCCTGCAAGCTTATGATCTGAATTAAGAGGAAATTACACATTAGCACTTGAAATAAAGTTTGGGCTGAAAATTGTAAATTTCATATGAAGGTAAAGAACCAAAGGAGAGGATTCCTAGTTTAATATGAATAAAACTGAATTTTTTTTTCTGTCAGTTTAAATGTATTTTTTTGTCAGGCACGGACCCATTGAATTTAGTTTTTTTATTCTTTTCAATATAGGTGATAGTTTATTATAAATAAATAAAAAGCGGAATTTTCACGCACACTATTAAAATACGATGATAATTCAAACTGAGACCCCTAATCTATAAATTAAAGTCATTTTCCAATGAAGTAGACCCGATTGGCAACAAGATTTAAATTTAGCTTAGCTAAAGAAAAGTAGATAAAACGGAAAGCGGTCCTTAGTAGAGAACAGCCCGAAGCTGAAACATATCGTTACATTCCCGCCACTTTGGAAATTAACGAACTGCACACCAACTGTACAGAAAACATCCAAACCATCTCCCTCTTCTCCCACTCTCAACCTCACCCATGAACTTCGCGTACCGTCCCATCACAACGGTCACATTCCCCTGTCTCCCACTAAACCCTAATTCCAAAACCCAAATTGCCCCAAAATTCACTCACCTGCGTTCACTGAACAAAACCCATATACAAGTAAAGCCAAGATTAAGCCACCAAATTAGAGCCTCAGCAAGCGATAGTAGTCAAACCCCGTGGTGGGTGAACGTGTTGCCAAGCAAAGCTTTCGGAGCCGAGAAATTTCTTCGGCTGATTTCAGGTGCCACCGCAAGCCCCATTTGCCAGTACGTGTCGGAACCCAGCACGTTTCTTCATTCTGTGGACCCCAGAATCAAATTGGTATGCTTGATTTGGATGGGTGTTTGTTGGTTTTTGATAATATGTGGTGGGCTTAGTGCAATTTAGTTTTCGTGTTTTTGGCGGCGTAATGGTTTGTTAATTTGAGCTGAAAAGGGATGAAATGGTGTATGGTTTAGATGTTGAAGACATGTAAAGATCAAATTTTAATTTTGGTTTTTGGCATTTCAGTTTAATGAGTTTCTACTGTGTTTGATCTGTATATGTTTCGGAAAAGATTGGTCAAAATGTTCTTCTTTTCTTCTTTTCAATTTTAAGCTGAGTATGTACAGAAAAATATGAAAGTTTAAATTTTCTGGGATCTAAGACGGGCTAATTGGGTGCAGCTGTAGGTCTTTTGGATTTTAATTGTTTTAGAACATGGAACTTTAAAATGAAGAAAGTTGTTCTTTTCTTGTTGTTCCTTTTTCTCTACTAAAGAGAGGGGTAGGCAACATAATGGTTTCTTTAGCATCCAAGTTTTCTTGGGGGAGTTTAGGGAGAACCACTTTGTATAGTGTCCTTCAAACATTAAATGACAGGAGTTGAACTCCATGCATATACGTACACCTCGGATCTCCAACAAGGCAGTTACTATGATTGAGTTGCAAATTTTTTACTAAATGTGGTGACTCTCAAACGTTGTAGATGACATTTCTATTTAAACTATGAAGTAGCAAATGAGTGAAAGTAGAAACATTATATAAAATGGCAGCTTTTCAGGCAAACCAAAATTTTAAAGTACAATATGTAAAAGTCGAAGCTGTTTATTTTGTCAAAATGGGCTTAAAAAATCTACTTGTAATGATATCATTCTGCATCCTGGAGGGTTTGTCTTTTCTTAAATGTGTATTGACATCTCCTCAGTGTTGGTAAATTTTGCATGATGAGCAGATTATGGAAACGTGCACATATAAGTATGTAAATTCTGTTTTATTACATCTTTTCTTTTTAACTTTGTCGTCTTGATCCTGCAGGTTTGGCTTTTGGCTCTAGTTGTTTTACCAGCAAGGTCACATATAATACTGCGTTTTGGATTAGTAGTATACTTGGCCGTTTTGTCAATATGGATTCTTCCAAGACATACATGGATGGTAAGTAACTAAGTACCATCCTATGAGTCAGGAGCTGGTTTTAATTCCATCAATATTAAGGTCTTTAGTATTTAATTAACAAGGTCTTAGTGATTCATCCAGTATTTTTCTCTTTCTTCCTTTCCTCTGAATATATAATCAATGTGATATTTTCTTGATTACAGGACCAACTGGGAAGAGTGTCTTTGATCTCTGGAATTTTATTCATTACGTTGGGGCTGGGTTCAGATGGTGTGCCACCCCTTGTTCAGTTAAGAACCCCACCTCCTGCAATGATTGGATTATCAAATCTTCCTACATCTCTGGCAGGTTACTCATATTTAATTATGAAGCTAGGGCCATTACATTTTACAAGGAAGGGGTTGTCTGTAGCAAGCACAGCTGCTTGCTTAACCTTTACTGTGAGTTGCTTCTATCTCTGCTTGGTACACTATTTGCCTTTTATTTAATAACGATGTGTTTGGATGCCCATTGATATAATCACATTATAAGCTTGTGTGGCATAAGGAGGCACAACCATATATTTTTTATTTTTAGAATGGAGTGGTGTAACTCAAAACAATAGTGGCATGCTTACATTTCTTCTAAGCATACAATTGATGATAAGAAAATATGCTTACCAGACTACATGTAGGTGATTTGAATACAAAAAAGCTTTTTTTTATTCTGAGATCTAGCGTTCGTGTTTTTGTCATAAGGTTTTTCAAAGTGCAAGCCTTTGCTTGACAACCACAACCCCAGAAGAACTTGCATTTGCCTTGCGGTGGTTTATGCTCCCTTTGACACGTCTTGGTGTGCCAGTGGCTGAAATAATTCTGACCCTCATGCTTTCATTGAGGTTCATCAATCTCGTGTTTGATGAGGTACGAGGATTGGTCAATAAGATTTGTGTTCGATTATTTCAAAATTTTAAGGATGATTTTCTTGACAGAGGATTAATGATGATTTAGTTCTTAAATCTACTCATACTGACATCTACCGCTTTGAAATATTTGGTAGGTACGTAATGTTGCATTGGGGATTGTATCTCGTAGGATAAACTGGGAACAGTTGACAATGATGGAAACGCTGGATGGTAAGCTTGCGTTCTTATATGAATTTTTGTATTGTTGTTTTTAATAATTGTGTTCTCTTCTTTAGCTATAAAAATAAATCTCATAGTGGATTGAGAACATCAGTGTTATTTACTTATAGTCTGTCTGTCATATATGGATAGCTACTTCAAACTCTAAAGCTTTAGTATAGTTATCAGCTTTGGTTGATGTATCTATATGAACACCGTCTTATCAACTGTTTTTTGGATAAAATTTCTCCTTAAAAACCTATTTCCTTTTATGATTTGGATCTTATTTTGCAGTTTTCTTTGCCTACTTTCGTCGGATCTTCACAAATATCTTTAGCCATGCAGAGCAGATCTCGCAGGTTTGTGCATCAGTTTAACTTGCAAATGCTTATATCTCTGCCTAATTGGTCTGCTGTCGCAAGCGACATCTGTTGTTTAAAATGCATTGGCATTCCACAACCCTCCCCCTCCCTATCAAAACGCAATGGATTAACTTCAATATAGATGCTACTTGCATAGTTATTGCGCAATTCTTTTAAGGAAAAAGTAGTTCAGTGCTTATATTTATGGCACTAGTGGCTTTTATAAGTGCATCATACCAATTAGTCACGTAAAGGAAAAAAATTAATTCCAGTTTTTAATGTTTTACCAATGTTATGGCTTTTACAGGCAATGATTGTCAGAGGTTTTAGAGGGGACAGCAACGCTCATAAGATTTACTTGTTGTCAGATCCATCCATTGGAACATCAGATATCGTTTCCTTTTTAAGCCTGGTTACTTTAATAGGTGCTTCCGTTTTGTCTGACTACTTTCTAGTATGATATGCAGTGCAAGTCGTCCTTGGTAATCCTCCTTTTCTTATCCCCCTATTTTTAGGTGATAAGTTTGAATGTGTCTCTGACCACATCAAATTGTTTGACAGGGGAAAAAGATTGTTGATTGATGATATGGTACCATATATATACGTATACATGTTCGAACCAGCTGTTAATTTTGGTGGAACTGTATGATTAGGCTGTAGATTTTTGCAATGTACAGAGCATATTTCGTCAGCAGTTCCTACAGAGAAGTGTGGAATTTGCTCATCAAGAATGCAGGCATTATTGTGCAGTATTTCACTGCGCAAAGCAAAAAAAAAAAAAAAAAAAAAAAAAAAAAAAACAATAGGGCAATCTGGGTATTATGCTCCAAAACTGCGTTAGTTATGTCAATTATTCCATCAAATTAAGGGTCATTTTCGTTCATTCAAATTAGAACTTGCATTGACCCACTTTCAATTTGGCTTGTCACCTATAAGTTTAGGCCATTAGGTGGAGATTTGAAGCTTAATGACTCCAGGAAAATTTTTTGATTTCAAAATAATTATTTAAAGGATTTTAGTGGATATTAATTATGATGATAATCTTGTAGATTTGATTTTTAGGTTGAGAGTATCAGAGTTAATTACTTCTAGTCTCTTTTATACGTGGAGATGGAGAACGACTTCTTTAAATGCTCTCAATGATCTCATCTTATTAACTTTTTCTTCAATAAATTTTTTCAATTGCAACATTAATCTTCTGATTTCGTTCCATTGCCATAAAAATGATGATATTAGTTTAAGAGTACGACATGAGTTAGGTCAGTTGGTCAAGACAGTATATCCACCCCATTAGTCTCCCGTCTCTTTAGATTAGATTGATTATCGTTCCATTGCCATAAAAATGATGATATTAGTTTAAGAGTACGACATGAGTTAGGCTAGTTGGTCAAGACAGTATATCCACCCCATTAGTCTCCCGTCTCTTTAGATTAGATTGATTATCGTGGTGTATCAAAAAAGGGTACAACTTGCAATTTTCTATAAAATTTGAAAGGAGAAAAATAAAAAAGAACAAATTGTACGTTACATCAATGTTGCACTCAAATTTTGGCACTTCGAAACTATATTACAGAAATACATGTTTTATAAATGTTTGAATTACGGTATACGTCTTTAAAAAACTGTACAAAACACAATCTTATACAGTGAAACACCCATTCTCTATGGTTCTAGCTGTACGCTCTTGTGATCAAATCCTAGGGCTTGCATGAGTTGTGGGAGGGTTTGTGAGATTTGGCTCTCTTACCAAATAACAAATTCGAACAACGAATCAGCACATGAAGAATTTCTCCTCTTTGGACCCACTAGTATTTACTCTCACAGGCAAGGTTCTGAGTTCGAGTCCTAACATTCGTGGTGTGTGTGTGAGTTTAGTATATTATCACCCCTCTCAATAGGAAGGGTCCTCTTAAAAAAAATAAATAAATAAAGAACTCAGCCAAAATGTATTTGGTCTGATTTCCATCTAATTAAGTTCTTGTGATAAAACCAAATGCAGCCTCATGCTTTCATTATTACCTCACAAACTTTTGATATTGATTTCAAGCTCAATCATCTGATGAAGGGTAATCTTCACAACACAATATTTACATTACTCTGATATCAACAGCAGATTATCCAAGGCAAGTCATCGATCTTTCGATTACATAACCTAGGATCACTGTAAAAAAGGACTAGCTACTTATGTAGCTCCAAAATTTCAAAAGTTTATCCATAGAGAATCAGAGATGACTGACTATTGTTTCCCACACACTTACCTCTGCCAACAAAGTTTTCTTCCACCCTCTCGCATAATTTCGTAGGCAATTCTGTGCTTTTCAAGAGATGTTGCCCCAGCCTCTATGTATTGACAGGCTGCTTCTCTTAAACTCCATACCATCAAGGCCTTAAGTTCTTGAGGGTTTCCACCAGATTCAGAATCGCAAGGAATGCCATATTCTGCATTTTTAGTCCAACGCTGTAATATATAGCAAGGTGGAACTTCTTTCAGGTCCAAGATTTGGAAAACTCTCAACACATGCCGACACAGCACACCTTCAAATTCAAACATTCGACAGCTGCAAATCACTTTGGGATTGGATGGACCAACAGTTACTACACATTTCTCATTGTCATTCCCACATTTGCGGACCAAATACCTGATGGTGGCCCCTTCTTCATAAATCTTAAATCCTAGATAACTATAGGATTGTAGAAGTTCTTTCTGAAATATCCTGAATATGTTCAGTGTATAAAGCCTTCTGCATTGCTCTTCTAATGGTTCTTTTGTCTGCAAGAAGGCTTGCAAGTTAAAAGAGTTAAAATCTTCTTTTCTTTCTTCTTCACGACGTCGCTCTAGACCTCTTTCATATTGTGAAACAAACTCCTTAAGTTGTGTTTGGGCATTGAAGCGTGTACCAAAGAATGATTCTATACTTTCATTGAAGGGGATGCCTGCAAAGAATGTAGCTCTTAAGTATAGCGGGACCCAACTTTTGCGCTTTGTGTACATTGCTTTCAGCCAACCATTATCCTTCAACCCATACCTGCTGAGGAGTGCATTCCATGCGGTATCAAATTCATCGGCTGTTTGACACTCATAAATGCATTTTTCGTACTCATATTTAAAGGAAGTATTCATCAAACGTAGATGCTCACTTTCTTTTGCCTTAAACTGCCACAATGAGAAACGATGATGGGTTCCTGGAAAAACTTGCATGATGGCTTGCTGGATCACATCATCTTGGTCAGCTATTATTGACACAGGACAACGTCCTGACATTGCCCTAAGCCATGTTTGAAACAACCAAGTAAAAGATTTCTCAGATTCATCAGCAATTAGAGCACAGCCAAGAAGCACCGGTTGCTTATGGTGGTTGATTCCAATGAAAGTGGCAAATGGCACCAGATAAATGCCTTTCCGATATGAGGTGTCCAAAATAATGACATCACCAAACTGACAGCATGAAAATCTAGACCTCCCATCAGCCCAGAAAATACTCATGCAACTACCATTATCAACCTCTACTGCATAAAAGAATCCTGTATCTTCAGCCTGTTTGGTCTGAAAATAGTCAAACAGCACACGGTACCAATCACTTCCAATGTGATTTTCTCTACGTCTTTTGACATTGTTACCGTTGTTTATGTCAACAATATCTTCATTTTCTAGCCCACCAATCTCCTCCTCTATGAACTTTTTTGAAGAAAATAGATTTGTCTTTTGAACTTCCAGTTGGGACTCAAGCTCATGGTTATGATTTTTATCAAGACGGTCCACTACCCACCTTCCAGAGTCTTGTCTCTTAATCCTCATAAATGCCCCACAACCAACTCTTGATGGGTGCTGAAAACCTTCCTTTGAGCACACAAATCGCCGGGATGTAATTGACCCATCGAGCTTTGAACGAAATAATTGACCAATCCTGATTCTAAATCCTGTATTTTCTGCATATACATGATAAAATTGGTATGCTTCATTGGCTGAATTGAACTCTAGACCTGCAGACGGTTCAACTTCTGGCTGCATTTCATCTCCATCCCATTTAAAGCGTTTGGCACTAATAATTCCAGATGGGCAAGGTCGTCCATCCTCAATTTCCTCAATAGATTTGATTTTTGGCCTATGGGACAATTCAACAATGGAGTTTTTACGTGTTAGAGTCTTCTTCTGCAAAATCGGAGAATGGTTTTCCTCTGTGGATCCAAGACCATGATTGTGGTCCTTCAGGAAAAGGTCTACAACCCACTTCCCTGAATCGCGTCTTTGCACCCTTATCAATGCAGGGCAACCTGTTCGTGAACTAATCTGAAATCCCTCCTTGGAGCACACAAATCTCCGAGAAGAAACTGAACCATCAGTTCTCGACCGATACAACTGACCAGTTCGAACTCTAAATCCCATCCGGGTTGCATAGAGACTGTAAAAGTCACGTGCGACATCTGCTGAATCAAACTCTAACCCCACATATGGTTCAAGTACTCTAGACTCTCCTTCATCCTCTGCATTAACAGTTTTCATGGGAAGCATCGGGTATGCTTTTAATACTAAGTTGTTCCCACTGTCTTCAATCTTAGAATCAGTATCTGAGCTGTGTTCAAACCAAACAAAAATGACATAAAAAAAACACTTCAACCTTTGCCACCATTTGATTAACAATTTGAAACAACATTTACTGATCATGGAAAGCAAACTTGTACAGAAACTAATCTATTAACATGGTCAGCAACACAGCAGTTCATGAATGTGAACAGTGGTTAGGAAAATAATGAAACAAATACATAAATTAATTATCAGATCAATAAATCATAAATTTATCACAATTTTCCCCCTATTTCTCAGCAACCAAACATAGCAGCATGGGATGAAGGAGAAAAAGAAGAAGAAGAAAAAACCCAACAAACAATCAAAACTACCCAATTCACAAAGTTTGATTGGGTAAGCCATAAATTTAATTGCGAATGAATGGGAAAACAACGGTTAGTTTCAATTTACCTTCTCATAATCGTGAAGTGGGTGGAGCTGGATTCCATGCCCATTTCTGAAGAAGAAGAAGAACACTGCAAGTGCGAGAGGTGATTTTGAACCTTGCGACAGTATTTTGGGGGATTTCGTTTACATTTTTGGCGGGAAATATAATTAGAGGGCGTCCTTTTGGAATCTGATGAAATGGAAGTTCTGGGTTTGGATCCTCTCTGGGCTCTTCAATCTTGTTTCCCGTTCGGTTCTTCTTCAGCTGGCTTGGCTTCTTTTGCTTCTAAATTCAGGTTTGACCTCATTGATTGTATTTTGGAGCTCATTAGGGCACACACTGACATCATTAGCCAATTTTACTTTATTTTATTTTGTATGCAATGATATCTTCCATATATATATATATATATATATATATTTATGGTTTCAGATCCATCTGTTTCTAATTTATATTTTCTTTTTAAAAAAATATATATATTATGGGTCACATACCATCTTCTAATTACATGAACCAACTTTGTAATGCTGGTATTGATTGAATCTATATTTAAGAGTGTGTAGTGTGTACATGTACATGTAATTTGTAAGATAAACAAAACAAAAAATCTAATCCTTAGTTGGTAATGTC